GTGTGTGTGTGTGTGTGTGTGTGTGTGTGTGTGTGTGTGTGTGTTGTAGGAGCCAATGTTTGGGATGCTGACAGCCCCGCTGGAGAGTTCACTGATTCGAATGGATGAGGAGCTAAAGCAAGGAGCTCTGAACGTTTTCATTCTGGTACATGTTGCATTCACATGCTACTGGGAAACTCCAGCATCCAGGACCTTTAAGTCAGCTTCTCATCAGCGTTGTGTCAGGAAATCCAACAGACAAATAAACATGTCCTGTAGCTTAAACTCAGCATTCTAGAAAAAGGATTAGTCATTTGGGACAGTATGTCGTTATACTAACATGTAACAAACTTGTAATAAAACTAGCTAACTAATTTTGGAAAGCCTTCGTATGAAATGCATTAATCGTAACCTTGTGTACAGTTCATACTGTTTATGCAAACATGAAAAAATCAATGATTCCGACTATTCTCTCAGTTAGATGTATCCATATATTTTAAGCAGCAAGGGCCTCTGGGAAAGCTTTGTCCCCTTTGTATGTTTTATTTGACTTGTAATGTTACAGTGTGTGTTGTAAATGCCTTTGCTTTTGATAGATACTAAGATTCATGGGTGACCCAAACTTGAATGGGGCTCAGGAGAATCTGTTTGGGAACTACATCATCCAGAGAGGACTTGCCAACCCCAGCCTCCGAGATGAGATCATGGCTCAGGTAGCCAATCAGGTGAGGCCCATCTCATTCTCCTAGCCGGTGGGGTAGAAATGAAAGCCCAAAATAAGACAGAATCTTTTACAATTGTTGCACATTGTCACTTCACTGTCTCCTCTCCTCCATCAGGTGTGGAGGAATCCTAACATGTTGAATTCAGAGCGTGGTTGGCTCCTCCTGTCCTCCTGTCTCTCTGCCTTCCTGCCCTCTCAAAGGCTGGCCAAGTACTTGCTGAAGTAGGAAACACAGTCAAACAGTGTAATATGTTTACTGTACATAGAAATGGCTATGCGATAATTATACAGTATATTTATTACCTGCTTTTCTGTGCATGCCTGTGATCTTTGTACATGATTTCAGTGCCTGTTTGCCAGTTTTCATCTCTCTTTGTGCTCGTCGTTGTTGTTGTAGGTTTGTGTCTGACTACGGGCCGGAGGGCTACGACTGTGTGTGTCAGCACCGTCTGCTTCAAGCTCTGCAGCGGCTGAACGTCGGGCCAGAGTATGTCCGGACGTACCCACCCTGTCTGCTAGAGTGGACCGCCAATCGCAAGAGAGCTCACACCGTTCTGCACATACACTGTTTCGATGGTGAGAACACACTCGCAACACGTGTAGCCAAGTGGGGATTTTATAATTCAGATCTAGTTGCAAAATTTTGGATGGAGAAGAACATTTGCAGTGAAGTGCCCTTGAAAAAGGGGCTGGACCACCATCTGCATCCCCAGTACAAAAAAAGAAAAAAAAAAGTTAAATAAAATGGATAAATTTTATCAAACAGAATTGTAAATGTGTTGCTAACACTGAAACCCAATGCTTGTGTGTAACTCTCTGCTCTCCTGCAACAGAGAGAGAACTGTGCTTTATTTGAATATGATTTTTCATTGCATTTGTCTAAAGAAATGTTTTTTTCTTTAAATCACGCTTAAATATGCAGATAACATTATAAACAGACCAGCAATATTATGTCAATGTCAAACTAAAGTACGTTGTGAATTTTAAATCTATTGATTTTAACTCCATCTTGTTCACCCAACCTCACCTTTCTGTTTTATTTTTTTCACTTGAGCTCAGTCAGTGTGTGCACCATCCAGCACGGAAGAGTTATCTGTCTCTCATTTCCTCCTCTCATCCAGCTAATCTGTCCTCTGGCCTTTTGGCAAGCCTACTGAGGATTAGACAACACCTGATAGCCACTCTGGTTCTCTGGCTTTGTTTGTGTCTGTTTGTTGATGCGGGTGTCTGTGTAAATCGTCATAGGCAGAAATGGGAGACTGCTACCAACTTTGTTTAGATGATATACTGTAGAGGAACTATTTCATAACCTGATTGAAACGGCTCTTAAAGGGATAGTTCTACCTGCTGTAGATTGCGGTCTTCACGCCCGTTGGCGAAACAGACAGAAGTACGAGCACGAGAACAAACCAATGTCCTGCTGTGGACGGGGTGCAGCAGCAAAACCTATTTAAGCCACCTAAAAGAAGGCCTACCTAAAACAATCAATATCAGTTTAAGTGTACGCTATATTTAGAATATTCTCACAGCTCTACCTTGTTGTCAGACACCCCTTTCCTACGGGGAACTGAAGCTGTTATCCAAGCTTTCTTCAAAGCCACCAGACTCCTTTGATTAAAAACAACTTTTGCTGGGTTGCTGCTGGCTTGATCAGTTAGTTTGTTTGTGTCATTGTGTGGCTTTGTTGTTTTTAAGTGTTAGTTCAGATTCATTCAAAGTCACAAAATATCACAAACAAACTAACCGATCGAGGCAGCGGTAGAACGGCAACTTCCGTGTTCTGCAAGGTGAAATTCCTGTTTTTATCAAAGGAGTCTCGTGGCTTTGAAGAAAGCATAGATGGATACAACAGCTTCAGTTCCCCTTCGGAAATGGCTGTCTGACTGCAAGGTAAAGCAGTGAAAATATTCTAAATACAGCATATACTTAAATGGATATTGACTTTTTTATGTGTCTAAAATACGTTTTGCTGCTGGCCTCGTCCACAGCAGTAAATGTATTTGCTCCTGTGCTTTTACTCCTGTCTGTTTCTCCAAACTGTGGCAGAGCCGACCACCATCTACTGAGGTAATACTCTTACTATGGATAAGTACCTCGTACGACCCCACTTCTAAACATCCAAACTATCCCTTCAATGAATTATAAGATGAGAAAAATCAAAAGTGGTGTGTTTTGTTGAGTCACTGCTGTATATTAAAGACTATTTGTCTCTCTAAAGTGTTGTCTTTTCTCCTCCAGGTGTATCCTTCTTGTGTCCTCTACACTCCTGGACAACAGGAGAAGAAATGGCCAAAGACATCTTACAACACAGGTATCGCCTTACTGTAAAACATAGGCACTAAATGTATAGATTTGGTTACATAGAAAAGTGAAAAATAGGAAACTAAAGGGGATGTTTAGATGGAGGATGTTTTTGTGAATTATTGTGTGTAGGGGCATGGTGGATGGCCGTCGAGGCTGGTCGGTGCTGCTGAAGGAGCCGGCTCAGTGGGTGGAGCTGGAGGGCTCAGACTACGTTCTGGACTTGATGTCGGACCTGGAGCTTCCTGCTGACTTCCCCAAACACAGCAGCTACTTCATCATCTCTGCACAGGAACCGACCAGAGTGCGGCCCAATGCCAGCATGTGAGACACACATTTACTCAATGCATAATTGTGCTATACTTTTAAGTACAATTTTTGTACTTGAGTTTGCCATTTGATGTTACTTTATAGATAGGGATTTATTCTACTCTGTTTTTACTCACCTATATTTATCTGACAGCTGTACATACTACTTACTTTTTTGATGAAGATTTTCCATCAGAAACACATGATAAGCTTATAAAAAACATAACAAAAAAGATGAGATGTTAGCAGCTCCTCCAAGCAGACGTTTCCCTTCTAAACTTCTCAGTTGGTTTGATTTGAAGAAATGTTTGAAGCACAAAGAGGGAAGATTATCCAGTTTTTCACAAAAAAAAGACAATCAATTAATACAAATTTTTGTTGAGGTTGTAATTATTTTTTGTTTGTCTTATAGAAGCCTGTTGGGTGGTGGGTTTGACATGAAAGATGATTTCATGTCTTCATTCTTACCTGGCTCTGACGGACAAGGTACCCATTGAACCATTAACATATATAGCACCAACACACATTGATTTTGATTAGAGTAGACGTTAAAGTGCTTTCGTCTCGTCCTCGCAGACTTGGAGCCTCAGAGAGGGATGGATCGTTATCTCGACAGCCTGTTTGACCCTGTACTGTCTGAGGGACCTGGAGTAAGTTACCTTAACTCACACTGTCACACGTCCTCTGTCAACCGTTTACTGATGGTTACTGTACAGGTCATGTCGGATAATTATTGTTTTTTTAGCATGGAGCGATGATGAGTATTTCACTTTTTTGGCATGACAGAGGTAACCAGAAAGAACAAAGAAAAAGCATGTATATGTATAAACAAAAATACTAATAATACTATAGTAGAATAAATAAAAGTAAGGGGATGAGCTTCTTGTCATTTATGTCTGTAAACATATGAACTGGACAGATGCATTGGTTTGTACTGATCACGCCCAGATTTTATATAAGAAATTTGTCTTGTAATAGTTTGCAGCCATTGTCAGCACCTCCTTTATGATTCACTACCCGCCACAAATGTCAACCGTCAGCCCTGTTATTAAAACGATACAGTTAAATCGTGTTAAATCCGTATGTGTTCAGTCGGTAATGGTGCAGTGAATGCTGGCTATGTTGGATCTATCAGTCTTCAGCTGGGACGTGGCGAATGTTAGCCGTGCTATCGGATGTGGCTGACAGGAATTAGCATGTATCAGATGTGTTCTACAGACCTCTGCCGCCCAGCCACCTATTACGTTACCCAGTTACCGTAACTGTCACAGCGACTAGATCGCCACGGTGGTTGTCCACCCAGGCAACGCTGGGATCTGCTTACGAGGAACTGACACTCTGGCAAATGAAGGGCTTACTATTTAATGAGACATGGCCCACGAAACGCACACACTCCTGTGGATTTATGGGTCAGCGGCTGATTTCTGATGGAAGCAGCTGCTCACATAAGAGGGGGAATCCTCTGATACGACGGTCAAAAAGTGCTGTGATTGCACGTTCTCTCTCTGGTGTATGTCTTTTAGCACTCCCATTGATATCCACACTGACAAATGCAGCAGTTAGAGGAATATCTATCTTTTAGTATCAATCACTTCACCTGTTGGCTTAAAAGGCATCTCTGAAAGGTTTGTAGATTGCTCGTTTACAGTTGACAGCAGGTGTAGTCAGCTTGGATTTCAACGGGAAACCAGAGTCACTGTAAAAAAAATATAATGCTCTACTTCCATGATGTGTTATTGCCTCCTCACAGGCCCAAACCTCCACTGAATATAGTATTTTTTGTGATTTGTAAGTGAAGTTCTTTGGAGCATTCTGAACACACAGATCAGCTGTAGAGAAATGATTTGGCTACACACCTGTCATAAGTAGGGCTGGGTGTCATATGACAATACATTTTCTGAATATCTTACTTTAAGGAAGATAATATTCTAAATATACCTTTTATTCATTTAAGAAGTAAAAAGGTGTCAATAACTTTGCCTAAATCAAAAGTTGAAATGAGCTAAAGCAGGAACGATCTGATCAAAGCAAACCAAACATTATGGATATAATTTATTACGGACGATACTGATATTAATTGATGTTTGACGGTTTTAAATTCCCACTAATGGTGTTTCGAAACATGAGATATAAGATATATACTGAGCAGGATATTTTATATTTGAGAATGATGTAACTGTTTCACATTCACAACACTTGAAATTATGAAGGCACTTGCAAATGACAAGAGAGAACGAAATTTACTACTTTTAGTACTTTACTTCAGATTTAATTTAACTGTTTAAAAAATAAACCAAACCAGTGACAACGAGGAAGTTCTTTGGTAGATAGTCATGAGAATAAATATGAAACGCAAATCCAACTCTCCAAACTAAAAGGAAATCAAGTGTGAATTGAAATCCAACACTGTTACTAAGCTTGTTTAGTCAATGCTGATCTACAGATGAAACCATAAAGTGCAAGTGGAGAGGAAAAACTACCCTGAATGGAATATTCACTCTTATCAGCCAGCGTATACGTCAATGCTGATATATCAGTCAATATACTAATTTATTGGTTTGATACCAGCCCTGTTCAGAGTGTTTGATACTCGTTTTTGGTTCAGTTCTAAAGTCTGTCCGTCTGTCCTCACCTCACAGGAAGTGGAATCAGCTGCAGGACTGTCCAGCAGGATGAAGGGAGCTGGGGGAGTCGGAGGGGGGTGGCAACAGCAAGGGCAGTCAACCGGCCCCCCACCTCCACCTGGGGGTCAGTCAAAAACACAGGCTCGGTCCAAAATCAGTCCCTTCTTCACTCGTTCACCATTTCCTTTTTAATAGAATGCTGCAGGGATGGAGTCATTTGGACAGATTCCTATCGCATATACTGTCACACACTGGAAGAACCTCAATATCTCAATAAATCATAAGCATGCATAATAAAGCAAGCAGACTTCAGATCTGAAATTTGCTGTGTGTTTGTGTCTCCACAGCTGTGAGAGTCCTTCCCGTGGGAGGCGTGATGTCACCTCCTCTTGGTGCTGTGGCACCTGTAACACCTGGTTCGTATCGAGTGTGAAGAGAAATATGAGAAGAAAAAAAAGAAAAGAAAAACACCTCATCAAACTAAATTGTCATCCCTCCTTCCTGTTTGCTGTGTTTCTCCTCCTCTCTCCTCCAGATGCCCAGCAGGCTGTTTTGGCGCAGCAGCAGCAGGCGATCGTGAACCAGCAGGCCGTCATCATGGTAAACCCTCCGTCTGGATCCGCGTCTGTTTATTTGTTTCAGTGCTCTTTCTTTGGAATTAACGCTTCATCGTCTTGTTTCTCAGGCCCAGCAGATGACCATGCAGGCCATGGCCATTATCAGCAGCCCAATGACGAGCCCCCCCACCTCCCCGATCATGAGCCCTCCCATGAGCCCCCTGCTCCACCACCCTCCCAGCCCGTACGCCCCCGACAGCCCCTACGCTGTCATACCCCCGAGTCCGTACGCCAACATCCCACCCAGCCCCTACGCCAACTTCACTCCCACTCCCTATGCTGCAGCAGACATCCCACCCAGGCACCCCTATCCTCCCTCTGCTCGACCGGAACAAACTCCATCGCAGCTTCAAGCTCAGCCTCCCGCGGAGCCCCGGACTCAGCCCGCAGCTCGGCCTCACCCTCAGTCGAGCTACACCAAAACTAACAACACTGAGCCAGCGCAGCCTCAAGCGAACGCTGCTGCACGGGTCAGTAACTCTGAGACTTGTGAGGTAACAGTCCAAAGAGACATACTTACGTAATCAGTACTTTATTTTGATTTCATATTTTTCAGTCACACAATTACTCTAGTTTTGAACATTAGGGTGCAGTTTCAGAGCAACATGAAATTAATTTGTCCTCCGAACTTCACAGGAACATTTAAAACAACACAACAAGCCTATTCATAAAGCATGTTGAAAAAGATAAAAAAAAAACAACCATGTCGAATTGCAGATTACACATTTCTACTATCTGTAGCAAAGGAAATGTGCTGCAATCAAACAGTCCAGTGTAATGTTCCTTTTTTGATGTCTGCAAAGCCTTGATGCAAACTCTCTGTCCTCTCTGTGTGGCTTGTTCAGGTTCAGTCAGGTAAGGACAGCGTTCCTCGGAGGAAGGCTCCAGGCGTCCCCATAAACAAGGACACACCAGTCAGAAAGTTTGGTAAGAGAGAGAGAGAGAACATGAGAGAGAGAGAGAGAGAGAGAGAGAGCAACAGAGAGAGAGTCCCTTCAGCCCCTTTAACTAAAAGTCATCTTTAAGAGAGCTTTAGACAAGCGAGCATCTCTTATCAGCTGAAGTGTTCATTCATTTTTTTGTGTGTGTTTGTGCGTGTGTGTGCGTGTGTGTGTGTTTGTGCGTGTGTGTGTGTGTGTGTTTGCTTTAGCCCCAGTGGTGACGTCTCCTCCGCCCCCTGCTGGAGAGGTGGTGAAGTACTCGGCTCGGACTTCAGATTACATCGTCCCCAGCCAAGATATACAAGGCATCTGAATTTAAACTCCTAGAAAATGTTGATGCTGTATTATACAGCAAAACTGAATCATAGATGATCATGTAGTCAATACACTTCTTTATTTCTTTATTTCTTGGTTGGTATTTGGATTTGAAACCATGACAGAAATATGTAAAGAGTAATCTACGTAATTCTCACATGGTTTGTATTATTTTTTAAAGACATCATCAAAAGGTACAACTCTCCGCCTCCACCGGGAGACCTGCTGCTACATGAGAAGAGGTGAGGTCTCGTAAAAACACACAAACACGCATTTTAGCTTGTAAATACAGGACAGCAGTTAATGCTATTTCCAGTCACATACTGTAAAGCCCAGGCCACATCAAACTACCAACAGATAGCGGCCTGGATGTTATTGCTTGCAGTAAGCACACAGCACCAGAGTGATTGTATTCACATGCAATAAGCACAAACACACAGATTTAACACACTGCATTTGTTCTTGAAAAATCCTGCAAACTGTGATGTGTGACGTCCACACTGTGGATGTATTTAGGAGACTAGAGGGGAAGTTTAGGACGAAGCAAACCCCTCGTGATGAAGCTTTACAGATCCTCAAACCGCAGATGGACAACCCTCCTGCTCCACAGGTATACACACACACACACACACACACACACACAAAAGTGCAAGAATACACTGAACGACAGAGAGATAAACACTTGTAATGAGTCATGCAGGGTAACGTTTTTGTGTTTGTTCAGCCTAAACGTCCTGCTGTCCCCCCACCATCTGCGTCTGCAATGAAGGAGGCGGGATTCAAACCCACCAAGAGCACAAAGACAAAAGCTCCTGGTCGTCCTCTCCCTTTACCCCCTCGAGGTACTCACATTCACTCCAAGTTTACACTCATCCACATATTCTAATGCATCACTTTGCAGAGATGATGGTATCTCATGGCGCTTTCATTAAACCTCAGTGTGTTATTGTAAAGACTGATGATTGTATTTTCTACCTCATGAGACATTGGGGCTGTCAAAATTGGCCCATGTTTGAACTATTGGATATCTATTTTGTCTCTCTCTGCGGCTGAGTTCTCTGCCAGTATTACGGTTGTGGATTTTTTTTAAATGCAATGAAAGTGATGTGTGACTCCCATCATGCATTGCATTCAGTGCGGCCCATGCTTGTGCTGCTTTTTCATTTCACAATTGAATAATTCAAATATATATTCAAATTTAGAATACGTATTGACAGCCCTATGAAACATTTTCAAAGCAATTTCTGAAAGTTGTAAAATTAGCCTATATGTTGTTTATATCTGCGTGCAGTCTTTTCTTTAAGTCTTGCAGATCCAATGCAGCTAAGGTTAAGCACTCGCTAGTTCAGGGGTTACCAACCATTAACCAAGGAGAGCCAAGCACAGCATCAAAACTCCACTCACTGTGGGCACTTGAACTTAAAGCATTTGGATTTCTTTATAATACATTTTGTTGGAATAAGGACATTGAATAAAGTAAAGCTGAAGCATAACGTGACATATTTGTCGCAGTTTCTCGAGAGCTTCCTGTAGAGACTGAAACCGTCCAGACACAGCTTCATCAGAGAACCAATGAGGAGCACTACACCTACACCAATGTTCCCTGGAGATTGTACCTCAGGAAGGAGGTGAGTACTTACACAAAAACACGAACGCAAACACCGTGATCCACTGTCATAATATTTGCATTCTTTTCTCTTGTGAGTATTTTTCTTGCTTTTGCAGGTTTTTTATCCCAAAGACAGCTTCAACAATCCTCTGGTGCTAGACCTCATTTTCAAACAGGTAACTTAAGAGATAGTTGAATTAATGCAGGATTAATGGATGTAACATCTGCAGATAAACGCATGTGTTTTAATCTACATTTAATCCAATGCTTTTCTTAATTTTTTCAATTTTTGTTTACCTCTCGCCAATTGCGCTCCATATCTTTACCTGACAGCAGAAAAAAAAAAATCATAGACAGATCAAACTAAATTATTTGTAACATCACCTCCCTGCTCCTCTGTTGTCTCCTGCAGATCGTGAACGACACTCTGTCAGAGGCGTGTGTTCGCATCACCCGGGATGAAAGGCAGAAAATGAAGGCTCTTTTGGGTAGCCTGTCTGTTCTTCCCGCAGATATTTCCTCAGATCGTATGCTCTAATCCAAACACGTCTCATTGGCACTCATGAGTTCATGTGTCTGTTTGTGTGAATGACAGCTAAACACAGGGTTGAACAGAATATGGACCCGGTGGAGGAGCATGTGAAGAAAACAATCGTGTCGGCTGCCAGAGAAACCTGGGAAATATACTTCTCCCGTCTGTTCCCTGCATCGGTGAGGGCAGTAAATCCTGAGAGGATAATAATAATTACTGAGTGTGATATTTTCATTTTTATTAAACTTCTTTGTGTGTGTGTGTGTGTGTGCAGGGTAGTGTAGGAACAGGTGTGCAGGTGTTGTCGGTGTCCCACAGCGGTATAAAGCTGTTAAAGACCGTAAAAAGCAGCGCTGCCGCTCCAGACTACTTCAGAGTCCTTCGACCCTACACGTATGTGCAGTTTTTGATGTCTTTGTTTGCAAATTCTTTTTTCCATTACTTTTATCTTGTTTGGAGTTTTCAGATATGTGTGTTTTACAATTCAGAGTCAGTGTCAGGTGAGTTGTGAACCACAGACAAATATATCAAATTGTCTGGACTTTCCTCTGTTTATTTCATACTATTCAGGAGAAGATTGACGAGCCAATACTGGATTTTCAAAGCTGTATAATACCCAAATTTGAGAGTTTCTGTTTTGCAATATCTTTTTACCAATCAGTCAGCATAAACACTGATAGCGCTATATCTGAGAGAAGATAATATCAAGCAAATGTATCAGTCAAAGAGCAGTTTTTGTTCAAGCCTGTGGCTCAAAACATAAACATAAGAACTATATCCTCACCAGTCAAAAGATAAGATCACCATTTATATCAGATCAAAATATGGAGAGAAAAAAACAGCTTCTGTAATAAAATGGCATCTTTGCAAAAAGGTAAACAATGGATTGTTAATAGAAATTGCATACATTTACCATGTAGGTAGTGTTGTATTTCTATTCTCAAATACTGTATTTATTCATTATAGTATTTCATCATTATTCATATTTGAGAACTAAATTTATTTCTACCATTTCTGTAGCTTTGTTTCATATAACAGTTGGGAGCTTTTGCGTTGTATTTTTATTTTTTTTTCAGCTACGCAGACATCCTGTTTGTAACCATCCCGTCTGAAAACATGCTGGAGTTCAATCTGACCAACGAGAAACTGATCCTGTTCTCAGCCAAGGCACCGCAAGTCAAACATCTCATAGACACCTTCATCAATGAGATCAAAAAGGTACAGCACACACACACACACACACACACACACACACACACACACACAAACACACACAGCTAACACGGCAAAGGACTTTAGCAGTCTGTGGTGCTGTTGAAGTTATGATTTTACCTTAATGACTCGCCATGACCGGCTCAGAACCACGACAAATACCATAAATAGGAGGTGACACAAGGACTGAAACATTAATTTATTTGAAACTAACTAAACAACTAAAATGTCAAAACGTTATGAGGTGTGGCAGTCAGTGAGTCAGTAGGAGTAGTGTGTTTGCAGGAATGAAAGATGAGCGAGTGGAGTGTTGTGTTGTAAAAGAAAAAGACGGGAATGGGGGAGTATAGGGAGCACAGTTTCCTCTTTCTTTCTCCACCATGAAACATGTGGGGTGCGTTCTTAACGGATGACCGGACCACACACACTGCCATCTGCAACACAAAACACAGACTATTTCTACTTCCTTCATCTGCACACACTCTGTGCAAAAAACCAAACTAAAAACATGACAGTAACAGTGTGAGAGTATCCACTTGTTTTTTGTTTGTTTTTCTCTTCCTTGCAGGACTCAGATTATGTGATAGCAGAGCGAAACTTTGTGACAGACGACCGCTCGATGCTCAATTTCCACAAAGGCGACGTCATCAGGCTGCAGGTTATGGACGGGCTGGAGAAGGGTGAGACACAACGGTACATGTAATAGAAAACATGTCATCTAAAAAGTGAATCTTTGATCTGACCGTGTGTTTGTGTGTGTGTGTGTGTGTGTGTGTGTGTGTGTATGTGTGTGTGTGTGTGTGTCCCCTCCAGGCTACAGCTATGGCTGTGTGGTGAGGAAGAAGTTGGTGTTTTTGGAGGATCTGAAAAGAGACACTCAAGACTTTGGTAAGTGTTCATTAACATTTTTATCTGAAGCAAAATCAGATCTATAAACTTTTGTTACGTGATAACCAGATGTTAGCGCCATGGGCAAGGTCCAAAAATAAACAAGGCGGCCATTCAGACGGACTGCTTTGAGAGATTTGCTAACCTGAACTGTGTCCGTGTCCCCCGGAGGCGTGATAGTATCGCTATGCCGGGGAGAAATAGGTGCTGTGATGTTGACGGTGCCCTCAGCTTTTTCTAAATACAATATTGTATCAGAATTTTTTTCAGATGGAAGATGGCGATGCAATTTGAAAAATATTGATTCGTTGATTCTTTTCTTGAGGACGCAAAAGATGATCACAGATGAGGAGAAGTCCCGTCATTTCGTTGCTTAACAGATAAAAGAAAAGACAAACTCGGCGTGTGCTTCCACACACATTGTTGTAATTTACCTTTGACACATTTATTGTTTTCTTTGGCGTCTGATATTTGGACTTCAAAACCGTTGTTAAATGAGCCTCACACAGCACACTATGGCCAGGTTTTCTGAATTTGGATTCATCCTCCACCATACAAACCACTGAGATCTGTCATGTTTAATTGGGTAAAAAGGCTACATTTCTAAAGGTATGAACTAATAATATCAAATGTGAATGTAAGATCTGAGCTGCATTACACATTTGATTTTTCGTCAAGTATTAAAACCTCCGGAGATGTGAGGAGGAAATCTTGTGTTTGTGGATTCTTACTGTAAGTCACATTGTGAGGACAAACAGCTGGTCCCCACTTAAGGCGAGACACTGCAGGCAAAAACATTTTTCATGAACAAAATAGACATTTAGATATTTAGATTAGACTAGTAGGAAGGAAACATCCAAAATACACATTTATGTGTTTATTTTACACTGTCTACTTGCGTCTGTAGATTTCTCCTGAATTCACCTTAAGTTAGCATTAAATAATGCCTCTTTCAGAAAATGCAAAAAGAGAATTGTAAACGTATATATACTGTAAATACAGCACTGGCATATTATCACCTTATAAAGTTGATATGGCTAACATGTTAGCAAACAGTTGCATATGTACGCATCCAGCACATACAGAGCAGCACTAGTTTTTATTTGGAGTTTTGTTTCTCGCCACCATATGAATGTAAGTCCAATATTACCTCCACTCTTAGCTCTGTTTTGGGTCTCCACAAACTCCTTGATGAAAATGTCTGCTAAATGTTATTCCACTATATTCACCAGCTACTTGCTATCTTCATCCGTCTGCTGTTTGGTGCTGAGCAGGCAGCACCCTGTGAGATTATCAGTCCATTTTTTTTCATGGTTAACAGTTGCGTGCTGCTGCTGGAAATGAAGTTGATGAAAAAGGTGAAAGTGAACCTAAACAGTAAAGCTGTGGGCCGGAAGACACTAAAGGCTGTGAGGAACTGGTGCAGTCGGGTGCTAATTCTCTGTGGATTCATCCCTATGAGTGACCCCTTACACACTCATTTCATGCATTGTTGCGGTGTTGTTGTAGTGGTTATGGCAAAGGTTAGGGTGACCCTGCAGGGAGTTGATGTAAGTCAATACAGAAGTACCCATGTGTATAGTATCTATAATTAGACCAACGGCTGCAGTTTGTGCCAGGTTATCAGCGTTGCAGCGAGTGGGAGTTAAGTCTTATAAATGAGAGAGAAAAGCATGCAGATACAGATCTGACTTGTGTAAATGAAAAGCTGACCTGCTGTTAGAGGAAAGGCAGATAGTGATCAGGACTTACAGCGGAGAGGCGGGTTGTTTAGAGGCACAAAGCACCCAGGTGTGTGTCTGTGTGTTGGTTGTTGTAATCCCTCTGATCTGTGTGTGTCAGGTTGGAAGTTTGGTGCCGTGTTTGGCCGCTCCGGTGGGTTCCCGGCCGACTGCGTCCATCCCGTCGCTCCTCCCGACTTCCTGTCGCTGCCACTGGACCGCACGACCGAGCCTCGAGGAGGAGCGGGACAGTTCGCCGTGTCATCAGCCATCGCTGTGGCCGTGGCGTCCACCATGGCTGCGCATGAGATAGATCAAACGATTGAGGTACACAGGCACACATTCTCACATACACACATTTTTTGTGTCAAATTGTTTTTTTACTGACAATCTTTGATTTTCAGAAGGTTTCTCTTGACTGCTTTGCTGAAGGAGATCTGGATGAGAGGGCCCTGCAGGATAGTCAGTATGACATGTTGGAGTTCGCCAAGAAGTTCTTCAGACAGAGAACCAACGGGAAGGGGTGAGACATGGAAAACACACACTGAAATCATCACAAACATCACACAACACTGACCATTTCAAATCCACTGATGGAAAGTGACTGAATACATTTACTCAAGTACTGAACTTTTATGCTACAATTCTGAAATATTTGTCCTCTGTATGACACTTAATACTTACTATACCGCTACATTTCTGAGTGACACATTGTAGTTTTTGTTCCACTACATTCATTTAACAGCTATAATTACTAGTTACTTTTTTAATTACATACAAAGCATATCATTAGTTTATAGAATATGATGCTCAACCGCATGTAAAGTAATTAAAATCAGCTCAACCTGAACCAGTTGCAATATTAAAGTAGTTTTACATCATTAATAATGATTGAATAAGAAAATACTAAACATTGACACACCAATCTGCATAATGAGTACATGTAAATACATTTTGTCACGAATACTTCTGTACCTTTATTGAATTAAATTTTGAATGCAGGACTTTTACTTATAATGGATTATTTTTATTGCAACCTTTACTGGAGTAAATTATCTCTGTACTTCTTCCAACACTGTTTCAATTGAAATGCTGCACTTTGTGACTGATTTGTGTTCTCAGTGATTCCCTGAAAAACAACAGTAAGAACAGAGACTCCAGAGAGCCCACTGAAATGATCAAGTTCTCCAAGGTGCCTTTCTTCTCGCTAAAGCTTGAAATACTCTCATAAAATATATCTTCTGTACGTCGTGTTGGGGTGTATTGAATTGTTTGTATGACACTTTTTCTTCTTTGCAGACTCCTCTGACTGAGTCTCTGATAGAGTTCACGGATCCAGCCATGAACAGAGTGGCAGCTGATCTCTTCCTGTGTAAGTTCTCACCTTCTCTCATCTCTCCTCTAATTACATCATCTTATTACGTTACTCTTATTACGTTACTCGTTACTTCATCCTCGGTCAATATAAGACGTGTATCAGATTTTAAGTTCTCAAGTGTTGGATGTCTCTACAAAATATGCTACTAGATACTTCAATTATTGTTGACCTGCGTGAGTGAGTGAGTGAGTGTGTGTCCTGGTTGTGTACTTTGTATAGCGATGATGCGTTTCATGGGTGACTCTCCATCAAGGGGATTGACAGAACAGGAAGTGGTCAACACTGTCCTCAAGGTAAATACACACTGCTTTTTTCTCTCTAAGGCTACTATTTTCTCTTTGACAGTTTGCTGATGTGTGTGTGTGTGTGTGTGTGTGTGTGTGTGTGTGTGTGTGTGTGTGTGTGTGTGTCCTCCCCTCAGCTCATAGGAGAGTTCACCTTGATGAGGGATGAGGCTTACTGCCAACTTCTCAAACAGCTTACGGCTAACACCAGCTCCAAACCGTAAGTCCGCTTTTCTACATAAACAACGTACCCATAACAAACCAACCCACACTGCACTCCTCTTTCTGTAATCCTCCGTGTGTGTGTGTGTGTGTGCGTGTGTGTGTGTGTGTGTGTGTGTGTGTGTGTGTGTGTGTGTGTCTGTGCTCTCTTGTGTCGTACAGTGATAGTTGCCAACGAGGCTGGAGGCTGCTGTACATCCTGACCGCTTTCCATCGCTGCTCTGAAGTCCTCAAGCCCTTCCTGCTGAAGAACCTGCAGCAGGCTTCTCGCAGCGCCGGCGTGCAGTATCAGGGTACTAAAACAGACACAATCACCAAGTGTAGGTCTGCTGTGCACATTAGCAGCGCCACCAGCATGTAATGTTTCCATCAATGTGCTAGGCATCGCTAAAGCGTGTGAGCAGAACCTGAAGAAGACGTTCCAGTACGGCGGCCGCATTGTTCCACCCAACAGCATGGAGCTGAAGGCTGTGGTGGTCAGTGCTTCATTTTATCTATCTGCAGGGGTGGAGGAAGTATTCAGATCCCTTACTTTAATAACAATACAGTGTAAAGATACTCTAAATGTCTGCCTCGATCCAAGTAGCAATAGTATTGGCAGCAAAAAGAAAAGCTACTCCTTATGCAGAATAGCCACATTTACATCCATGTTATTGTATATATTATGTTAAAGTGGTAGCATTATTGATATAAGCTGCACATTTATCTAGTAGGACAAGAACAATGATATTCTATTTTTTTTCTTATTGTCGGGAAATCTCATGAAAAGATACAAATATAAATATATTGTCTGTGTATCCAAAGCTTATTCCTCTGTGCCACAGAGCTCCATTGTTGTCCAAATAACTATTAACCATTAAGGAGACACATTGTGTGTCGTTTTCCTTCATTACAATGAACGTGGGCACTGTAGCCTGAAAATAGCCCCCAAAAATACACTATTAAAGTCATTTTTAAAGATTTATTTAGGAACCACTGGGCTTTTGGATAAGTCTCTCCGAGTAGGGAAGCGACAGAAAGAAAACTATAGAATATCCCCATCCTTATCCTTCAACTACTTTATGGATTTATGTGTAGTTTAGTTTATAATGTGATGAATCATATCTTCTAAACTGATGCTCTATTTTGTATGTAAAATCTTAAGGTGAAGCACAATTATCTCAAAGTTGCACAGCACATAAAGGCTTGGCTTAAACATAGTTACCCTCCACTGCAAGAGATATATGTAGGTTTATGTGTGTTAAGGTCCTGAAAGAATCAGCCATAGTCTGACATGTCCAGTGTATGTCCAGTATGTACTTTATTAGTGTGTGTTTATACTTCCTCAGGCGGGACGTAGTTCAAAACGTCAGCTGTTTCTGTTTCCTGGAGGCATCGAACGTCATGTGAAAATCAAAACCTGCTCCGTAAGTGTTCAGTGAGCAGTTCAGCACCACTGGTGTCTACAAGGAGACGACTGGGATGTTTCTTGCACGTGTGTTGATATATTGTTGTGTCTTTCAGGTTGCCCTGGAGGTGATTGAGGAGCTGTGTTATGAGATGGGTTTGCACAAATTGGAGGCCATGGAAGAATATGCCATATTTTTAGTCACCAATAGAGGTGTGCTCGTCTTCTGCTTCTCTCTCTCTCTCTCTCACACACGAACACATATGAAACATTGCGTTAGTGCACAAAGTCAGACTTCTCATCAGGGTCAGTGAAGCAGGTCCACTGACAGATCACATATCAGACTGTTCTCTGGTTTCTAGCTGTGGGAGAAAGTCACACATGAGTTCACGAGTCCTTATTGGACCGCCAAGGCAAAATAACGACAGACGGCTCGATGTCACCTTTTCATAGCCGATGACGATGTCACCACACAGTCATCTTTCCTCTTCATTAGATGTTAATGTGCCATTCATTTTTCCTGATTAAATGCAGAAGCAGCTTTTGTTCTGGTTCTTGTTGCTGTGCACAACTTTGTCATATTCCTTTGCACACCGCTCCTGTTGCTTCGGTCTTAAAACGTTTTCAGTGCTGAAAGCTCCAACGCTGGTTTTGTCCCCTGAAGCATTGACACAGAACTCTTTGCATTCTCTGGTTGATTCCTCTCCTCCCGTAGCAGTAAATATCTCCACATGACAACAGCTGGCAGCTGCTGTTGCTCGTGTGCTATTCAAAAGCACAGCAGGTCACACAACATGTGTCTACACAAGTATTAGCATGACTTTTCAGGGTGTTTATGTCAGTAGTTTGTATTGGATTTAAACGAGTGTTTGCTAGAACTTGTCAGATTCTGATTGAACAAACAAATCCTTCATAATGACAAATATTTAAATGTGTAGTTTTAACTTCATTTTTAGATGATTGTGCAAATCTCTGGGTAATAAAGGTAATGTGTATGTGGGTGTGTTCAGGTCAGAATGTGCGGCCTCTGAACAAACACGAGTACATCCTGGATGTCGCGACAGAGGCCGAGGTCGTCGACACCAACTACAGCTTCTGGTTCAGACGAGTCGTCTGGACTCAACCGCTCAAGTTTGAGAATGAGCTCTGTGTTGCCATGCACTATAACCAGGTAAGACGGGCGGTGTTTCACATACACAGTGTATGTTACCGACATGAGTGCTCGTGTATGTGACTGTGTTTGTGTGTGTGTATTTAGATCCTGCCGGACTACCGTAAAGGCCTGCTTAATGTTCTTACACATGGAAAAGTGAGCGATCAACAGTTCCACCAGATCTCCAAACTGGCAGCTTTGCAGCACAGAGCCAAAGACATCGTCTTCATCCCCAGCATGTGAGAAAACAAACAATGTTTGCAATACAGCTTCTAGTTTCATTGATCAACTTTATTTAGTTAATCACTTTATCAATAATATCATTTTTGTTTTGCCACTGACAGGCTCAGATTGATAACATAAGTGTCTAACAACATTATGGAAAGGGCCCTGCAGAGAAATATAACGTTTTTCTTTACATTTTGCTTAATTTGGTCCGTCTGTTCACTCGGAGAAGTCTCGTTTTGAAAGTTACCCTTTAATACAGAGGGTTATGTATATATACATTTAGTCATTAGCCATTTAGCCCCTCTTGTTTTAATACACTCAACACAACTGCCATGCTTTTAATTGGCTCCAGAAGTTCTCCAGATTCTTGTTATGGCAATGAGAGCGATTAAATGATGTTTATCCATTATATCAGGGTGCATTTAACCTTCCCTGCTTCCCTATTAACACCAATCCAAGTTCATTTTAAAGTTGAACATGACCAAAATATAAAAGCGAAATTAGCATAAATTTTCCAACAAATATCCATTTTAACTGCAGGTTAATTATTTTAGTTAAATCAACCTTAAACAGAGATTCCGTCTCAGCACATTCACTGGAGATGCACATCGGATTAATGGGCATGTGTTGTTGTGACAGTACAGCAACACTAAAGCTGCAATCGATGTCTTTCTACATGTTCTTTTCTACAACCGCACAGGAAGAAACCCATTGTTGAAGAGAGAATGCAGTCAATAGTTTTTGTGTTTATGGTGTGACAACTGAAAAAAAAATATTGTCCTTTAGTGCTCTTACTATTGTTATCAGTGTCTCTCTTCACACACACACACACACACACACACACACACACACACACAGACAAACACACACACACACACACACACACACACAGACAAACACACACACACACACACAAACACACACACAGACAGAGAGCCGGCAGCAGAACCGAAACAGCTCACTGAGTAAAATCATCCTGAGAAATGTTAAGAAGTCACTGAGTGAAGCAGACTGCTGTTTATCTTCTTCTCTCCTCCAGACATGAACTATCAGAGTACATCGCCACACCCCTGTTCAAGAAGCAGCCCCCTCAGCAGTGGGTTACCATGGTCACGCAGCACATGCAGCAAGTGCAGACCCTGAACCCGCACCAGGCCAGAGCACAGTTTATGGGTAAGATGTCCTGTGATCAGTGATTTTGGGCTGAACTGGTCAGTTTTTACAAACTGCATCTTTTGCGACTGGACTTCTCTACCGCTATATGTGTGATACCTTCAAAAGCTCCAACTTAACCTTAAGTTGAGATAGTTTTGACAAGTGTTGTTTCCAGAGTCAACAATGAAATGCGGAGCGCAATCGATCATTGGATTAATCTTCATGTTGACAGGAACAGTCATCTGCATTTAGATGCGAAGAAGAAATGCTGCAACGTTAATGTGTAAATTTGCACTTTTTTAAGGATATTGTCATAACACAGAAAGTATTTGTGTCTTAAAGAGATGCTAGTGATTTAGTTTTTCTCTTACATAATGTTGAGAGACAGATTAAACGAACTCGAAGCAGCAGAGGCCCAGATTCATTGACTTTTAGTCTCTAGTATTGGTAGAATCCTCAAAACACTGGAATCCTATATTTCCTATATTGCAACTCAACCTATGATAGAGATAATATCACCAGGGCCATTTTGACAAATCCCCTCAAGAGCCACAGAAGACATTTACAACTTTGTTCTCAAGCAGAGTCAGACTCCTCATGATGAATAAAGAGAAATCAATGTGTAAAATCTGTGCCCCTTTAAAAATGTAATTTTTGTCCAGTGTCCTTGAATAAATTCTGTGTCTTTGTGCGTGCAGGGCTGATCAGTGCATTCCCCATGTTCGGCTCCTCGTTCTTCTACGTCCAAAGCAGCAGCTCCACCACCTTCTACGCCCCCTGCATCATTGCTGTCAACCAACATGGCCTCCACTTCCTGCACAAAAATACACACGTAAGAGTAGAGTCACGTAGCAGTTTCAGTAGACAGTTTTGTTTTTTTATATATATAATGCTTGGTCTCTTTTGGTGCAGGAGCTGATGGCAGTGGTCCCCCTGGTGGAGGTGCAGTCCAGCCGCACCCAGAGGCCCACTGCTGGAACGAGTTACCCGTATGTAGACCTGACCCTGGGGGACATGAACACACAGCGGGTCATTCAGCTACAGCTGGAGCAGGTATTACGCAAACACAGACAAGGACACTCTTCAGAGGCCACACATGATCATTTGCAGTGAGCTGCCACGGTAGTGTGCTCATGTTGGCGGTGTTTGTCCACAGGGCCTGGAGTTGTGTCGAGTCATCGCCATGCAGGTGGAAAACATGATGTCCGTGAGGGAGAGGCGACTCACCCTGCCACCCAGCGAAATCACCATGTTATAGCACATGCCTTATTGTACACGCACACAGTCGTATGTACACACTAATGTAGATGAAACCCTTATAAATAGCCTATCTCTTCTTGCCTTCAGGCATTCTAATATTATATGTGAATGCATAAGTGTACCCTGAAGTCTATTATACTGCATTAACTGAACTGCATACTGAAGACAGTGAAAAGTAAATATTACTTCATGTTTTTTTCAGCTTGATATCTTTATAGTTGCACTTACTACTGTATTTGTAATTGATTAAACATTAGAGATGTTTTTAAATGTACAGACTGTTAATGAACAGCGAGGAAGCTTCACAGCCCTGTGCCCTGTCACAAAGTTTTATAACTGATGTGTAACATGTTTTTTATGTTTTTTTATTTATACTGTTTATTATAAAAGTTGATGTTAGTTAACAGTTGTTGCAATGTTAATGCATCACATTTCTTGTTTTGTAAAGAATATTTTGTCTAAATAAAATCAGCTATTTTAAAGAGAGGGGTATGAGCACTTCTGCTGTCTATTGTTTAAATTATTAAACAAGTATTTTGTATGAAGAGGTATCAGTAAAAAAATGCCACAACTGAATGTTTTGATATGAATGAAAATCAACAAAGCCTCTAAAATATTTATTTTAATGAACAGTGTCCCAGGCAAGTGACAAACAGTCAGAAAAAGTATTCAATTTATGATACAAACAAAGGAATTATGATAAATGATTTCAAAATAATAAATTATGAAACTTGTTGCAAAATAGTTGTTGAATTTATCATTTCGTAAATAAATTCAATATGCATAAACATTTTAAAAATACATCATGTTTCAGTGTAACGTTACAGCACTTAGGTTTAATACTGGGTGAGTTATGGACATAAAATAGGCGTGTTTTAAAAGATTCACAAACATAAATAAGGTGTCTGTGACTATTTGTATCTACAGGATGAAACGTTTACTTAAAACATTAGTTTTTTACTTGAGATATCCAGCAGGGAATTTATGCACAGAAATGTATATTTTCCTATTAGTTATGCACAAATATTCAGGTACAAGTTGCACAAATTTATCTTCACAGAATTAATTAAATATACATGAAGTTTATTACTATTATTATAGATATCATCGCAATAAATAACACTATAATAAATGACAACCTTAAATAAACATTGCCAACTTTATGGAAGTAAATAAGAGCTCAGTGGGACAAAATTAGCAGTCGCTTTGCGCGTGCCCTCTCAGCTCCAAAAATGGATTTACGCGTTTGCCCATCAAGTCACGTGACAGTACCTCCCCAAAGTGGCAGGTCAACACTGAGCATGCGCAGATCTGTGGCAGGTTACACAAGTTTATTTTCAGCCTTTTGTTTTTTGCTGGGGACGGGTTACGATGGTGTGAAGTGACCGTGGTCAAAGCCTTGTTGCGAATATAACGATGTTTTTCTTAAACTCTCGGAGTCAACCCGAGAGCGGAAACGTCTCCGGAGCACCGGGATTTGGAATTTAACGGTGACATGTGAAATGTCGCTGCGTGGTTTGTCGGTATTTCCAGGCGGCAACGGACAGACCAAGCCAGGCTAGTTTTAAGCTAACGTTAGCTAACTCGTAGCCAAGCAACTCGGGTAGCGCTCGTTAGCCCTCTCCGCTGGCTGAGCGCGTGTTGTAGTGTCGACGCAGTGTTTGTCACAGCTCTGATTTGTTTGCACGCGCCTGGTAATATCATATACGGATTGACACGTTTCACACCAGACTGCTGTTTTAGTGCGAAGCAATTTAGCGAATGTTAGCTACATGTGTGTGCTGGAGCGAGGGGTCCCTTAAGCTAGCGACGTCCACCATCAAAGACTCCCTTTGACATCTCAGCTAGTCTGTTCACATTAAACTGTCCGTTAAAGCAGTGCTAAAAATGCTACGCTGATACATGCTAACCGTTAGCTTTAGTGGGTCACGTCGCACTTCACCGGTCATATTGTTTTTGGCTGACATGGCATCCAGCGGATACTCTGACCTGAGGGAGAAGCTCAAATCTATGACTCCGCACAAAGACGAGGTAAAAAATAAATACGTGGAGAGTAACGGCAGCGGAAAGGAGCGAAAGCGTAAGATCCGAGAGTCCGACGACGACGAGCACAGCGATGACAGCGTGGAGAGCCGGGAGCAGGAGGCCGGCCGGGTGAAGAGCAGCATCCTGCAGGAGAACATCTTCACACTGGAGGAGTGCACCCTCATCGAGGAGAAGATCGACGACGTGGTTACCAAAGGGGAGGCTGGACTTTACCGTGAGCACACGGTGGACAGGGCGCCCCTCCGCAACAAGTACTTCTTCGGGGAGGGGTACACGTACGGATCCCAGCTGGAGAAGCGTGGACCGGGCCAGGAGAGGCTGTACCGCAAAGGAGAAGTGGACGAGATCCCGAGCTGGGTGCACGAGTTGGTGATCAAGCGCCTGGTGTCCAGTGGAGTGGTCCCGGAAGGGTTTGTCAACAGTGCGGTCATCAATGATTATCAACCGGGTGGCTGCATTGTGTCACACGTGGATCCTCTGCACATCTTTGCACGTCCCATCGTCTCGGTGTCCTTCTTCAGTGACAGCGCGCTCTGCTTCGGCTGTCGCTTCCAGTTCAAACCGATCCGGGTGTCGGAGCCTGTGTTCGTCCTGCCCGTGAGGAGAGGGAGTGTCACAGTACTCAGGTGACTATGGCTGTTTGTCACTGTCCTGCATTGATTGCATTACTGTTCAAAGTGTGGCTGAGGGCTGACAGCATCTTTCTCTCTCAGTGGCTACGCTGCTGATGACATCACCCACTGCATCCGCCCACAAGACATCAAGGCACGTCGTGCAGTGATCATCCTCAGAAAGTGAGTCAACTTACTATTTCTTAAAAAGTCATTATTATTGCAGGAAATCTCTCTCTCTGATCGTTGTGTTTGAACTGCTGCTCCCTCCTGTTTGCCAGGACCCGACCAGATGCTCCTCGAGTGGACTCTGAAAGCTCTTTTCCTGTCGTTGAGAGACCTGCACCCCTGAAAGCCAAACGCTCTCATCGTCGCAGAGCAGATGCTGATGCTGCTCACAGGTATACAGACACGCATACTGAGACGGCAAATGTCTTCATGGGTCCAATCAAAACAGACCCGTGGAAAACCTACTATATTTGCATGGACTAACAGCTAAAAAGATTGTCCTCATCTGAAGGGGGTGTTAGGACAGTCAGTGGGTCAATCTGACAAACAGACCAGAGGATAGTTACACCTCATATTAAGAGCTACTTCATTCGACAAGGCGCCGCATCGGCCAATAAAATATGTTCAAGCGCATGTTCCTGGTTGATTGTTTTGCGACGCCGTATTTCTACTGCTTACCTCAAGATCGTTGCATCAAAAGACAAGCAGTAAAATGTAGAGCACTAGAGTCCTTCCTCATCACATCATAATCACTGTGAAGTGTTTTGACATCTGACACGCCTCCAAACTCGTAGATCCGTTTCTATAATCGTATTTGCATAATCATATTTCCTCCCCTCACTGGGACCTGAAACTAACCCAACAACACATAAACAGCCCTGGACATGTTGGGCTGTCCAGGGCTGCCCTAATGTAAAGCAGCCCTAATGTAGGGCTGCTTTCAGTCCGCTCACTGAGATGTATCGACATACTGACCCCAGACCCAGTTAGACTGAATATAATTTGCACACAGCCCAAATCAGATCATGGATCGGGTCTTGGTTATTAGGAACCATGATGACCTTTTGAAGGGATCCTACAAGGTTGGACATGGAAGCATTTCTGTATCAATGACAACAGGACACAAGCCTGAAAGGAATGCAGTCAGATTAACACAAAGACTGCAGCACGGCAGCACAAAGTAAAACATGTGCGTCTTCTTTCGCCTTTTAAGATAAGTCATAGATTTATTGTCAGTCGTCAGATCTTATGCACAAAATCAATTGAATAAACTATGAAAGAGCCTATTTTAAACTAATTCAAACTATGCGGTGCGGCCGGTTCAAATGTTCAACCACAGAAATAATCATCATAGGAATTAAAAAATACTCCCAATTTAACATCCTGACACTCGATGCTTGTGCACTGTCGTACTTTATAAAACAGGCAGCTTTTAATAACGTTAAATGATGAGATTAATGAGAGAATGTATCCGTGGATTCACTGTGAGAAGCGGGGGCGAGCGTCCCTCGTGCCCACAATGGTCATTAATTAAGACTTCAAAGGCAAAATAATTTAAAATCCATCAGTGATGCAGCTTGCGAAAGAACAGACAACTCTCTTCTTTCTGGATATCACAACATTTTGCTCTCTCACTCACTCACTCACTCACTCAAGTAAATGTGCTTTCATGTCTGAATGAAGCCATGAGGAACATTAACTTAACAGTCACCTGTGTTTGAATGACAAAAAGCCACCACTTAAACAGATCGATGAAGCCAGTAATGTTGCATGTTACATAATGTTGCACAAGACATACATCTGCACTGACAGCTGAGGCTGTCACAACGTTCTAATGTGTTCCTGTTGAACAGCCGTCATGTAATGTTTATTAATGAAGATCCAAACCTGACTTGGCCTCTTAATGTTTGTCCTCCGCCAGGCCGCGGGTGCTCGAGATGGACAAAGAGGAGAACAGACGTCCGTCAAACTCCCATCATCGTCGTCACAGCATCAGCTCCGAGAACTACTGGAGACGCGGTCAAGACTCCGACAAACACCGGGAGAGTTCAGATCGCAAAGTCAAAATGAGACGCCACTGAGCACTTCTCCGTCACACATGTATACATATAAATATATCTTTTATGTATTTCAATATTGTAACTTTCTTTGATCAGTCGTCATTTTTCTCGCTCCTGTTTTAGTCCGGCACATGGAGCATAGTCATCATGTTGTCTGCGTTTTGGTTTGAGTCTGGATAAGTTTGAGTGCGTTATTTGTTTCCGGCAGACGAAGCTGCTACAAGGGTCCGAACCTCAATTTACTAACTCCAGTTAAATCACCTTTAATTGAACATTTCTTGTTTCTATGTCCATAGATATTTCAGAATGGCATGTATTTTTTGTAACCAAGATGTACAGACCACAAGAGCTAAAAAACAAACAAACATGTATGTATGGATTTGTACAAAAGAAAACCTAACTTGTTATAACGTACAACACTTTTGTATAGTCTTTGATTGGGGGAACTTTTCTGCAGGAAGAAACATTTGCTTTTTTGGCACCCACATTTCTTCTCCTTACCTTTCCTGTGCTGTCCCAGATCTTAGTTCACTGAAGCAGTTTAACTTGAAACAACTGGCAGATGTGCAGAAATGCTTTCTGTGTTATGATTTGATTCTGCTGTACGGCTCATCTTGGTGGAGGTTACAATGTGGTGCGTCAACTAAACTGATGTTTTATGGAGTGATTAAAAACCTCAGGCCTTGTTTTACACTCCTGTTTCAGTTTGAAGTTGCTTACCTTGTAAAGTGACAAAGGCCATGTTATTGCTGATCTGTATTAAATCTAATTTTTCCTCATTTACATTGGTGATGTTTGGATCAGACAGAACGACACCAGCCCTATAATGTCTTGTTGAATGTCTGTCTAAACACGTGGCGGAGAAGAAACTCGATATCCGTATCTGTCCGTGAGATTAGCTGTGTAAACACACGTTTGTTTTCTCCCAGTCAGCCATATTTGGCTGAGGCACTTAATAGCTCACTAGTAGGTTAGTCTGGAGTTACACATGAACAAAAATAAACCTTGGTTCAAAGGAGAAATTACTTTCTAAAAGTGGGGTGGATTTTTGACCATGGTTTTCTGAAGCTCTGCTACAGTCGTGAACTTCAATATGATCGCAAAAGTTATAGTCTGCTGGAGGCAAATACTGCGGCTCTTCAGACAGAGTGGGACACAGTGGTGGCTTCATGGTGTCACTGGTCAGGTGGAGGAACAACAAACTGGAGTGTCTCATGTTTAAATGATCAAGCAAATAACTGGCCATGGCATTGATGTACTCAGGACCACTTTTTGAAGGTTTCATCTCGAGATCGATCAAAATTTTACTCGGTCTCAGAGGAATTAGGATTTTATTTCTAGATCACAACGGTGGGGGTATCGCTAAACTCTGTGGATTGTTAATTGTTAATATAATTTCTGTGATTGCTTATGAAAAACAAAGGAAAATTCCCACACACAATTCTCCTCTGCCATGCCTTTTGATAAGTTTATCAAGACATTTCTCATGTTCATTTATACATCCACACACAGTATGTCCGGCAAAAAAAAGAGGTGAATGAAGCTTAATCTTCATGTGAGTTCTGTTTAGTTTTTCATGGGAATGTGAATAATTCAGATGAATTTGAGGACTGCCTATATGGTTTGCATGTTTTACGTTGTAGCTGAGGTGTGTGATTCATTGTGGGACTTGCACTGGTCTTGGTCTTGACTCGGTCTCAACCCCTTAAAAGTCTTGGTCTCGATACACTCTGGTGTCCTTCAAGACTTCTCAATTAGAATATAATTTCTATAGAAAAACAATACAGTAGATACTGTATGTTATTCCAGGCATGTTCTAGGTTTTCTGTCCACAGTGGTGAATGTTTTGTCGGGCCACTTTGAGCAGGAAGGTATACTGTTAGAGAAGTCATGCCGTCATCCTCATTAAAATCAGTTTTTTTGCTTTGGAATATTTGTTTTATTGATTGATGTTAATTTGCATTTCTAGGATCATATTAGTTAAGTGGTGTTTTTCACTCAAGGTGAGAAGTCAAAGGGACAACAAGTTTGGACCTTTGCTATTCAATTTCTGTATTTCCCCAATAATTCCTGAATCTGTATATAAGTTTGTATATTATGCATCCTCGATATTTCCAGAAAATTATTTATAATTCAATAAATGAAATCTGTAAAATCGATCAGCTTTTGCATGTTTTGAATTGTACAATCAAAGGTAACATGAACTCTGAAGCCTCACGTTCAATTATTTTTCCTTTTTCAAATTTAATAAGATCAAGTCTTGGAATCAAACGCATAAAGAGATTTGACTTTTAGCTGTCGGGTCATAATAATAATTTGAGTTTTTGACTTCAAACGAAGAACGATTGGCAATCAAATCAATCGACAGCATGTTTGGAAAAGAGTTTCTGAGATAAGAGGTTTAAAGTTCATTCTTGACCTTAGAAAAGCTGTTTTAGTTTGTCCAAAAGTTTACGTGACGAAGACGAAGTGATATGATCAAAAGCACTGAAACAGTTACTAAATGGCATTATTCAAACCATTTACTGAAGTAAAAGTAGCAATACCACACTATTAAAATACTCCACTACAAGTAAAGTGCATTCAAAATTTAAGCTTGGTAAATGTAGAGACATATAAAAGTAAAAGTACTCATAGTGGCAGCTGTCAGTGTTATACTATTACATTATTGAGTCACTATAATTGATGTATGAATACGTAAGTTGTGCTTTAATGTTGCCTTTTTCTAGTCATTTTAACTACTCTATATATACTTTTTGGCATTTTAATCTGTAACAATGGATCATATTTTATGATCTTGTTTTGTTTGCAAAATCTTAATTTGAAAAGTAGTTTACAGCTTTCTTAAATAAATGCAGGGAAGTGAAAAAGTACAATCTTTTATAGTTTAAGTATCACAACATGGAAATAAAAAGTACAACACAAGTATCTTGAAATTTCAGTAAAAGCATTTAGTAATTTTTCATGCTACATAGAACTTATTTTCGAGTTCCTCGTGTAATAAATCGGTGTTGGGTTTTCCTTCTTCTTCTGGGGCGCCGCTGCTCCCTAGCGCAATTAAAGAGGAGAAGAAGAAGACAGCAGCTGTTAGCTAGCTAGCTGGTTGAGCTATGTTTACTTTATGTCCGTGAACAATAGAAAGTAACTTCACGCGTTGTTGTTGAAGAGCATTGAAATACGTATTTGATCAAAACACTAATGGTGTGGAGTCGGACTGTTGTATTTCTCTCCGCACTGAGTGGTAAGTGTACTTAAATAGTAGTGAAGGAGACAGCTGGCTGTCACTGACTGCTAATGTAGCTGGCTAGCTTTACTAATGGACGTCAGTTGCTCTCAGGAGTTGACAGCAGTTTGTCCGTTTGCTGTTTATCTCCGTGCTACTAAATGTAGTCGGTCGATTGATCGTGTATGTTAGCTAGATGGACATTTTGTCGTGTTACGTTAACAGCTGTAACGTTGCTAATATCTGGCGTTAACGTTAGCTACACCTGTAGGCTGTATAAAAACACTGGAGAGGATGCCAGTACGTAAATGATAAACTCAACATGTCAGCATTCCAGCCACGAGGATTACATACAGTTATACTGCAAGATACATTTTAGAAATCGTTTGTTAAAGGTCTGTGTAGGAGAAGCCAGAATGCTCTGCAGTGTTCTTATGCATGTTACGAACAATGTTGTTGTATAGCAGTGCTGCCACCTTTGGTCAATACAGTACACCACAAACACAAAAGAAAACTTTACAACCTAAGTATTTTCATTTATACTGCCTGTCCCGTCACTTACAGTAGCAGCCTGGTGGTATATGATGTTGGTCATGCTACAAATCTAATCAGCCCAACCAAAACCTGTCAACATCAGGAATTCTTTGGTTGATGGTAATGTAGCTAACATCAAACAGGAAACGTTGAAAGTGTCCCCTCAGGGCTGAACGTGCTGCAGACACCTGTTGAGCTGTGCCCTGACAAGGAAGGCTCTTATATGTTTGACCCAGCTGGTCCAACTCTGGCGTGTATTGGCTCTATTAATAGAGCATGTCTCCATTCCTGGGCTCCTGTACCTCTGGCAAAAAAAAGAGAGGAGACACACTCCTTGGAAATAGTTTAGGGTCATGTCATGTGGCTATTTCTGGATATCAGGTGCCTGTAGCTAAATAAGATAAGCACAGTGCATGCGTTAAAAACATTTTCAAACAAAGTATATTTATATCATGGTCACAAATCTGTTTCTACAGGTTATTGGTCAAATAATTTTTTTCCCCCATTATTAACAACCTCACCCATTGCTTTAGCTGTGAGAAACATTGCACTTGATCTCAGGCCTTATAGTCAGACAGGCAGCTGTTCTACCAATAAATACATGTCACAGAAAACACTTTGATGTGTCAATGATGCTGGCATTCTATGTGGCTCACTGGAAATGCTCAATGAGACACTACAATGGAACTGAACCATTGTTAATGTTATTAATTACAGTTGTGATATTCCTACTAAAGGCCATCAACTTCTCTGGCACAGAAGCAGCCAAGAGAAACGAACCCACAGCTCGGTTCAGTCTCTTTTTATTAGTCGAGTGCATGAATAATGGAAAAGTTGTACAAATTAGTCAAGTTACTTTTATTTCCATAGCCTAATATCAGTAATGTGTCTCAAGGGGATTTACAATCCATACAGCATAAAATAACATTTTTGAAACGATAATAGATAAATCGTCTTCATGTAAACTGCATTACTTAATACATCAGTGACTTTATTAAAAATACACTTAAAAGCATTAATTTGTTTCTATGACGGGAGCACGATGTGTCCACAGGAAGCTGTTTGGTTTCTCTATGATTCAATAACAAGTTATAACCGTGTTTATTTAAGTCTTTCGATGTTGTTCTCAGGTAGATTAAAACATTATTAATCATGATTAATACTCTGTGGATCCACTGATGTAAACGAAAACTACAGACATACAGAGGTAACAAATTAAAGAAAAGAGTGAAATAAAGGAAGGTTTTCTGCCACCTTAAGTCGACAGAGGAGCTTTGGCATAGATTCTCCAAGTGAAGCTGCTCTGTAGGGATGCTTCCTCCAAAAGATATTCCATCATTTGGTGTTTTGAAGAGGGGGAGAGTGCTTTCTCTAACACGTCAGTCCAAAACCTTTGTAAGTCTTCACTTGAGTTGAGATCTGATCATTCTCATTCTATGATTTACAGGTTTTGTGCCAGTTAATACGGTGTTTGAATTAGTTTTTTTTCTCCGCTTATTCATCCAGGTTTTTATTTCCTATACTTTTTCACCTGTCAGTACATCTTGAAACATTATTCTGCTGCACATCCTGTCAGTTTGTCTCATGGGTTGTTCTAACTTCTTGACATTCATGTGGATGTGCAGCTCCATCCCATGATTTCTAGAGATCCAGACTGCTGCAGGTGGAGTTCATATTCCCTCTTGCTGACAGTTATGTCTCGTTCCTCTCTGCCCACTTGAATTTATGTGATGCGTTCTCCTTTCCCAAGGCTAACCGCACAAAAAAAAAAAAGAGGAAGCGATGAACTTCCAGGGCAGTCGGAGGCGAGGAGAGGATGGCATCGCCGTGGTGATTGATTTCCTGCTGTCTAATGCCCAGCTGGTTCTGGGAGTCGGGGGGGCGGCCGTGCTTGGAATCGCTACACTGGCAGTGAAACGGGTGAGTGTGTTTTTTTTACAGGTTGTTGGTACCACATCAGTGCGTCATTCATAGAAACTCTTCAATCATTACTGCAAAGATATCGACCTGGGCAAAAAAGAGCTGTAAAGCCCTAAATTCTCCATGAATCTTTAATGCACAAGTACTATGCTAGCACTCAAAAAACGAGTGTGTCCATTGAGTTGTATTGGATAAATTGTCAGTTCATCCTCCAGCTGTTTCTTTACCTGAAGCGTGATTTGCTGGCAAGTACATACAGACTATAAAGCTAAAACTACTCATTCAGATCAGGATACTGTGTGTTAAATTGATTGCTGTTTTGGAAATTAATTAAAAATGCATTTTGAAAATGGTAATTTGTAGTTAATGAAAAAACCCTCCTCAGGACGGTCCTGTCCGAGGTTGCACGTGGCTGAGGTTATCTTTGCGCCTCCTCAATCTAAATTGGCTTACCTGCGGGTTATGGCCGTGTTTTGCACTCCGCATCATCAGTCATGCAGTGCAGCCTGGCTGTGATGATGAGTGTTTGTGTTTAGCTGATAGAGCGCGCGGGCCGTGCCGCTGATGAGGATGAAAAGGTGAAGCGGAAGATGGCCGAGAGCTGGGAGGAGTTGAGTTTGGTGTCTGCCTCCCCCACGATGATCAAGAAGGGCATAGAGGGCGTGGTGATGAAACATGTCGCCAAGGCAGCCAGACAGCAGAAAGGTATGCGCTACATCCCAGCAACTGAACGCAAAGGAGATGCACACAAACATCACAAATACATGGAGGTGTTTACTCTCATCATCATTGTGGCCCTCTGATACTACTTGACAGCCGTTTTGATCTCTTTCTCAATCAGCTGACCTTTCACAACAGCCTCAGACATCCTCTCCGGAGGTGCCGTCTAAACCCGAGTCCAATTCTAAGAGACTCCAGCTGTGCGTCCTCAGTTTGCAGGTACGCTCTGACATGTTCGCCTCTGAGCTCTTGAAGGCATAGATTATGCATTCAGTCTTAGCAGCTGCTGTAAAAGCTCTGCTCGGTGTTGGCTCATTCAATTGTGCATGTGTAACATGTTTTTTTTTAAAGCGCAGTGCTTAGGGGATATGCATTGTTATGCACTGGTTAGGCTGCACAGAGCCCCGGGAGCCCTGCATAATCACAGCACTGCGTGTGCGCTTGTGCACTGGCCGTATATAGGAAGTCAAACAAGCATGAAAGCAGCTTTGAGTTAGTGTGCAGAACGCCCACATAAGCAGAACTGCTGTGGATTGTTCTGTATGAGCTGCATGAAACAATTTGTTCAGTAAATGTTAGCAGAGCAGATGCGAACGCATGACTGGACATAAGAGGGGATTTGAAGCAATGGGATTTGCCTTTTTAAAGAAAGCTTATGCAAATTGTTTTATGAATAGTTGCACATCTTAATTTTCTATTCTGCATCCCAGGAACAATGCTTTTTACAATGAATACAGGGAAGTAAAAAGCCAGTATTTGTAATTTAAATGACTTGTTTCTGAAAAGGTACCACAATACCATTGTTTCAGATGCTTCTTGGGTCCAGTTTAGCCGTGGATATAGGCCTTTACTACGCTTTAAGCTGTTCATGCAGTAACTACACTTGTTTGACCTTCTTTAAATGCTTCTTTAACAGCAGTAACAGAATACCCACAGCATAGTTCCGCTGCTGTTTGCTACTTATCTTCATCGCAGCAACTTATCTGGCAAAGCATCATCCTGTCAGAGTTCTTAAACACTGAAAAATGTTTTTTTTTAACCCTTTCAGAACACATCCTGGTCATATTGTGCACCTATATATGCAAAAAAAGACCAAAACATATTATTATTATATTTTTTATATCAAAATCCAATCCTATTTTCTTCCTGTTAAACAAAATATGAGGTGTGCTTACGTAAGCTAGTACCAATCGATTTCAACCAATAATACTCTTCTTTTTTTTTTCTTTTTTTTATTTAACCTTTATTTAACCAGGTGAGTCCCATTGAGATTAAAAATCTCTTTTTCAAGGGAGACCTGGCCAAGACAGCCATCCATCAATCATTCGGCAGCTTTTAGGACGATGGAGGTGTGTGTGTGGAGCCACAGTCTGATGTAGCTCCTTTTATAGCCGTCCAATCAAATGCCAAGGATTTGATTTAAGCCCCTCTACTCTAATAACTGTACACCGATCAAACGTTCTGTTTCACTTGGGAATATGCCCGAGCACAGAAGCGAAAGACGCTCTAACTTTAAGTACGCTGAGAGGCACAAAACAACCGTAAATATTCTATTACTCAAGAGACCACTGTGTGTTTTCCCAGTGGAAGTGTAAAAACATCAAAACTGTTTTTGTTACCTTCGTGTTTAGAGTTGTTATCTCAGCATCACTGTGTTTGTGCCTCTCTGAAGGATGCACATACGTGGACATAGTACGGTAGTTTTCTGCCTGAGCTCTGTGTCGTTGGTAAACTGTATGACATGTGTGTAGGAGCGACTGCAGCAGTTCTATCACACGAGGGCGGCTCTAGCTCCGGATGAGGTCCGGAGGGCTCAGTCTCTAGCTGTGGACATCTGCACTGAGATCCAGGCCTTTTTGCACAGACGCCTTCCTGACATGCCCCTCGGAGAAATGAGCCTCGGAGGTTCTCTACTGGATGACCTGCAGGTACACGCACTGTATTCCTTCTTTTTTCCCCCCTTTGTGTTGTTGTATAGCAAGGTGTGAGATGAATAATACCACCTGTGTTTATCTGTGTGTGTGTGTGTGTGTGTGTGTGTGTGTGTGTGTGTAGGTGGTCAGTGCGGACCATGCGTGTCTGCTGGTGCCTCTACAGCTGGAAGCCTCTCTGTGGCACCTCATCCCGGGAGAGGAAACGCTGCTCACACACCCGCTGCACTGGATGGTCCGACGGGTCAATCTGGAATATTTTCCCAGAGGACTCAGCTACTGGGACAGGTGATCGTACACTGATAACCCAAATATTTTGAATTTGTCAAGCAGCACTGTTGGGTGTTTCTTTCTATTTAAATAGAGCAGGCGTGTTTGTGTAACTAGTAGATTTTTACTGCTCATTTGCAACAATTGTGTTTTTTTTATTACAAATAATGCAAAGTGTTTGTCAGGAAAAATGATTGTATTGCATCTCTTTCTTAACCAAAACTAGACCCGCAACTAACAATTATTGTCCTTATCGGGGCAGAAGGTGACCTCTTTCAACTGTTTGGTTTTGTTTGACCAAAAGTCCCAAAATATTCAGTTTACAATAAAGTATGAAAAAGAAAAAGCAGCAAATCATTGAGAGGCTGGAATCGGAACATTTTCACTATTTTGCTTGAAAAATGACTGAAACAATTAATCACATCAAATTCACTAATTGTTTCAACTAAAACGAACCCTTTTTAGTAATTAAAGTTCTATTTCACATTTACATAACATACATTCCCAGACAGGATCCTTAAAAAGCCATAATAAATACATTGAATCAGATTGAAATGTGTAGTATAAGAGGTCACTAATTTTCGACCAACATAAATTAAGTATAAAATGAGACGCTGCCATTTTAAATCAGCCTTTGTAACTTATAATGAAAAATGAGTGTTATATTGAGCCCTTCAGTAAAGCAGTCTGTCTTTGTGTCTTGTAGGTACCTGGTGGGTGGTTACCTGTCTGCAGAAGCGGTTGTGAACATGTTTAGTAAAGCTGTCATGGAGACTATAAACTGGCTGTCCATCAGCAGCACTCTGGACTGTCTCGTCAGACCTGTACAGGGAGGACCAGACCTGAGACTGGAGATTCGGTGTGTGTCCGTCCTTTTATTGTTTTTTGTGTGCTCGGTTTTATTAGTTAACTCGGCTGTTCACTCGTAAAGAACAATGCTGTAGATTCACGAGTTATCTGTCGCTAAAATGTCTCCTTAATGCGCAAACAGCCTTCCCACAGTCCTGCATGTTTAAGTATCAAGAAGGCAACTAAATAGAAGTCGGGAATGAACGGAATGCCAAAAGAAAAAGGTTCTATGTGAAAAATGGCTCAAATCACTGTGTAATGTGAACAGAGGTTTGCCTTCAGGGCTTTCTGCCACAACTCTCCCTCGGATTAGGCAACAAGCCTACATAATTAGGTTTAGGACAATATCATGTTTTGGGTTAAAATAAACTCTTGGCAGAAAGCCCAGAAGGCAAACGTTTCCTGTGTGTGAACCGTCCCAAAGAGTTATCTTCCAACCCTGCGCTTCCCCACAGCTATAAGGAGCTTTTCAGTGTCTTTCAGCTCATTGTTTGGGTTTTGCTGGCCACAACTTAAGTGTTTTGGTTCACTCTCACCGTTTTAATGAAGAGGCTTTGATAAACCCCCCTTGTACACACACAGGTGTGATGTTTGTGTGTGTTAAACTTGATGCACTCACTCTCCCTGATGGACTTTTGTCCTGTTGTGATCCTTCAGGCCTGGGAATGAAGAAGGGGCAGAGAGCAGTGATCCGCTGCTGTTCATCTCCATGCTGCCTCTGCTGAGGGAGGACGACGTGGTTCTGACTGCCCAGACGGAGCTCACCTCTCCCTGGGTCAATGCCTGGCACCTGTCTCTCTACCCGTGGGAGAACCGGCGACTGACTCGGCTCGACATCGCCGACGACGGATACCGCCGGCACACGCTTAAAATCCTCAAGGCGGTGTGCAGACTGAACCCGTCCCTGCGGCCACTCGGAGCCGCCCCGCTGGCCAATCTCGTCCTGCGCCTCAGTGACAGTGAAAGCGACTGGTCCAAGATCAGCCTGGATGTGAGATTCCAGCAGTGTATCTCAGAGCTGATTGGCTACCTGGAACAAGGGGCGTTACACAGTTACTTCAAGCCAGCTGTCAATCTGCTGAGCGGCTTGTCAGAGGACCAGGTGGACCAGATGGGTTTCATGCTGTACTGCGCTGTGTCAGAGCCTGAAATACTGCTTATATAACTGTCTGCACACACGGCATCTTTCTAGCTCTGACACACAGACACAGACACACACAGATCAAATGAGTAATCTGATATCGGTCACAATGTTTGGTTCAAGTCGAAGATGTCGTGTTCTTCCCACCTCGGACTGACGTTGTTTGGCTCCTCCGTCCTGCTTTTGATGGAAGAATACAGAATGACAGCATGCACCACACTGGAGGAGGAGATGCACAGAGAGACGACATGTGAAAGTGATGATCGGGCAAAACAAACCACTCGGAGGAAAGGACACGTGCCAAGGAAAGGAGCTGAGGAAAGTGTTTATCACCATAATTGACATGATGCTTCAGGATGTGCCTGATCAGAACACCACAGCCACCAAAGTCTGCATTTAAGTTTGAATGATTGTTTTTTTTTTTCACAGTGTGGCCACATGCAGCTCAGTATTTGAATCACCAGCAGAGGACAGTTTATTGCCTCTAACTGATGGCGTGTGCTGTGCATTATTTTCCTAAATCTCCTTTAATATAATCTAACTATGCAGAAAACGAATGACCTGCTTAATACCAACGGGCTGTAATGCACTTATAGAAGCATTCGGTCTGTCTAACCTATTTAACACAAAGGGTATATTTTATCATACTGGGGGTTAAAGTGTGCAGTATTTTGTGTGTCCTGTTTGGTATTCAGTCTGTTGCCAATCTTATTTGGGTTAACTAACCCTTTAAATTATGATTAAAGTTGCCTAATAATTGTATGCTGTTGCTTTTAAATACCGTATGAATGTTGTGGCCATTTCTTGCGTTCTTGCCGAGTGATGGAGAAATAGATTTTCTGTGATTGAACTTGTCAAACTGCAAATAATAATTAAAGCGTTTGTTTATATTCTTGCTCAGTTGCCCTGAAATGTTTCTGTTCTAACTTTTAAAACCGACTGTCACAAAGATAAGTGTCAGTGTTGCATGTGAAGCTTTTTCATGGACCTTTTGTTTATCAGCGTCGGTGGCTGACAGCTACTGCCATGAGCTGAAGAGAGTCTATACGCTCCGTGCATTTAAATACAGCAGAAGTTAAAATGGCTTCTAGAGTTGCTGTGTTTTTAGTGTAGAAATCTCTCGGACCGTGTTTACCTGCTGAGCTGTTAAACTTTCATATTTTCCACCTTTCAACATTAATTGTGAGTAACGGATTCATCTTTCTTCATCACGGGCCTCGTGCTGTCGCAACGAGAGGGAAAACATTTAGTTTTTCATGCAGCTGGTGTCATAGTCTCAAGCTTTTGCATATCTTCTTTTGTTCTAAATGAAATAAACAGCAGGGTGAGATGAAGACGAAGCGAACATGCTGTCTCTGCTTTTACAGTTGTGTGAAATGTGGCACCATGATATTAACCATTATATATATATATATATGATTTATTATTAATTATTTCATGTGGATGTGCGAATGTGACTCTGTGGTGTGCAAATACATTTCACCTTGCGAAATTGAGGAAAATACATTCAGTCATTTAAAGAGTAACACCAGGGAAGGAGAGACCACGAGGATAGAGAGGCAGGGAAGGGAACAGGAAATGAACTGAGTGTGAAACTGCTGTTAACCATAATAGGACAATCCTCTTCAATGCCCCATCCTGTCACACCTCAAACCTCCCCAAATGTTGTCTTTTGTCTGATGATGCATCAAGAGTTCTGCACAACAGATTTTGTTCTGGTTAAGGTTCTGTGTTTGTTTCACTACACTACATCCATACGCTGAAGTCATTACTGACCTACCTGATAAACACAATTATTTTTATTTCACCTTAAAGTAGCAGTGTGTAGGATGTAGTGGCATCTTGTGGTGAGGTTGCAGATTGCATTCCACTGAATACCTCACCAAGCGTGTTGTAAATGTTGGGCTTCAGGTAACATAATCGCTCTAAAGGCTCCAGCTACAGTTTGTCTATTGTAGAAACATGGCGGTGCAACATGGCGGACTGCGTGAAAGGTATCCGCTCACGATGTCAATAGAAAAGGCTAAGTCTAAGAAATTACGAAATACAACAATTCTTAGTTTCAGATCATTATACACTAATGAAAACATAGTTATGAGTAATGCATTCCATCTCTGCCAATAAATACCCCGAAATCCTTCACGCTGGTCATTTACATTTACAATACAATTAATTTAAAATGGTAATAAGTTTAAGATGTATTAAATGTGTACTTGCCAGTTTTTTACATTTCTAAGATTTCACTGGTTTACAGATTGCTGATCTGCCTCCCCTCACTGATATAAATGAGATGAACAAAATAATACCCCCCCCTGTCATTTTAACACAATAAAGTGCAACAGCCCCACAAATTACATCCTCCAAAATGATCAGTTAAATCAACAACTCTGTACAACCTTATAACGTTCATGAAGGATGTATTGCAGCAAAGTCTATTTCCAGCGGATGTTTAAAAAAAAATAAGTTTTTATTTTATTTTGAAACAGGTGACCGGAAGTCTATCGGACTTGACTCGAGACCTTCATGAGGCGCCGCTTTCGCAACAGAAGTGAACGGCACCGGCGTCCGACACATGTGGCTAAATATGGGTGGCGAGGCTTCAGTTTTGCCGGTCAAAATACTTGACACCGAGGCACCGGTAGTGTTAGGGTGAACGTTAGCTCACTGCGGGAAAGAGGAACACAAATCCCGGCTAACCGTGTGACTCTCGCCCGCAGGAAAGTTTCGCTTCTCCGTTTTAAGTTTTCTCTAATGTCTGTTCCTGAAAACGCCCCTTGTTTACGTGACAGTTGTTCAATGGTAGCGGAGAGTTAACGTTTTACACTCGTACTGCTTTTTTAGCTTCGTGGTTGGAGTCAAACTGCGCAACAACTTTTGAACTCTCCGGCTGTTGTTGTTGCGTCCCGTGTGAACAGCTGACTCACAGACGGAAGGCCGGGGCCGCACCGGATCACTGCGATGTTGACCCCCCTCATGGTCTGACGATGATCGGGTCACCGGACCTGCTGGCCTTCACCGGCACCGAGGGGTTCGGGGAAGGAGAGGAGGACCAGGATGAGAGTCTACCTGAGGAATTCTCGGTCCCCCTTCTACCTCCATCCAACCCCTGGACCTCCACCGCCCAGTTCCACAGAGACTTCATACTGGTGGCTGAATTCTCAGAGCAGGTGTGTGTTTTTAGTTTGGATAAAACATTTGAAAGACCAGTTCCTGATGCACTGGGGTGCTTTGAAAAACAGTATCTGTCAGGGACTTAAGATAAGACTTTGATCTCCTGGGGAAATAAAATGTGGTACTATGCATATATTAAAGCTATAAACAAATCATTAAGTAAAATAAAAATATGCAATAAATCCAAATAAGAAGCTCGATACAGAACAATTCCAGAGGCCAGTGTACATAAATGTTCTTTATGCATTAATGTTGAAAATGTGCAAACCCCCCTCCCCCCCCACTAAAACCAAGAGTGCCGTTTCCTCTTACTCCTGTGAGAAGTAACAAAGTGAAGAATATAATAATGTATAATAATTATGGGATAAAAGGTGTAGAAGTTCTGTAGTGTAACCTTAAATAATAGTAATGATAAACATTGCTTAATTATTTTCACCAAACGGCATTCACACATGTGGATTACCTGTGTTTCATTAGTTGTTTAATTTTAGTAAAGTACTTAAGTTCACAAAACAGGAAGCCTGGAATATTTAATTATTTAATAATTATTTTATTAATTCTTTGTGTGGTTATGTTGCTGCATTTTCTCAACAAAATAAACATTGCAGCCCAGTTTCTGTAATGGTGTCGCAACACATGATGAGTTGATTTTATTTAGGAAGTATGAATGAGATTAAGATCTCTAATGCAAGAAAGAGCCGTCGGTCGGTCACACAAAGCAGCCATCGTACACTCAGACACAGGCATTGAAACACACCAGTGTTATTCATTCAGTGTTCTCTCAGAGGGACGAGTGTCTCAAAGAAGTCGGGTGCATAATACTGGAGATCAGTTCAGAGTTGGTTTTAGGAACTTTTAAAACTGTGAAAACACAGGTATGCTGATGTCTCCTCAGTGTCAGTGACAACATCCAACCAGGGCTGCAATGATGATGATGGGTGATACAATATTGATTGAAATAGTTTGCGTCAAACTACCCATCCTCCACACATCACACGGCTTTATGAGTGCAGTCTGCAGTCATTTTTCCATATTTTCTGATCTGTAGGTGGGACCCAGACCTGTACTCACAATACCGGACGTCCCCAGCGTCATCGGATCGTTTGACCTCAACCACTTCTCTGTCCGCATCATGTCGGTGGACTACCAGGCCTCCGGCCCCTCCCAGGCCCATCCTGCCTCCGCCGGGCCCCACCTCAACTTCAGCGAGGACTCCATAGTGGTCCTGGGCGATTCTGCGGAGGACGCGTTTGCGTACGTTCACCACGTGACCCTGTATGACCTGGAGGCCCGGGGCATGGTGCGTCCCTTCTGCATGGCGTACGTGTGCTCAGACCAGAACAAGCTGATGGAGAACTTCTCTGAACTGTCGGCGAGCTTCTCGAAGGCCTCCGACAGCCTCAAGACGGGAAACAGACAAGCGTTTTCTATGGAGCTGCAGAGGAAACTACAGGAGCTCGAGTAAGATTCTGATGTACTTTGATTGAATAACAATATTCCAACGTATTGGAGCTCCACCACTGGCTACTTGGCTGATATTATCTTATCATTGAGATATCCATATTGGCCAATTCGTTGCCTGATAACAGATTGCAGTACAGAGGGGATCATCCCTATTATCTCAGCGTTCTATGTCATTGATATTAACTAACGTCGTAAGTTCTATCTTCGCATTTCAAATTACAAACGAGTGAAGGGAATGCAGTGTGAATGGTAAAAATCTCTTCCCGCAAATTTGAGAGGAGTAGGTTTCAAGGTTTATAACATCAGTCGGACTGTAATCTGTGGGACAAATGACACCTTTTGTGATGTGTATGTGTTCGGCCGACCAATAGAAACACTGCGCTGCATTTGGAAATGAAGAAACTATGATTCCAGCTTCATATTTAGCACATTATCAGACTGTGAAATGCAGCGTGGGAAGTAAAAAATTATCCTACAGAGTAACTTAACATACTGAAAATCCTTTCTGACCTCCAGTGGTTCACCTTCTCACCTCGCTGCAGTGATGTACAGGTGTACTCCCGGCCCCTGTGACATCACTGTTGGGTGTGGTTACAGGTGCAACAGAGCAGGCTGGAATCATTTAACCAAAGAGGGCAGTAGAATGCTGTTTTACTCTCTGTTGACTGAATAAACTCTCTCTCGACTGTTTCAGGTACACACGGTTGAGTCTGCTACAGGAGGCAGAACTTCCGATGGCGACCAATGGGTCCACAGAGGAGGGAGATGAAGCAGATGAGCTTGAAGCTGTGGAGCGTCAAATCTTACATCATAGAGACCTCCTCCGGCAGGTCACTTCCTACCCAAACAGGAAGATGAAACATCCTGACTTCCTGCCTTACGACCCAGCCGACTCCCTCACTGATCCGACTGCGTTACTGCCTCCTGAGCGCTGCTCCCCCCCTTCCACCTCCCGCAGGTCTTCTGAGCTCCGCCTGAAGCCTCTGGAGGAGCTTTGCAACAACTACTTCCTGACGCTGATGAAGGAGCAGCTCGCTGACATAGAGCGCCGCCTACGTGGCGACAGGAGTGTGCTGCGAGCGGCTCGGGTCACACGGTCGTTGTCCCGGAGGACAACGCTCACCAGCTTCCTGTTTGACTTGTGGAGCCCGGAGGATGGAGATGAGGAGGAGAGAGAGAGCAGGAGCGGTGTGGAGGCGTTTCAATCAGAACCGATGAGCCTGGAGTCATTCTGCTCCTGCGTGGAGGAGATCCCCATCAAACTGGAGGCGGGAGAAGCCGGGACAGTCACCCCTGACCCCAATGGTCCCACAGATATGACAGGAAGTGTGAGCAGCGGAGACAGCATTGAAGTGCTCGGGACGGAGAAGTCCTACCGGACGCAGCACGTCGGCGCTGGATCTGACAGCAGAGGTATGAAGAGCAACTAGTTGGTTATTTAAATAGTTTTATTAGAATGATGGTGGCAATTTATAGATTTCACCTTAAACTCTTGGATATGGTGTCATTTTAGCACACATTTTACAGTTGATCAGTTAATGACACGGTTCCCTCTTCAACAGAAACAGCAGTTGGGATGACGGACACCTCTTACAGGCGAGCCGCAGTAGATTCAGGCTTCAGAAGCGCGCGAACATACGCCAGACGAGCCAACAGCGAGGACAGCATCGAGGTGCTGAGTACCACCGAGTCCATCTGTCCCGACGACCTCACTGCCATCACGGAGGAAGAAGCAGAGCACCAACCTCTGAGTAACGGCTCTGAGATCGAGGAGGAGACACGGACAGAGTGTACATCTGACAATGTCCTCAAAGAGGAGAAGACACCGACTGCAACTACCTCATTAAATGAGGACGAAAACAAAGAGCCTGCTCAGGAAGATGACGGTCGTGTTGACAGAGGAGAGGCCTTTAAGCAAATAACTGGTGGTAGTGGTGGTGAAGTTATAGGGAAAGAGGAGACGGTCTTTAATTGTTTGAAGAGCAATCAAGTCCATGAAGACAAGATGCCCAAACTACTGCAAGGTAAAACATCTGCTTCAACACTCGTGTCTAAAGCCCCGTTAAAACAAGATTTAAGTCTATGTCACACACACAGTAAAGTGTAGGAGTTTTGAGACTAAATACAAACAGAGATCGGTCGGCTGCAAATGATTCACACAGTAATGTATTCCATGGAGTAAATAACTCTTTGATAATTACAGATCTGCAGTTATATTTTATCAAATGATAACTCAGGTTTATTAAGGCTCTATTTTTTGTATTTTTGGCCATTATTTCTAGTAATTGCTGACTCGTGTTTCTTTCCCCTTTGGACTGTTGCCGAATCTTGAGAATAACTTGATGATAAAATGTTATTATTACTTATAGGAACGAGGGACAAAACTACTGCAAATATATTCTTTAATGTGCAGTGAAACTGTTTTATTAGTTGAAGAAGCAGCGGAGTCGAAGCCTCAGTGGTCTGAAGTCCAACAGGCTGTGCGGGCGCTGCCTGACCTTCGTGTCCACTTCGCGGCTGAGGCTGACCGGTGGTCTCCGCCCAGCGCTCCTCTCAGGCTGCTGAGCATCGACGAGGGGTCCGACTGCACCAGCGTCACCGGCTCCTCAGACCCGCTCTCTCTCACCCAAACCGTCCACAGCAGCACCCGCTTGGATCAGAGGAGGAGGAGGAGGAGGAAGGCGGGACTCAGAGCCCTCCGGTTCCTCAAACAGAACTCGTTCTCCCAGCATGCTGTGTTTTGTCTCCTGAGCGGTCGGCCGCTGGTCGTCATCGGCGGAGACGAGAGTTCGGTCAGAAAGCTGGTGGACGCTCTGAGCCTCTTCCTGCCGGCTCCTGGTCCTGATGGGAACGCCGTGATGCTGTGTTTGACCTCGCCGCTCCAGCTGAGCGACCTGCTCACCTGGAGACTAATAGGACTACACAGGTACTCCATGAGACACGTTAACCTGCATTGACATTTACCAAAAATGCATTTTGAGCTTCACCAGAGTACTTTCACTACAGTTATTTTGTACATTCACTGTACTAACGCTGCCCTTAAATCAGTATTTTTATACTGACAATGGATGAAATTATTATGTGTAAGGCAGTGGCGGGCCGTGCATTTTATACCTGGGCCTTCACTGCTGTCCTGCAGCTGAAAAACAGCTACGGTCATTATTTCTTTAGTGTAAAAATGAAGCCAACACCTATCTGCAGAGAATACGCCGGGAGTGCGTCTCCTCTCTGCTCTGACTGCAGCTGGGACTGCTGCGCGAGTTACCGCCTGTGAGTGCTTTGGGGCGGCGGAGGGGCAGCACCCGCTGCTCGTTCACGACAGTAACTGTAGAACGGTAGTCCTTTAACGTCACAAAAGTCTCCAATAACACCAGAACAAGTCGCTAGATTTGTCACTAGTAGCTTTTGACAAAAAAAGTCGCCATGAGGGTTTAGAAAGTCGCCGGATTTAGCGAGAAATTCGCTAAGTTGCCAACACTGGCACCTGCTAAATATGTCCCGAGAGCAACACTGGATGTAACGATGGTTCCTACCACATATTAAACCAAGCAATAATCCAATCTTCATAAAAACAAGTTGTACAAATAATAATATATAAACAAGCATCTTAAAGCTACTGCAGATGTAAAAACAAACGCAGTTCACTTACCAGAGCTGCTGTTCACTATTTAAAGACAAAGTCCTTCCTCCTTTCTTTGTTAACAAAGAGTTTAATCTCACGGTTGTTCAGTACATCCGTGCGTTTTAGTTCCAGTAAGAAGTCCTTCTCGATTCATGGACGCCAGTGAAGACAGTCGAGCCTCCCCAGTTGTATTTCTTGAATACGTTTTAATGCGTTTGAGGGCTGAAAATGTCCGCTCGACAGAGGCAGCAGATATTGGCATCGTCACCGCCCAACATGTCAGGCTAGCCCACTGACCAATCACGTACTTGTAGACCAGCTAGCAGGCTCTGGCACGTCAAAGAATACGCCCAACATGTCAAACTAAAGATCTGATTGGTTGAAGAATATGACAATCAACAATATCGTCCCCATTCACTTAACCTGCAAAGGGATTCACTTGTGAGTCTGCAGGCCTCGGGCCTCTGTTCTTACCTAGAGACTCAGAGGTGAAATCTGATTGGATAAAAGCTCTACTTAAAACAAGCTGCACTGGAAGCAGAGCAACTGAGGAAGACAGTAGCTGTGCAATGAGAAAATAAGATAATGAGAAAAATATTTTTATAAATTATAATACATGTAGTGTATTTAAGAAAAATTTTGTGATCCTGTTTAGGTTAGCAGAGACGGCCTTGCAGGCCCTGACGGCCTGCCACTGGTGTAAGGTGTCGCTCTATGAAACACTTTAGTGTCTTTTTAAGCTCATTTTTGTTTTTTGTTTTCTAGCCCACAACAGTTTTGGTTCACTCTCACTGCTCTGATCATCATACGCGACCTGCTCAGCACTAAACCGACACAGATAGCAACTAGCTGGTGAACTTAGTTGAGAGTTTGGCAGCTAAAAATCTCCACTTCACAAACTCTTGCTAACTCAGCAGTTGGTGGAGAGCAAAATCAGGGCATGCTGAACTCATGCTTAGCAGTAACACAACTCCAAATGAATGCTAAAGTCGCCTTGTGTCTGTTTTCGAAGTGTAAATAAGCAACTATTTGCTAACACGTTCACCGCATTAACTTTATAAGGTGACAAAATGTTGTGTTTACGTCTTCTGTTGGCTGCTTCTGTTACATCCTCTCCTCTTCTTTCTGTCCAGATCATCCTCCAGCTCTTCGGCCAGCATTCTTCACTCTCTGACTCGCTACAGTCGTTATTTGGCGCTGTTGGATCTGGACCAGAGGACGCTGCGTTGTCCATCGTACTCCGGCTCCCTCGTCGGCAGACTGGCCGATCCTCACACCGGCATCAGCCGAGGCATCACCTACCTGCTGCACCTGGAGAGCTGCCTGACTGCACTGGCCAACCGGGCTCTGCTGTACACGTGTAATCCTGCTTCGGGTCGTCCAAACACCGCTGCAGGCAACAATGGCGGAGGAGAAAAGGACTTCCCGTCCACGCCAGTATGTTGCAGCAGTGAGCACGATTTGCGAGTGATGCATTTCCTTAGTGACCTCATCAAACAGCACCACGCAGGACGTGGACCACCGGTTTTAAGGATCTCTTACAACTCGATGCACCTGCACAGAAATACATATGCAGCATAACACTGGATGGACAAACAACATCATAAAGATGGTCTATAATAATACCTACAACCAAATGCAATGAGTTGTGTTGTCTGGCACTGAGGAATCACGCTTATATGTTTTTATCTGCAGTGTTGAATGTTAGTGTGTTTGCATGACTTTTACTGATTTATGTTTTTATTCCGTGGGTCGTGTCTCTTTGGATTACTGTGAACAAGTGCACTAGTGCCTCACTGGCACCAAATCATTTCCCCATGCTGGCTCAATCAATGAAGTACTTCTTTTTATTGGAGTGTGTTTTTAAAATGAAGGCTTATTACAGAATCACACGTGAACTCTTTGTAATTTAAGATAATTGAGCCACATATGAACACTGTGCAAAAAGAAACTGTGACCGATGTGAGATTACTGTTCAGCCAGCATAGTTGTTGCTTGTAGTTTGCGGATCTTGGTGGTACCACATGGACTGGTAATTATTTACGTTTTATAAACAGCCTTGACTGTAACTTGCTCTGTTATTTTAACTTTAGCTGCATTAGAATAAGAGACTGCTTCTCTCGGGGTTTATGCCAGCTGAACATTTAATATGACTGTTCTCTTAAAACAAGCACAGTTCAGCTGAATTGCCAGGTTGTAAACAAGAAACCTTTTTTGAGTAATTTTACCGGTTCATGTGGAAATTAAAACACTAGAAATTAGAATAGAAATGACATTTGTCTCCCTTCAGTCCATTCATGTCTGTACGGTAACAATGAAGCTAAAGCCAGCAGCAGGCTAACTTAGCTTAGCACAAAGACTAGAAATACAGATCCAATGGTAACAAAAACCAAAAGACAAACTGCTTTTTTACAGGGAGGTTATGTGCCACTTCTCAAACTGTCGAACTTTTCCCTGAAGTCTGTCTGAAAAAGGAGGAGCTTCTATCTAATTTTAAAAATCTATTTAGACTTAAAATGAGCTAGATTACATTTAGCTTGGCTCACATTATACTTGCCATAGTAGCCCACATATGATTTATGTATTATATATGTTTTTAAACATAATTGGAGCAGCAGAACATTTAGTTTAAACCCTTTTACTGCACAAACCTTGTGTACTGCAAGTTTTAGCTGACTCTGAATACAGGAAACGTTTACACATACGAGACCTTATTCTGATTAAAGATAAAATGATTTCAAAAGGACAGAATATCTTCCAGGACTGTGCCATGTACTTACTTTTAGTCAAATTTAATTAACAGGACAACGTCTTCCTTCTGTTTAACACTTCACTGTTATTTTAGCAGTTTGATTGATTGATGCAAATATGAGCCAAGTTTAGCATGTGTGTATTTACTCTGAATTCTAAATTGAGCAACATAAGCAATAAAAAACAGCGTCAAAGCATGAAAACGGTCACTTTTTCCTTTTATTTGCCAAATTCACATGATTGCCTCATATGCATTAAAAGTTAATATCCAAAAGTATTTTTAATAAAGTCATGAACATAAGCACCACTCAATTAAAACCATCACCAGAAGAACAAAACAATATGATTTCAGCATGCATCAGCTGTGGATTATAAAGAGGCTTTATATCAAACACTTATAGTTTGGTTGTTTTATATGTAATGGGAGAGGATCAGTCCCACGTAGATAAGCCAGTTAATCAATTAGTTTACTCATTAACAATAACCGAGAACATATGGGATTGATCGATTAACTGTTATTTGTTAAGATGAGAAGCCACAGTGTGGTTTCATAAACCTTCAGGAGCAATATAATTTAAAGGTTATAGTCTATGAACATAGTATAGTATAAAAGTTGTGGTATAGTGCGTCATTAAAACGTCATAGTATGTCTGAAAATGTCATAATGTAGGATTTCATAAAGAAGCCATAAAATAATATAGTATAGTTTGTCATTAAAGTCATTGTATAATATATCATAAAACGTGTCAAACAAAAGTAGAACAAATGTATAGTATATTACATCATGAAAAGTAAAAAAGGTCATAGTATATTAGGTCATAAAGTCATAGTAGGGAAGGCCATAAAAAGTCAAAAAAGCAAAAGTATGTCATCAAAGGTTTTAAAAAGTAATCAATATAGTCAATATGTCAAGTGTCATAAAAAAATCATAGTATGTCATATTTTTCAAAAGTTATATTTCATAAAAAGTAAGAAATAGTCACTACAGTATGTCAAAACAATAGTTTAGTATACATTTATTTATTCTGAAAATAAAATCTTATATTTTACATTACCATTCTAAATTAAGCAACATAAGCAAAAACAACAGTTTCTGTTTATTTACTAACATCACATGATTGCATCTTATGAGCATTTGTAACAAAAGATAACACCCAAAAGCATTTTCACAAGTTCATCAGCATAATGAACTGATCAAGTCATTGACGCACGAAGCAACATAAAGTGTCTCTATGACGTCATGAAAGAAGGACAATGAGGAAGTCTCTCCATCTGTCCAGTTCCATCCTGACGTCTAAATAAAACATTTCAGACGTTATCTTGTGGCTCCTCCAGCTCTCCACTGCTCTCCATCAGTCTGGAATCAGGCCCAGCTGCAACAACCGAAAGGACAAAAAAAAACAAAAACATGTATTTCAGCATTAATGATCAGCTGTTGGGAGTTAAAAAGTCGGCTTTATATCAAATACAGAACTGAGAAGCAACACTTACAGTTTGATTGTTTTATGTGTAAATGGAGCCAGTAATCAGAGAGCAGATCAGCCTTGAGGGATGAAAACAAGATACGATTACTACTCAGATTATTTCAAACTTTATCAGTACTGATATGATAAGCCAATTAATCAATTAGTCGACTCACTAAAAATGTATTGAGAACAATTAGGATTAATCTAAACTGTCATTTAAGTTTAAAAACCTTGCGTGTTTACCGTGTTACTGACGTGTAGCTGTACGGTTTGAGAGTTTACTGGATTAAAGCAGCTCTACTTCTTGGTCCTCATGTTGGACTGAGGGCAGACTGGACGCTACACTGACTCACTATCAAGTGGTATTACAGGACAGGGCAGGCTGGGGCTAACTGGTTAGCATGCACATATCAGTAGAGATCTCTACAACACAAGACATACACGTCTTAGACTTAATGTCAACACTGTACCCTCTCCCATGCGGTTGATAATAATAGTTCATCGTTACTAAAAGATTAAGATTCAAGCCATATCTTACACATTGTACCTTTAACGGCTGGTGGTGGCAATGAGCCAGGAAAGGCGGGAAGACGACGACTATTATCCGATTTAACATTGCAGGATTTACAGTTTGCTCTCAAAAAGAAAATATATGAGCCACAACTACAGAGAAAAAGACACTTCAGACTTTATTCTTTAAAGGTGCATTATGAAATTTAAAAAAAAAGGACCCAGAGGAGGAAACAGCTGATGACAGTTGTGGGACTTACAGCCGGTGGGGCCTTCACGTGTACAGTTTAACAGCCACTGGACTGTCTACATGAGGAGACACAAAGGGTTAACTCAACACCACAGAAGACGCATTGTGAAGGATCACCACATGTGACAGAGCGACTTACAGTAGGTGCTGATCACCACCACATCAGGAGAGGTCATGTAAAGCAAGGCAACAGATCAGATCCACGGCCTTTTAGTGACTTTTATACTCCAGCGTGAAAGGAAAATAGGAAACGTTCACATAAAGGTTGTGGTGCTTTTGTTAGGAATTAAATCTCACTCACTGGTCCCAGTTCTCTGTTGAAGAAGACTGAGTGGATACAATGGCGGAAAGAAATAATAATTTATCCCCATCTGACAGAGAAACAAAGACATGCTGTGTTTTGTGGCTGTGGACGCTATTTGCAAGACTTAACTCCTAATTGACCCGTCGCTAAGACGCGCTGCTTCTATGTAAATATCATTTAATTCTTTCGGTGAATAAAAAAGCAATTTCAGAGAGACGCAGCAGGAGGATCTACAATATGTGTTTGAAGCATATATCCAGGATGTCAAACGGATTCATCAGTGAAAAGATAAAGACAGAAGCTACAGACCAGTGTGTGAAAGTGAACCACATCACCTGATGATGTTCTTGTAAAGCCGGGTTGGTCTTTATTTGCCGTTACAGTCAATAAAAAGCAAAAGCAGCATGTTTACATTCAGTGTACCTTCAGCAGCTAGCGTAGCATAGAAGTGCAAATGCTAGGTATTGATGTGCCAAAGTACTCTGCTAATGTTAGCTCCAGATCTTTTTATGTAGAAATGTAACGTTTTATAAACGTAGATCTCATTCCAACCTCTCAGGGTAAATAGTACCACTGTTACACGTTAACACTATTTAACCACGACTCCAAAAAAAAAAAACCACACTAAAACCAGCCTGAAAATGAAGAACATCTGAAACGATAGCATGAGAGTCTGTGGATAATCGGTAGCTTAATTGATAATGAAAATTGTTAGTTGCAGCTCCGATGTCATTAAAAAGCAGAGCTTCAGACCAACTTTTTTTTGCCGCTGTCCCAATCAGAGTCTGATATAGTTACATTGACCTAAATGCTAAGCCCGCTTAATCCAACACATCTTATTTTCCACAATAAGCTTAAACTATTAATACAAGTAAAAGATGAACTCCTGACGTTGACCTTACACAAGCTTAACTGAGGTCTTTAGGAAGTGCTGCTGTGCGACAGACCTGTGAGGTAAGGAGTTGGTGCAGTTCCTTCATGTTACCACCAGGTGTCGCCAATGAGAGCAAATAACTTATTTGCTCTTAAATATATATCTAAGAGTACTGATCATTTTTAACCTATTTGTGATGATTCAACACCCACACAAGCATGTTGAGGGTTCAGTGCATTGATCCTTTATTATGAGAAAGACATCCACACACACCTGTCGTGTTCTCCACCTCCTGTGAGCTCTCCTGTACGAAGGATCTGAGCCGTTCTGGGCTGGAGGACAAACGGTCCCACAGCCACCTGAGAGCCCACATGTTATCCTGAGAGACAGAGAAATGTTACTGGGTGAAACGTTTGGATCTTCATGGGGATAAGGGACATGGAAACCGTTCAGCTCTTTGGAATAAATGTCTGCAAACAGGAGGTTACCTTAAACGTCTTGAGCACAGGGACGGCCGGACTCAGAGCAGCGCTAACGATTCTCCCACATAAAGCCCCCGTTACCAACAGCAGCAAAGCCTGATCTGGGTACACCTGTAAACACACGCACGCACACACACACGCACACACACACACACACACGCACACGCACACGCACACGCACACGCACACACACAGTTTAGTACCCGCTGGTAACATCCATGTGTACATGTGTAGATCACAGCGTGCTCACCTCCTGAAAGAAACGTGGGATCTGTATGTTTGACCCGTGCCGGTCGAGCAGTATCGATTCCACAACAACCTTCGCTTCCTAAAGTCCGGACATGAGAGACAGAATGTAAACAACTACTGCTGGGAACAAATGGAAAATAAGCTGTAAATAAACAAAAAATACATACGTGTAGAAACTGTGGGCTTGGTTCTGGGAGAGCGGTGAGTGTGTTGACGACTGTCAGTAAACTGGTCCAACACTGAGACTGGATCAGAAAGGTATCAGACGTACGATCACAAGCAAGTCTAACTTTAATCATATAGCACGTTCATACACATAAGGGGACAAAATAATCATTGACAATCGCTTTGTCACAACAAGCACACAAACTATTAAAGACAATATTTAAAACAGAAAAAAAGTCATGTCAGTCACTGGGAGCTCATAAAATAAACTCAGCTTTGACAGATGAGAGGTCCGGGTAGCTCCTAGCATGTCCTCCACCAGACTTAACAGTCCACAATGTATTATCTATTTACAGCTATGTATTTATTCATCCAAAAACTTATGAATCAGTCTGTATTTACAAGAATGAACAGTTTGTATGTTATATTAAGAAGAGCCGGTTACTGCGATTACTCCAAGCAGCATGGGAAAGAATTAAAATATGAATTACTGGAACATGTTTTTTGCTTTTTCTGTCTGAATAAGTCGCAAAATTTGTCACGGGTTGCCTTTTAGAAATAAGGTCACTCAGAGGGTCTGAAAAGTTGCAAAATTGAGCTTTAAAATTGCCAAGTTGGCAACACAGAGTGTGGATGTGACGATAGTTCATCACGGTGCAGCGCTTGGGTGTTAATTTGATCAGCACAGATTAGACTATAACGGAGACTGACCGGCCATTCAGTGAAAATAAATCTGAGAACGGATCAGTGACATGAAACATCAAATTCCTGCAAAGAAAAAAAAAAAGAAAAAAGAAAAAATAATAATAATAATAATTCGCAATAATCTATTATTCTTTTCCTCACGGAGGTCTGAATGCCAGTAATGTACGTGAAACGCTTCACTGAAGTGGAAAGTCACAACAGTTTGTTGTGAAACTGAACAGAGACGAGCGTGTCGGACTTACGTCAGTGAAGACGGCGGAGCAGCATCTCTGAACCCGGAGAGCAAACCTCACCAGCAGAACGTGTGGAAGCGGCACCGCATCTAGAGAGAGAAGACACTTTGACTTCTTTTTGTTTTTTTAAAAAGGTAAGAAAGCAAAAATCTATAATCCATCCACAGCATGCCTGACCTTTGATTGGCTGCCACGCTGCATCAGAGAAGCAGAGCTGTGCCGACTGACTGACCACCAGCTCCGGTGCTGTTGCCGTTTTAAAGAGGCGGAGATAAAAGAGGAAGAGGTGTGGAGTGAAGCGCAAGGCGGGAGCGTTCACCGAGGGGAACAAACTGTGCAGGCCGCCCGTTACGGTCCCATCCATGCACATGAAGAACGGGATGAGGTCTCGTACCTGCTGGAGACTGGTGGAGAAACAGAACAAAGCACCGGTCATGTCTCAATGATGTATAGATCTAGCCTATGTTATGTTACGGTTACAGTTGTAATAACTACTTTTAAAAAAACAGGGGAACCCTCATGAGCTTTGCTTTTATGTATCAATATCATTATAAAATAGAAGAAAATGAAGATCCCTAGAAGAATATTTGTAAATTCAATTACAGCATATTTTAATACAATTTAAATTCGGCTCCGAGGGAATAATTTTAATTGGACATTATGATATTATTATGTGCGTTTGCTCAACCGGCTCTCTCAGGGCGTGAAAATCAAAAAGCGTTGTGCCAGCATGGGATGCATAATTTATCAGAATCAGATCATACAGAATATATCCTCAAATGTAATGAAAGTACATGTATGTATTTGAAAATTCTAGTAAAGTTTTTTTTTTTTTAAATTTAAGATCAGACAGATGGTGAAACTATCGCCGCAGATGGCGAGCTGGACGTGAATTAAAGGGCAGAACAGAAAACAGGCAAATGAGTGCAACACGTCACCTGAACGGCCTTTATAGAGACCAACGCTTACAGTCAGTGGACCCTTCATTCATGTTTAACCAATCGCCTGGGAGGTCAAGTCTGTTCAATTTCTGTGGTTTAACATCACAAGAGTCGACGGAAATATTGTAAATATAACCTCATACCTCAATCTAAACCATTGGAATATTTGGGACTATTTGAACACTCACCGCTGGGAATCATCGCTCTCGATGACTCGTAGGTAGCGACACAATTCTCTGTACCTGCAGACGGTAAGAACACAGCCAGCTTTGGTTTTATTAGCAGTTGTGAAAGGCAACGGTGTGTGTGTGTGTGTAGAAATGTGTGTGCGTGTGTGTGTGGTGTATCCGTTTTGTACCTGTGCTGCCGCTGTAGTAGTTCTGTTCTCAATATAACTACAGAAATCTGTTCAATCAGGAAGTCCTTCTTGCCTTTGTCTTTGCGGAACCCCGTCACGTTCTGCCCCTTCAGCACCGACACCAGCAGGACGTCATCCCACGGACGAACACACAGGCTGAATGAAGCACACACACACACACACACACACACACACACACAAAGTTACAGTAATGCATGAAAAGGCTTTTATGTTTAAACTGCTGCCTCGGAGACACGTTTGAAGACACACACACCTGTTCTTCACGCGCTTCAGCTCAGCGGGGAAATTGAACCTCCTGTAAAAATCCTGCAATTTGTGGATGAACTCCGGGGTTAAATCGGTCATCACCATCTGTCTCTGCACGGACGCTATTACCCTGGAAAACACAAACAAGGTAAATATCCAAATGAATTAGTTTCAGACAGGACACAGCATGGGTTCTCTGTGTGTGTGTGTGTGTGTGTGTGTGTACACCTCTGAAGTAACACCAGTCTGGCTTCAAAAGCATTAGCAAGGGGAGACTGTGAGATGTAAGTCCTGTAGAGAATCATATCGACAAAAGAAAATTACTACACAGAGAGCAAAAAAGCTGCTAAGATAAACATTTAATCTAGAACAGGAAATGCTATTCATGCTGTGCGTGTACACGTGTGTGTGTGTGTGTGTGTGTGTGTTCACCCTGAGACTTGGAAATGGCGAACGAAGTCCTCAGTGGCTCCCAGCCTCATGATGGCAGCAGCTCTGCCTTCCCGTTTATCTGCTTTGTCCAGGAACGATGACACAAACTCGTACACAGGCGTGTAGCTGCAAAACAAAACAGAAAAAATTGAATTCTAAAAATGTCACTTTAGTTAATAATGTTAGAGACGACATAAAGTAAGACTGGTGAAACAGCCAGTTGGTGTATTTGCAGCCATCATTTTAATTGTTAACTGCATGTGGATGTCTCCGTCAAAATACGTTTGTGTGTTTTTCAGTCTGGACTGTTTTCGATGGTTTGAGCTAGGCTCCAAATCTTTAAGGGGCGCTCCAGTGATTTATTATTGCATTTCCATAAAGTTATATGGAAGTCATAAATATTAAAAAAAATATTGTAAGAATTGTCAAAATCAATGCAGCAGACATCCTGACTTTTAGTACCCAGTGTGTGTCAATAACCAGAAACACTGGATCCTACATTTCCCATAATGCATCTGGATAGCATCCTCCGTGCTCAATAAATACCCACAACTTTCAAACTCCACACCTCCAGTTTGTAACGTCATCAGACCCAAAGACGTTGTACAACTAGTTTAACATTCTGGGGAGAACATAAGATTACAAGTAAACTGAAATTTTGGGAGAAAATTGTTGAGTGCCCCTTTAATGCTACAGCGCACGCTTCCGTCTCAGCCCGTGCACGTTCATGAGTTATAGAAAGTGTGTACAAACACTGTAGGTTACTACCTTTTGATTTGCACTATCCGGTCATGCTAACATCAGAATGTCACAACACGTGCCCCATTAAAAAAGTGCCATGACCCATGAGTATATTGGATAATATTTAAAGGGTAGCTAACGTTAGCTTACCTTGAACAAGCTAACTTTACGTCTACAAGCCTCACGTGCAGAGCGTTTGGTTGCATAACGTTACGCACTGTAAAGAATGACCAAATAGGTTCATAAACAACTTTTTAGGTTATAGTTTTGCTAGCTTCTCCAAAAAGTGACGAGGTGACCCAATGCTAGCCCACAAGAACATCAGGCACACGACATCAGCCCCCGGGAGAAGAATTAAGTTTTTAGGGAGTCCCCTTTATGCTAGAGCATTTTTGGGGTTTTGGAATGACAATGTTCAACAATTATTTATGGGTTCAATGTTTGCGTGTCCGCATATCTTCGACCGCATGGTTTTGGATGTTCATTTGGTGCAGACGTTAATGGATGAGGATGAATCCTAATGACTTTCATGTATTACAGATCCCCGATTCATAAATGGGGCGAGATCATCTGGACGGATTTCAGTGTCCTTTCCACATCATAGACAGCTCTGCTCCGTCACTCACTCGAAGACGAGGCCTTTCTGGTTCGAATGGTCCAGACCGCATTGCTCCAAAGTCTGTCCCTTCAAGAAGGACGAGAACTTTGCAGAGAGCCCGTGTTTGAAGCTCTGCAGCATCGTGTCTGGACAAGAGGAAGACAAACCCAGTGACGGTGAAATGTAATAACAATCAAAACAACAAGTGGTTCAGTCTGAGGATTTGTATTTTTAAGTACCTGCATGTCGGAGGTGAGAATCTATTTCAGACAAAGTTAGGTTGAAAGGCTGAAGTCCTCCCAGCAGCGAGCCGTTTCTCAGGTTGTTCCAGAAGTCGCTCCTCTTGTGGCTGTTGCAGTGACACACACCGCAGCAACACCACATCTGACACTGAACACACACACACACACACACACACACACACACACACACACACACACACACACACACACACAGAGTTTTGATACCTGTGTTCTTGCTGTGTATATAGTTTAAAGTCTACATCAACACATACCAATGACGCCAGCTTGTCGCAGATGTAACAGAAGCACTGATCACACATCAGCTGGTTACCGGCCGCAGGAGCACCGATCTCACAATCTGTAGCCCTGAGCAGCACAGAGGAGAGGAGGGCGTGATCATCTCTGATGGAGGTCAGTATATCACAAAATGTGTGATGCAACAATTCACTCACGTAAATGCATGCAAGGGACAGTCGTAACGTGCATGAGGCAGGACCTCAGCGCGGCGGGAGAAGGTGATGACCAGGTCTTCATCCAGAGCACTGGGAGATACAACACGGTCTGAAACACAAGAAGAAGAAGAAGAAAGCAGCTGATGACCATTTGCAACATGAACAACCTTCACATGCTGCTGGTGTGGACAGTAAACACAGCTGTTACCACTCTTCTTCATGTCCTCCACCTCCACGATGAGAACCGAGGGATCACTGCAGGATATGTCCTCTTCATCATCATCACTGAGGATGATGATCTCTCCAGTGTCCACAGCTGTACCCATCAGAAAAGTTTGGCAGGGAAAAGAAAAGGCAATCCCACCACGTGTCCTGTAAGATGTTGGTGAGTGAGTCACACATGAAACCCTTCATGAGTTGCTGGTTTGTCAGTATTCTGGGAAGGGACCCGATTCATGTCAGTAAAATATACCGGACACATCATCTAGATGAGACGTTAGCGTGTCTTTGTTTCCAGAACCGAACAAACCACATTATCGAACTTTTAAGAAGCTTACCAGCTTTCCGCGAGGCAGGAAACAGAAAGTTAAATACGTGTAAAGACGGTCGCAGATTGTGTCAACATTAACAATGTACTTCTTTACTACAAAATATAGATACAAAATACGTTTATGTAGTTGTTTTAGTTTTTTTAGCGACAGCTGTCTTACCTTTGTTGTTCAAAATTAAAGTTGTTTTTTTTGGCGCCCGGGCGTTCTCCAAATTCACCGTGACCGGATATGACGTTTCCTTTTCTTCTTTGTCGTCTGAATTAATGGTTGGCAAACCAGCTTATAGGTGTATTACCGCCACCTACTGGAGCAGTAGATGAATGCATAACGAAGGAATAAATTCATATTATTTAATAGAACAGAGTTAGTTTCTCTATTTGAAATAAATAAATAAGTACGTACTAGAATGTTTGTGTCAGTATTTGGGACTAATTTCTTTCATATTATTGACCCGAAACATACAACACGTTTCACTGAGTCCTCTGTTTCACAATAATCAACTAACTCAGACAGATGCTTGCCTATTAAAAAGCTTTTTTCTCTTGTTTTCACTCCATCATTGAAGCTTCACTGAACCTAAATCCTTGTATCAGTCTTATTATCATCTGGAGGTGAACGGCTCTTTTAAACTCTTTTAATTTGCTCTTCTGCAGCTCTTAAATCCTTCTTTAAAATGAAGTCATTGGATTGTTATTTTATTTAAAATGGAACACTTGAGCGATCCTAAAAGCCAAAGTCCTAACTGCCTCTTCCCTTTTTAAAAAGTAAACTTGTTTTTATCAATCTGTCACTGAAAGATAAAGCCATATTTAATTCTTACACATTTCCTAACACTTCTTTTCAATTAACACATCCACATTTACTCTCTGAAAAGATTCTTTAGAAAGTTTATCTATTGATTGTTAGACACCTAACAACTCATTTCCTCTGTCCTGTTGAGGCACAACAAGCTTAACCCTCAACACTTCCAAATACATAAAAAGATGGAAAAGGAATGAATAGTCGTTCATTAAATACATTTTTGGTCAAAGAAAGTCAGTTCTAAGAATTTGTATTTTTTAAACCTGATCTGAAAAATCTCATCACCAGTGAACTTGTAATTCTATAAACCAAACTGTAATATGTGTCCTCTTATGATGCACTTCACATGGATTCAAATATAAATAAAGACCAGCACACAATGTGCATCTTGCATGCGATTGTGCATTTTTACACTAATTGCAAATGATCAGTCAAGTCCATCGATTACTCAGCAAATTACCCTAAAATTGTGGTTTCAAAATAAAACACATCACAATAGAAAACTAAGTCGAGATTTGGGTTTCAAACTTGAATTTTTACTTTAATTGCAATATAAATTACATTAATTTCGATCTGTAGAGAAAAATGCATCTGCAATAAGTTAACTGAAGGAAGGTCCACGAGCTACTACCCTGATCTGAAGTCCATCCAGAGTTACACAGCTGAATGCAAACAGACCAACAGAGGATCAAGTAGAGAGAGGAAGGAGTGCTGTTAGAGAGCAGAGCTGCTTCTCTTGTCCTTGTTGTGAGGCTTGTATCTCCTCGCTGCTGCTCTCTGGTTTCTTTGGGTCGCTGTGAGTCCATCTGCAGCTTCTGTGTTCAGCTCTTCAGTGTCCGTCTCAGACTGCAGCTCCGCCTGATCGTCCTCAGCGCTTTGAGCCGGCATGTCTTTCAGCCACTGCTGGTAGAAACCACGGAACCCATCGATTTGGAGCAGGTAGTTGTTTCTGGACTTGTACTGGGATTGATGGAAGGGAGGAAGGATACGGGGAGGAGAGGGGCAAATCAATAAAATACGAATGAATGAACCACCTTGTAGCTAACTGTGTTGTGTTTATCAGAGCATTCTTCGCTGAAAGAAACTGCCTGCTGGGGCTGAAAACAGGGCTAATGAGAGTGGAGTCTGACAGCCTGAAAAACAAAACAATAGGCTGAAAGATGCTAAAACACTCTGCAGAGCGTAGATATGATCTGCTTTGGTGGAGAGGCGTTACCCCTGATGAGAAGAGTCTTTATGTTCTTTGGCTGCGATCAGAATCTGCACCTACACATCCACACAGACATGTTTTCATGCTCAGGTTTGTACCGACTAGTCGTACGTGTGCTTACCTGGTTATAGTTGGGAGGGTACTGTGAGGCAAACTCCAGCTGTCTGATGATGACCTCATTAGGCCACACACTCATGGTGCTCATGCTTTTCAGCATTGTTTTTAGGTAAACAAAATCCAGTCTTCGAGTTGCTCGGCCAATCAGAGCAGAGAACACCTTGACGTTAGGCCTAAGTCCCGCCTCCTGCAATAAAACGCATGTAAAGATGAAGAAAAAAATAAGTCAAAATATTGGTCTTCTACTAGTACTACTACTACGATGATTCTTAATACGATTACTGCTGACGTTAGTATTTCATATGACAATGTTACAGTTCATCTCTTAACTAACAATAATAGTAATAATCAGCACTTTTATTTTGTTAAACCGTCTATGATCTCTGTGTGATTTTTTTCTGTCCTTGATTCTACAAATACAACGCGAGTCCTCAATTTAACATCTATTCTGTTAGGATGAGAGCTTCATCACCTCCATGTCTTTCAGCAGCTGCAGCCCGTCCTGCTGCCGCTCACAGCCCAACGCCAGACTTCCAAATGTCTGCACGTCCACGTTCACGTGGCGCTGTCGCATCACGCTCAACACAGCCTGGACAGAGAAAGACGTGCATCAAAAATATGCACTCACACTTTACAAGCGTCGGAAGTAACAAGTCCAATATTTCTCACAGAAGATTAGAAGTGAAAATACTAAAGGAAAGTGAAAGTACTGTGTGTGTGTGTGTGTGTGTGTGTGTGTGTGTGTGTACCTTTGCCTCCTCCAGGTCACCCGCTCTGGCTGCTCTGCGAATCGCAGTGTTGAAGAACGCAACGTCTAGCTTCACTTTGTGCAGCTTGGAAACCTTCAGCAACGTCTGCAGAGACTGGTATCCCGGCTCCATCGTGTCGGCCAGCAGGGTCACCGTTTTGATGTCCGGACTGAGTCCGTTAGCTGCCATCTTCTCCAGGAATCCTCCAGCTCCTCCGATGAGGGCGAGCCTATCTGACGCTCCATCCACGGTGCCGAGGGAGACCACACCCCCCCTCTTACCCTCAAAAAGGTCCAGCAGGTTAGGGGCTGTAGAATCACCTGCCACGTCAACGGGCAGTGAGGCGGTTTCTATTTGTCTGACTGGCACCAAATGGGCTGAGTCTTTAATGGGGGACTCCTCCTCACTGCCTCTGCTGTCCCGCTGACTGTCATTGTGTGGGTCAGGTTGGATAAACAACTGCCTCTCCAGGAGGTCAACGTCTATTACATCTTTGCGTCCAGACTCTGACTTTACACGGGACACACGTTCCCTCTCGTACTTCCGGTCGGGCCTCAGCAGCACGCCACTGGCCAGGGCGGGATCGCCAATCCCACAATCTCTGGCAGTTCGCAAGAGCAGGTTATAGTTCTTTGAGTCTGGATGAATCCCGGACCTCAGCATCTGGCGCCACACCTGAAACAAAAAACAAAGAGGTACGGTGCATATTGACAAGTTGAGTCCAACACATCTGTACACCACAAACCTCAAAACAGGAGCAGAGAGAGATTGTGAATATGGTTTCACAGAGAAAAGAGGAAACACGGAGAGAAAATGCTGCAAAGTGTTTAAGCATGTTTCTCTCACGATTGTCAACTTTCACAGAAGATCTCAGAGTAAATCGTCCTTTTCCTCTCAAACATATTAGGTACCGATGTGAGGTGGCTCTAAATCACGCATCTACCTGTAAAGCCAGTCTGAATCCAGTTTGTTTGTCCTTCAAACAGCCCATCAGCAGGTAGTGAAACGTCTCCTGTGTTACAGCATGGCCGTTCTGCAGCATCTCCTGCAAACATACATAGACTCATAAAGAAATCCAACAATTCGGTGATTAAACCCTCCACAAACACACACACACACACACACACAAATGTCGTACCCTGAGCGTGTGAATACAGGCCTGCAGGTGGTTGGTGATGGCGTGCGTCTTGAGGAGGGCGTGGTACGTGATGGTGCTGAGTGGGTAGTTTTTGCGACGGAGCTCTTGCTCCAACTTCAACGCTTGCTGGAGACCGGCTTGTTTGGATGGCGACTCGGCGCAGGCATTGAACAGCGCGGTGTAGGTGGCATCTGTGGCCTCTAGACCTCGCTTCTTCATCTGGAAGACACGCACACATTGTTACCTGACTGGACTGTGTTTGTGTCAAGGAATGTACATCTTCTATCATTATATTTTACAGCACTTTGGTCTACTTAGGTTGTTTTTAAAATGTGCTTTATCAATAAATTTGATTTCACCAACATGTCAAATGATCCAATCAAAGCCCTGAGGAAGATTTAAACATGAACATAGCGTATGAATAAAATGTCCTTACATCATTGTAGAGTCTGAAGGCCTTCTTCAGTTGTCCAGCTCGACCACAGCCTCCGATCAGCACAGTGAAGTTGTACTCCTCCGGCTGCAGCCTCTCTCCCTCCAGCATGTCTCTGGTGAACACGTCCAAAGCCTCCTGCAGCTGTGAGAGGACACATCATGTTTAATACACAGAAGGAGGTGAGAGGACAGAGAGACAGACCAATGGACTCACCTTGTTGTCTTTGATCAGCTTCTTGCACTGTAAGAAGTACCAGTACGGTGTGTTGCTCCTCCCGGGCCTCTTGCGGGGTTTCACTGGGTCCTCATCCTCGTCTCGGTGCCGCAGGTCCTGGATGTATGGGCTGGTTTTCCTGAATGTCCTCCTGGAGGACATGTCGGTGGAAAAGGAACCGAAGTTCTCCCGGTCTGGTGGGTTGTTTCCAGCTGGGGCTGAAGGGGAGTCCAGAGGGTCTGCACCCCCATGGGAAGCAGCCGATAGGGACACAGATCTGGCGGATAGCAGCTGCCAGGGAGTCGGTGTGAGGACGAGCCCGGAGGGCCGATATCGTGACACATCTTGTGTCAGATTCAGGGTCCCGTTTGAGTTTTTAACCGTTGAAAACAGGGACAATTTAGCTACAGGGGCCGAGACTTTCCTGCCGTTTCGCGCACACAAACAGGCGACGGACGTTAACATATTTAGCAATTTTAATCTAACATCAGCTAACTACAAGCCAATTAAATTTACAACGCTAGTTTTAGGGTAGCTGCGTAGCTTCTGTCATGTTGTGCGCACGATGTTTCAATGACAAAAAAAACTACACAAGACCTGAATAATAGATATCGAACAAGAACTTTAAAGCGGCCTGTTTGGCGCTTTGGTCCTTGAAATCAATCCCCACTGAGTTCAAACATATCATTGTTTATTTCTGAGGTATATTAATTGTTGATAAAGCGTAATATACTCTTAATAGGACGTCCCGCTCTGATCGACTTTATCGGGGATAGATTCGTAGGCCTGTGCCGTTGACTTTACGTCCCTGCAAGTAAATCTACGCCCCCCGAAGCTGGTCATAAAGTTGACTTTTGCGTCTCTTCCTGGGATACAATGAGGTGAAGACGGTGAGCCAGACCACATAAGATTATTTAAAGGCCGGTTTGATTTATTTTAGAAAGAGACACAGTGGTCAGGGTGGACACAGGCTTCCTGGATACAAGTTTTAATCCGCGTTACAGCAGTGGAAGAGAGACACGCAGCTGCTTCCCCAGCGTCCATGGTAAAATAAATAGTTTCATAACAAGTCTCCGCACACATTTTAATATTATGCGACTCATTACACGCTGATAATATGCAGAAATGATTATGAAGTGTACATTTCTATGTTAAGAAAAACTCAAATCTATGTTATCATTATGTAATTGTGACATCAAATGCAAGTCATTACAGTTAATGATCTATTTGCTTGGTTCATGATCTGTGGACATCTTTATTTCTTCATCAGTTGAGTTAGTCATATATGTTTGAGGCAGTAAAGGAATAACTTTATTGTTGTAAATACTGGAATAATATTCAAATATTAAATCCTGAGATAGCCATGCTCAGGACTCCTTTATACAGTTGGATTTTGAGTCAGTATCTCTAACATAACTGTTTCAGGCAAAAAGGGAGTTCAACAAAAATAGAATTAAGGGAGCAATATACAAATATTGATGTTGCTACCAGCTGAATTTCAGTGCAGGAGAATAACACATATTTCCTCATACAAACCCTGCAAGTACTATTTTTATCTTAACTTAACAGCAGTTAAGTTACTGATCATACTGACCACCTTAAACCCTGTAGGATAGATCAATACAATACTTTGGTGAAACTGTTCATGGCAATTTGAGGTTGAAGTTTTGTTGCAGTTACATGATGTTTCTTTGAGTACTTTGAGAGTGTATAAAAACCTTGAGTGTGTATAGAAATACACAACCTTCTCACCGTTTTTACTGGGATTACAGATAAATGGATGAGGACAAATGTTCAGTCCTCATATTTTCCTCCTCAGGTTTTATCACACTTTCCTCAATAAAATGTGTTTTAACGTCACAGTTTTTGACAATTTTCTGTTTTCTACCAGAGTATTGGAGCGCAAAAATAATACTAATACTGATTTATACAGGAAATCTCTGTACAAGATCAGCAAGTTCCTTCCTGTCCTGTGTCTAACACCCTGCCTGCTCCAGGTACACAGCACACCCACTATACAAATGTACCAGCAGCCCACACCCACACGGCTGAACTTTGTTCCATAAAAAACATGGTAATGTTATTGTTTCATCCAGATCATTTATCAAATTCCAACAAAATCATATAATAGTTTGATCTCATCATGTTCTGTTGTCCAGATTAATGGTTTTAGCAAGCTACAATAAAATAAGCTCATAGCACAAGTACATTTATTATACGAGTGATTTTGTAGAAATCTTCCATATTATGTAATACATTGGTGTTGGAAAATATCCCTAAAAGTGTGTTGATGATTTTAGCTCTACATATTAACACCTTCTGTGTTTTGAAGACACTTTTCCTCAGAGATAATATACTTCTAAAGCAGTATTTATAAAATGACTCTGAATTTGTGGGGTGTATGTGTGTGTGTGTGTGTGTGTGTGTGTGTGTGTGTGTGTGTGTGTGTTGTGAGGCAGACGATTCACTGAGAGATGATCCTCAGACCAGAGCAGACTTCATAAAATGTGAGTCTTTTTTTATCTAAAAAAAACAGCCTACAAAACAAACGGATAACTGTGATGTGCCGTGGAAATAGGTTACTCTTTAGGATATGTATTGAACATGCAGTTGAGCTAAGAAGCCAAGAATGGTCCTTGTTGCACTAATTTTAGAATGAAATGGACATATATGACATATAAGCTGTTTTCCCTTGTTTCCAGTCTTCCAGTCTGGCTTCATATTTATAGGACAAACAGAGTGGTATCAATCTTCTCATTTAATCTGCTGTACCTCTCTGCAAGAAAGCAAACTAGCCTATTTCCCAAAATGTCAAATTATTCCTTCAAACACACTCGGAGCAATTCTTTAAATCATCCCAGTTAAGAGTTCTCATATATTCCTGAAATCAAACACAGTCGCACATTATATTCAGGTGTGTAAAGGAAAGACTCATCAGTGTTTTGTTCATCAACGAACATCTTCCTCTCCTCTCACAGATTACTGTCCCCTCACCCTGGACCCAAACACAGCGTACAGAGAGATGGTTCTGTCTGAGGGGAACAGAAAGGTGGAGCTCACAGATTTAGTCCAGGAGTACCCTGAACACCCGGACAGGTTCTCTCACCTCTACCAGGTTCTGTGTAAAGAGGGTCTGTCTGGACGCTGCTATTGGGAGGTGGAGTTTGAAAGGTCAGTTGAAATAGCGGTGGCGTACAAAGATCTCGGCAGATCGGACTATTATGCCGAGTGTGCGTTCGGCTGCAACGACAAATCCTGGAGTTTAGACATAAACGGAAACAGCAAGTGTTTCAGACACGAGGATGAGGAGACTGCGGTGCCGGAGCCTCGGTCCTCCAGAGTCGGCGTGTACCTCGATCATGAGGCCGGTAGTCTGACCTACTACTGCGTCTGTGACACGACGCCAACTCTGCAGCTGCTGCACCGAGAAGAAACCACTTTCACAAAGCCGCTCTACCCCGGGCTGTGGGTCATAGGCTCCGCCCAGCTGTGTGACCTGGAGTAGAGGTCCAGCCAAAAAGCATCATGTGATGCAGGGCCAATCGAGTGTGGATAAAACGCAATGCAGCCCTACGTGCTGGTGCCCCTTTTTGTTTTTCCGCTTCTGCCCCTCAGACAGTCTGAGTCCGCCACTGCACGTTAGCAACTTTGGGTCCACTGGTGACTGTGTTAATGCTGGGTTGATTTAAACAAATCACAATAATAATGCATGTTTAAAGAATGACTTTCATTTTACATTTCCAGTGCTATGCTAGCAGCAGGGCTCCAATGTCAGTGCCAATGTAGCTTTGGGTAACACCACCAACAACAGCAGATATGTTGTGATAATTAAAAAGAATTACATAAACAGGCAAATGGTACACGGACAACACTTACGAATTATTTCAATGGAGTTTATTACAACATCATTTGATTCAGATCTTCTGTACAAATGATCTGAACAAATACATCCCTTCATTTATATTTTTGGCACTTATTTTCAAAGTAACAGACCGGTGTAGTAATGGACATTATTTATGACAGAGGCCTAACTTGAGGCCCCCCAACGGCAACAAATGTGAAAAGTCCTGAAACAATAAACTCCCTACCAACAGATTACCATTTGAAGACCATCATTACTTTGTCATGTAAATGAAAACAATCATTGATGATGATGATGATGATGATGATGGTTGTAGAGCAGCCTGAAACCGTTGTTGGTGAAATCACTGTGCAGAGGACAATCAGTCTTTCAATAAGTGAATTTTATTTCCTGCAGAACAAAATCGGTCTGAGCAGCTGTTGAGCAGCTGTTGAGCACCAATCACACTGAAGCTTTCTGGTGACGTCACAATGGCGATAGATGTGGTGGTTGGGCCACGTGGCTCTGGAACAAAGTAATCCTGTCCAGCAGTGTTAGTGGGATGTCTCTGATGACTGAGGGCAGGTCTTCATGGTGTAGTGGATAGATGACCACGCTCAGAGCCGAGCGATCGATTGAAAATCTAACGGAGAGAGGGAACACGTGAAAAGGTGAATGTGAGACTTCTTTAGCCATTTAATGAGATAGTTCCTAAAACATAGTCAGTAGATGGCGGTCGGCATGCCCCCAGTTTGTAGAAACAGACCGGAGTACAATAAAATAATGTGCTTCTGTGGACGGGGGCACTTATGGATAAGTACCTCGTACGACTCCGCTTCAAAAAAAATCCAAACTATCACATAAGTGTTTGATTTGTCGTCACAAAAAAAAAAGCACCGACCTGTCCAGCAGAACTTTCTGCAGTGTGCGACAAGCCACTAAGGTGCCACCCATGAACATGTGGCACATGATGACGTGGCAGCATCGCTCCATGAAGGTTTCTGCGGCCGACGGGTCAAAGGTACCGCTGCGTGAGATAAGGCAGAGACGCTGCAGACGGGAGCAGCAGGACAGAGCCTCAAAGAATGACGCGCTGGCATTCAGGTAGGGCTGCTCTAACCTGAAACACACACACACACACACACACACACACACACACACACACACACACACACAGTTCAATATAGATAAAAAAAACAGCACGTTGAGTAAACATGTGAACTCTTTCCATTAAATGTGTGAAGACTAACTGATGTACTGCCCTGTACTTTCTAGTGAATGGACGGAACAACCTTAGATGAAAACAAACAACTCCTAATTGGACATATAATAATAATAATAATGAGTGTAGTGTCTGATGGTTAGTGTTTAGTATTACAGTAAAAGAAGGGTACACAAAGACATCTTCTAACCTGAGTTCCCGTAGCTGCGTGCACTGTTTAAGTGTGTCCAGCAAGGCAGGGGTGTAGTTCATGGTTTTTAGTGATCCCATGTTGGCAAGGGACAATACCTGTAGGTCTCTGCACTGCCTGGTCAGCTGTACCAGCCCTGTCCCCCTGAGGACCCCAGGGAGCCCAGCCAGAGTCAGAAGATGTAATCGAGGCAAAGCCTCAAGTGCCGCCAAGTGTGCGTCGCCAACTCCTCGTGCCCACGCACACATACCGCGGGGCTCCACACTGGCGCGAGTGCAAGGCTCAAGCCGAGGCAGTGCGGAGACAAAACCTGGACCAATGAGCTCTAAGGTCTCTAAAAAAGGGCAGCCAGCTAAGAGCAGAGCGAGCCCTGAAGTGCTGTCCCCCGACAGAGAAGACTCTGAATCGGGCTTGTAATTCTGGATCCCCAGACGTGGAGTCTTCTTTAGCCCCAGGAACAACGGAGAGGGAGACGTGTTGTCTGTGGTGATTTGATGTGTGTTTAAGCCGTCTGACAGAGCGCAGGCAGGCAGAGTGAGGGAGCGCAAGTGTGCGAGTTTGGCCAAGCTGGCACACAGGTGTGTTTCTCCACCTAGCCCAGGTGAGCTTTCATGATGATAGTGCGTGTGCATGAGGTTCAGTTGTTTAATGTTGGAACAGCCAACTGCCAACCGGCTCATTGTCGCAGGAATCAGCTGATCCTCCACACTCCTGCACTCTGAGTACAGGACCTTGTTGATCCCGCTGAGGTTCAGGCTAGTCAGCTGTGTGGTGTCTCTGACTCCTCCCTCCAGCAACGACTGGAACACCTGCGGCCACAGCGCTGGGCAGCGGCTGAAGCTCAGGTGCTTCGGACTGTTTCCCTCCAGGGCTCGCTTTAGGGACAAGGAATCGAGCCAGGACCGAGGCAGCTGCAGGGCCTCCAGGTCCCCACGTTGACCCAGGCTCTGGGCCAGTGAGGGAGCAGCGGGCCAGTGAGCGGGGTTTGGGCCAGGAATCGATACCAGGAAAACTCTGAGACGCTTTGGCACATGAACGCTGAACACTGCCAGGTAGAGGAGGAGCAAGGTCTGGTTTACCTAAGGACATGAACACACAGATATTAAAGTGAGTACTGCAGATATATACGAGAACATAGTACGTGCACATGAAAACACAAATAAACTCACCTCTCCCGGAGCCAGCCTGGCAGTGAACTCCTCCAGCTGTTGGTAATGCGGCACACTGCTCTGACCCATCATTAACTGACAGCAAACACCGATACCCTCTCTGGTCACATCTGAGATGTCAAACTGCAGCATCAGCCTGCAGGGAACAAACGCAGACGCACATTCAACAATGTAGCAGTGACATAGTAACACAAAGTCCTCAGACATAGCGACAAGAATGTGAATGCCAGTTCCATTAGCGTAGTGTCGCTAAACTCAACCAATGGACCAAATGCATTAAGATGGCTGATGTCTGGTCTGACATCACCAGACCAGAAATATGCTCTGAAGTGACAAGTAAATGGAAATTGGCATTTACAAATTGCATTTCTGAAACAACTAACTTCAAGGTTTGATTGTGACACAAAGCACAAGCGGGTGAAGCATTGCACTTGTGCATTTTAGCCATGCTAGCTAGGGATGGCTATGTCGGTCAGTCCACCACTTTGGTCCAGAGATTGAAATATCTCAACTACTGGATGGAATCAAATGACATTTTGTTGAAACATTCATGGTCCCCAGAGGATACGTCCTAATGACTATGGTGACCCCCTGACTTTTCCACTGGCGCCACCTTGAGGTTGACATTTGTAGCTCGTAGGGCTGTCATCAACTAAAGAAATTCTTAGTCTACTAACAGGATTTTGTCGACTAATCAGCTAGTTGATTTAATCTACAGATCTGTAAAACTGAATTTCTCGACAAAGAATCACCACTAAATCTACCAGAAATAAATAATTCAGCATGAAAAAACTACTTGAGTAAGGTCCCTAGTAGTTTGTAATGAAATGTCTCCAACGCTATTGTATTGATTGCCATGAAATTGGGTACAGACATTCATGTTCAGCTCATTGTGATCTTGTTGGCGATCCCTTTACTTTTCATCTAACACCAAAACCTTCATTTCTCGTGTGAAATCTCAGTAATCTTGACAGATTCTTACTTGCGGAGTTGGGCGCAACATGGCACCACACCATAACTCGGCGTCAACAGTGTCTGCCTGAGCTCCGACAGGCGGCTCAGTGAATCCACCGCCTCTGAACTGAGCTGAGCAGAGTTGAAGCCCGGCGTCACATCAAAAGCGAGTGATCTGAGCAGAGAGAGGGAGGAGAGGAGACGGGAGAGACGCAGGGAAGTGAGGCGACAGCCGGTGACATCGAGGTGCGTCACTCCTCTGCAGCGAGCAAGAAGCTCCATTGTAGAGCCGGCCAGCCAGTAGCAACCATTCAGGCTGAGAGACTGCACATGATTGGCCAACCGCTTTAATATGTGCCGAACCAATAGATCGTCAGCCTGGAGGAAACAAAGAACCCATTTTATTAAATCCATCTGCTACAATGCAACAAATACTCCACTGTGTGGATAAAGAAATGTTATTGAAATATACAGAAAGATCCACACACGTGCATTAGTTTGAAGATTAATAGAAAACGGAGATAGAAATCTTCACTATAACAATCTTGACACATGCCTTATCAGTTCAAAAGATGATAACCCTTTACCAGATACTCCTCCGACAGGCTGACGCTGGTGAGCAGGGTCTTGTCGTGGCACAGTGTGTGTAACTTGTGGCAGACGTTTGCCACGTTCCGCACCAGGTCACACACGGGAACATGGCGGAGGATGCACAGCAGGATCTCATCGGACAAATCGGACATTCCCACCGAGGTAGAGGATATCGTGTCCTCGTCGAATACAGCCTGAGACAGACGGCAAAACAGTGTCACGGTAAAGACCTTTTAGACCCTCCGTGTATTCAGTCCACCTCTGGGAAGAATCACAATGATGGCCAAGATGCTGCAAATCCTTGTGGTATCAATTACCAATTCTTGGTGTTTTGTAGTTGAGGTCCACCAAAAAGACCGAAGCTGTTATTAAGACAGTTTATGGCAATTTATCATTCATATTATGGTAGCTCTCTATTTAATGTCTGGTTGGATTAAGCTACTGTAGACAATGCTGCAAATCAATTAGTGGGAGTGCTTTATGACAACACTGTTTTATAAAATATAATTTTGCATCACTATTAGTTATTTGGGAGTTTTGAAATTCGCTGGATTTGGCAAAATCATACATTCCTATCTGGTTATTTTATTCTTACTTTTTTACATTTTATTTACCTCAACTGACTTTTGGTTAATACTTTAATATACGACAAAGATATGGATATTACAACATAAAACGACTGTTGATGTATTAATAGTGCTCTGTCTTACAGAGTTAACTTATTAACTAGTGTTATAGTTGAAGTATCAATAAGAGTATAGATATAGTTATATAAATAGATGTATAAATATGGTAGAATTTTGGATTGAAAGGTGATGTCATAACCAGCGACAAGACACATATTGTAGCAATGGTCCAAAGCGTTTATATCAGTCTCAGTTTTTCCACCAGCCAACACGTCTTTGTGCTACACTGTCTCAGCGTGTTAGCCCAACTTGGTCGAACAACTTAGCAGGAATTTGGGTAGACCCTGGTTAGCTAACGTTAACGCTAAGTTAGGTCATCCCAGCGGTACTGTTAACTATTAATGGGTTCTCGAGGTTTTGTCGGTTTACCCACCTGTACAATTTGTCGGTCCATGTCCTCTGAAATACCTTTCACGGTCCCACTCATGATCACCAGGATTTTTTATTTTATATTGTAGATGTTCATCCAGCCGCCCAGCGCTTCATTTTCCGATGGACCACAGGCGGTGTTACCGGGTGTAACATCCATCCGCTGACAGGACGGATTACGTTTACTGCTGCACAATGACGGAAGTCTGTCAGTGACGGACACACTTCCTGTCGGTCCGAAAAAATAAAAAAATAAAATAAAAAATCTGAATTTAAAGAAATTATGTTTCCATTTCTGACAACATGAATTGAATTTAAAATTAGATTACCAAAGAATACCAGGAATACATAATAGATGATAAAACGTAGTAGTACTAAAATATAATTTTAAAAAGAGGTATTTATAATACCTCAGGGTAAAATTACTCCACAACAAGTACACTTTTTAACTTTTTAAAGTATTAGCAGCAAAATATATCAAAAGTAAAAGTATTCATTAGGCAGCAGAAGGACCTCTGTCAGTGTGGTATTAAATTATTGGATTATTGTGCATTTCTGTATAAGCAGCATTTAATGTTTTAGCTGGTCACAATTAAGATTACTTCTTTATATCGTGTTGGATAGTTTAATCTATAAAAACTCATCTATAATGCACCATACTTAATAAAATTAGTATATTTTATACTAGAACCTTGATCTTCAAAGTGACTAGTAAATATAGTTGTGTGTGGTGTAAAAAGTACATTTTTTGCTTCTGAAATATAGGTGATTAGAAGTATAAAGTAATATGAAATGGAAATACTCGAATACTTGAGTAAATTTTAATTTCCACCATTCAATATATAGTATTTTTACATTCTCTATGGATAAAGAGAAATACCTAAAATATTGCAAAGATTTGGGTTTATTTTGTGGACATAAGTTCTGTTCTTTAATTCTGACAGAGAAATATGGAACTACAGACTAGTTATATATTCCTGTAATACTGTTATGTGCTATTATTATCCAAAGTGTTCCAACTAATATAAAAATTCATCAGCAGTTTGTTAAAAAAGTGTCTGTCAACAGTTAATTAATAATCAGTAAATACAGCTCAAACCATGCAATTCTGTTTTAATAAAATAGTTAGTGACCTCTTAATATTTCTATATTACAACTACATATGACTTGTCAGCAGTCCGTTCCACACAGTTAGATAATGAATACATGTGATGTATAATTACTTCTCATTAATTCCACATGATGGCATAATAAAAAGTTTCATTGTGAAGTGATACCGAGAGGTGTTATACTCTTTTATGGGAACAGTGTGTAACATTTAGGGGGATTAATTGGCAGCAATGGAATACAATATTCATAAATGTTTTAAAATGTGCATTCTCTCTACTGACCAGCAGGGGGCGGCGACTCTGGTTGCAAAATGAAGTCAGGTTCTATGGAAGTCTATGACAAAATGCATTTACCTCAGTAAACATGAATTTATGGTCTCAATCGCTAGTTTCAAGTCGTCCTCAACACAGTATGATGTTCATTTAGTAAATTATAGTCCATTTATAGTAAAACAAACCATAAAGCGGAGTATCCTTTAGGGCGGGCTTACTATGATTGACAGGTCGCTGTCGCTACCGGAGCTGTAACCAGAGTCATGTCACTCTCCATTCCAAAATTTGTCATTTCCAGTCATCGGTTGCAAAAGAAAATTGTTTCCAAGATGGCGACAGCGCCAAACTTATGCTTCACAACGGGAGTCTACAAACCAATGGGTGACGTCACGATAACTACGTCCACTTATAGTCTATGCTTTACATGTTGCTCTATAAACTATATTAGATGCATTTCAAATATAAATTCCTACTCCGTTCTAAAAACAAATTTCAATTCCATATACGTTTTTAAAAGCAATTATTTTGACATGTGGAAAGCAGAGTATTAAGAGTAGCTCCTAATTGTACTAAAATCCTAAAGGCCATCATAGGTCAACACGCTTGGAGGGGGAGTGAGCAGAGCAATCTGCTACACACCACTAGATGGCACCAAATCTTACACTGAGCCTTTAAGAACAATCCACTTGATTTGTCACTAAATAGTTTCCAATGTGGACAAGCTTTATGGATGGGCCAAAAGACTTGAATATTGTTCGTAACTATTTAGATTGTTTCGTTGCTGCGGTTTACTTTCCTCCTGATGCAAATTCAAAGATGCACTTCAGTTCTCTTTTGTAGTAAACTTGCAACTGCATGTTGTGCAGCCTTGTGTTGTCTAATGGCAAGTCCTTGAATCCTTTGAGACAGTGTAAATTTAGTCAGATTATACTTTGTAGAGAGAGCCTTTTGCCGTAGTAATTAAATGACTTCCAATTAATCCTTAGAACCGTCACAGCAGATTTGACTGTTTCAGTAGTAAACCGGTTTTACCAACAGTAATAATGGCTGTTCTATTCAGTGTCCTACTGAGCCATGCCAGTGTGACAATACCAGGACCTTGAAACTGAACTATATGGAATTCAGTCATTTTAACTTAGCGTGTGATTGATACTATGTAAATTCTGAGCTGATTGAAATGAAAGAAACCCATGTAGACAGACTTGAATCTCAGACATGTGCACTTTATTGAGTAGTTGTGTACACAAGAGGCTTGACGCCCCATGCACAATCCTTCCTACACCCCCATACAAGGTAGAAACTTTGTCTTTTGCATAATGACAAACAAACTGGACCAAGTATTGTTTAAGGCTGAAAGTACAAAAACAAAAAGACTACATAATTTACATAAGCAATACTACAGATCTGTTGGGCAGTGGGCCCACCAGAGAAAAACCTTCATAGAGGCAAATAAGGTGGTGAACAAACACATCTGGAATGACCTACACAAACACGACAATGGACATCATGTTCCTCTCACAGTCACACCGCCTGGGACGCTCTGTACTTCCTGCAGAGTTTCTCCCCATCAGGGGGCATGGTGCCATAGTGATGGGGGAAAATGGGAAGTGGTGTTGCGGGCTCAGCATATACCGGTGTGTTGGTGTAGGCATGTATGCAGAGCCAGTCGTTTGGGTTTGTAGCAGTGTGTGTTTCGGGGGAGTGGACTGACAAGTCTGTTTAGAAGCACTTCCTGTGGACAATGCTGGGGCCGGACTCGTCGTACTCTTGCTTGCTGATCCACATCTGCTGGAAGGTGGACAGGGAAGCCAGGATGGAGCCACCGATCCATACAGAGTACTTCCTCTCTGGGGGAGCAATGATCTGCAGGGAGCAAGATGAAAAACAAGGCGTCAAATCAATCCACACCGACATCCTGCAAGTATTTAATTTACAGTTAAATTCAGGAGAAGCGAGAGAGCTTGAACGCTGAATTAACCATGTTTTTGGCAGTAGAGGTAAAGAGCCTTCTAGAACATTTATTTTTTGCCTGAAGGGGATGAGTTATACCTTGATCTTCATGGTGGTAGGTGCCAGGGCAGTGATTTCCTTCTGCATACGGTCAGCGATGCCAGGGTACATGGTGGTACCTCCAGACATTACGGTGTTGGCGTACAGGTCCTTACGGATGTCCACGTCGCACTTCATGATGCTGTTGAAGGTAGTTTCATGGATACCGCAAGACTCCATACCTACGAGAGGTTGTAAAGAAGAAAGTAAGTTTTTGTTTCACACACACTTAAAAACTACAACCCCCCTATGCTTCCCAACAGTTTAACTCTTATGTATTAGTTATCAAACTCAGTCCTTGAATATATTTCAGCCAGTGCCCTGATTGAAATCTATTTCTGCCTTAAAAATAAGTTTCCCTGAATTAACTTACCAAGGAAAGAGGGCTGGAAGAGGGCCTCGGGGCAACGGAACCTCTCATTTCCAATGGTGATGACCTGTCCGTCAGGCAGCTCGTAGCTCTTCTCCAGGGATGAAGAGGAGGCAGCAGTGCCCATTTCTTGCTCAAAGTCCAGTGCAACATAACACAACTTCTCCTTAATGTCACGCACAATCTCACGCTCAGCTGTAAGACAAGAAAAAGACATTTTATAGTCAGTCCCAGGTTTTTTTTGTCTCCCCCTGTCAGTTTTCCCCTTGCTTCATAGATTAGTTTGTTTTGAAATCTGTGCCAACCTGTGGTGGTGAAGCTGTAACCCCTCTCAGTCAGGATCTTCATGAGGTAGTCGGTGAGGTCTCTGCCAGCCAAGTCCAACCTGAGGATGGCGTGGGGCAGGGCGTAGCCTTCATAGATGGGCACTGTGTGGGTCACACCATCACCAGAGTCCATGACAATACCAGTGGTACGACCGGAGGCGTACAGGGACAGCACAGCCTGGATGGCCACATACATGGCAGGAGTGTTGAAGGTCTCGAACATGATCTGGAGGAGACGAGCGGTGAATCAGTGAGTCAACGTTACCTGAAGTAAGCCAGTATTGGTTAGTACAGAAAAGCACAGCACACTGGCCTGTTTTGAGTAGAAACACCATATGAAAACCAGTCATTACAATAATGTATAGTTTAGTCATATTGAATGTACAAGATGAGTGCAGCAACCTGTTCAGTCATCTGGTGCATCATGCAGACACCAGTGTAATTAGATCCTCGTCATCTACTTTAGTAAGTCTAAAATGAGCCCAATTTGAAAAGAGCAGTGACCATGCCGCAACAGTCATTCCTGATGCATCACAGTGCAGAGAGATAGAAACCTGAAGCATCCGCAGAGATGAAAAGATCAGCACAGGACAAAAGAAACCTGGAGATTGAAGGAGCAGGAGGAAATGGACAGATTGAGCAGAAGCTGAGATGCCCGAGCGGCAACACATTCTCTTGTTGCGGGGCCCTGCAGGCGAGTTGAGAGGGTTTCCTGTGTGAGGGGATACGTCAGTGTGTCAGCCCTTGTTACCTGGGTCATCTTTTCCCTGTTGGCCTTGGGGTTCAGGGGAGCCTCTGTGAGCAGGACTGGGTGCTCCTCGGGGGCAACTCTCAGTTCGTTGTAGAAGGTGTGATGCCAGATCTTCTCCATGTCATCCCAGTTGGTGACGATACCATGCTCAATGGGGTACTTCAGGGTCAGGATTCCCCTTTTGCTCTGTGCCTCGTCACCAACATAGCTGTCTTTCTGGCCCATACCAACCATCACACCCTAGTAAAGTCAAATCAGAAAAAAAAATAAAAATAAAAAACTAGTTAAAAATCTGTACAAAAAACAAATTTATGAGTTTTTACAAGCTTTGTTATTTACAAGTCATGATTTATACAATATGTGGAAACTGTACCTGATGTCTGGGACGTCCAACAATGGAGGGGAACACAGCACGTGGAGCATCATCTCCTGCAAAGCCAGCTTTGCACATACCGGATCCATTGTCAACAACGAGGGCGGCGATTTCGTCTTCCATTGTCTGGGCAGAAGAGAAGACAAAAAAGGCAGAGAATGTTGAACACTGATGCTCTGTGTGAGGCAGTTGCGAGTTACAGCTGGCACACAATCAACTCAGTTAAAGCCTTGTCGTTATGAGACTGGACGCTGGATGTCGCAGTGGCGCAAGTCCCAGTCCTAATCCAGCAGCTCAGCAACAGAAGGCTCCGTTTCTCTCTCGGTCTGGCTATGGCCATATAAGGCAAACGTGAGAGCAGCTGAGAGACTGCGGTAGCCCGGCCCGTGTGTCGTTAAACCTCAAAATGACAGACAAGCACGGCCACTCCCTTCACCGGAACCACCACAAACTGTCCAAGATAACGGGCCACACACCGGTTACGCACGCTTCAACAGACGTTTTTAACAGTTAAGTTGAATGAACTGCCACCCATCAGGTGTACCTCTATGTCGTGACCACCACTGTTACAAGCACATGTGAAAAGAAAAAAAAACAAAAAAAAAAAAAAACACAACTTCTCGCTTTAATGTCAAAGAAACCATTTGGCATTTCTACGCGCATATCTGCAATTTCTGTTAGCGTTAAGTATTTTAGATTCAATCCTCCTAAATGTGCAATCATCCGTCTGCGTGTGAAACCAGACCCAGAGACCGTGTCAAAGCCAAAGCAGATGCTTACATGCAAGAGAGAAGGTCAAGCACGCTTTTCTTTTTACGCAGTCTGATTTGTGAAACTGATGACAGCATGGGTAGCCGGGTTATTTCACACCATCCGCTAGATATAAACGACAGTGTGCCAACGCGTATCTGTACTTAACACGCCGTTAGTGGGGACCTCCCATCAAACCAACCGTCATCACAAACATTTAAGCTTAATGAACGACCGAAATTAAAGTTAGCTGTTCCAACTGTTGTCTGCGTAAAGTCAGGCAGACAACCTCGTATCTTTAACCCGCCGGCTAAAATATTACGCACACACATATATATTAAATAACTGCATTTAAAACAACACAAAACTTCCATCTTCGTCTTACCTGTTTAAGGGAGGGTTATCGGCTTAGGAGGACTGACTGCGCGGTATACTCCGGTAGGGTTTAGTGTCTAAACCTGACTGCAATGGAAGCCAACAAATTGCAGGGTTTTATGAGAGCTCTCGCTGCAGCCCCTCTCCATAAAAGGAGATCTTTCCGCTTAGCGCTCTCTGATTGGTCCTGCCGCATCCACTGGGTGTGGCGCATGCAGATAACGCTCCTGCGCTCTGACAATACCGAGGAGACAAGCAACATGGAAACTAACCTATATTCTGTCAACTATTATTCTGGGGTCTTTCAGTGTTTAATAAAACACACTTTATATCCGTCTATATAATATCATTATTTATTATAATGGGCGCAATGGGAATGAAACACCCGCGAGCAACAAATGACTGCTGCAAAACACACAGCAGACTCTTAAAACAAGTTGAAATATTTGCTTTCATGTTATTGTCTATTGAGCTGATTAGCACATGTTGATGTACTTCATAGAACCCATATTATAGTTTGATCCCTGGCATCATCCAGGTTGAGAAGGGGCCTGCATATTTTCTCTCAAGCACATTTGATTAATCTACTTGTGTTACTATCTTCTGTTTTATATTTGTGCATTGGAGCAAAAGCGCAGAACACAGACAAGAAGATTCACGATTCATCTCATTTAAGTGAAGGACATGCGGGAATGAGACAGAACGAGATTGCACTGAAGACTGTGCTAGTGCATTTGCAAATTCATGGCAGATACTCGTGCTTGGTAGTGCCAGGCACCAGTGGGGTGGTTCCAGTCTCAGGGTCACTGACAGCACTGTTAACACCCTGATTAACATGTCTACCCTGACATAGCAGTGTCTCTCTCTCTCTCTCTCTCTCTCTCTCTCTCTCTCTCTCTCTCTGTTTCTCTCTCACACACACACACACACATGCAGAGTAAAGTGATACACGTGGTCAAGCTTAGCTGAGGTATGTTTACAGCAAACACTCAGGAGGCTGTAGATCACTTATCTCTCGTCACTTGTACAGTTTCAGTGTGTGTGTGTGTGTGTGGGGGGGGGGGGGTTCAATGAGATGAGTAATAGACAGGTGTGTAATTTCCGGGAGATACCTAATGTGGTTTTGAAATGAAAACCGTGACGCCTATTATGAAATGATTTCTGAGGAATGTGACTTTGATATGTACGTACATACCTGCTCATGCACACACCAATATGTGCATAAGGCTTGCCTGAAGTACTCATTTATATGAATTATTATGATAACACACTTGGACGTTGCCATGCAAAGCTCATCTTATTGACCAGAGACTTAAGTGGGTGGGTAGGGTTGCAGTTTTAACTCAATAAGGGCACCGGACAAAGACACATAAACTTATGGTAGGAATTCTCATTGGCTCTTTGTGTTCCTAATAAGGGTATATGGTAGCCGGCTGGCCAAAGGAGACAGGAAGTGGGTTTCACAGTGCTTCCCTTCTGCAGATGCACACAGGAAGTGACCGCACAGATCCTACAAACACACACAAACGCCCGTATGTCACCAGGTACGGAGCAGCTAAGGATAACATAGAAGGGAGAGGGAGAGTGAATGATCTAATCAGGGAATTGGCTTTCAGAGTGGCATTATCCTCTTCTAGACAGACACTAAACACACACACACACACACACACACACACACACACACACACACACCAAGTATAGACCCAGGGCAGGACAACCATCCCTTTAAGAGTTCCTTTGGATGACATCCATATAAGGAGATATTGGAGCTAGTCACATGGGGGGGAAGAATGCACTGCTCAGGTCATGTGACCAGTCTGAGGAAATGAATAAATCTCCCTTTTTAAGGATGTGCATGTATATACGTGAGTATGGGTGGGAGTGCATGTTGCTATAGGTTGGATTTCTGTATCCTTCACCAGCACCCACAGATTAATATGTAGAAAGTGATATATGAATAAAAATAAAAATTGTTTTTTAAAGTTTGTACGCACTAACTCCTCCCTGACAGATATTTCTCAATGTTTCTTCTCATATCTTTCTTCAAGCCATTTCATAATTTGGTGGCATGCGTGTCTTATGCATGCGTTACATCACACACACACACACACACACACACACGTAGACACTCCCTGCATTGCTCACTCACACAGTCAGAGAAATTCACAGGCCTGGCTCTTGGCTCTGACTAAGACCGTATATGGAAGAAGCTAGCAGGTAGCTTCTGTCCACTTTTCAGTCATCCCCTGTCTCTAGCGCTCACTCTCTTCCTTAAACGCACATTCACTCTCTTCCTTTATTTGCCACATTTCCTCTCTCCCTGAACCAATCACTCCCTGATTCCTCTTCCCATGACAGGGACAACTACAGGAGTGCAATGCAGTGTGCGTATTTGCCAGTTTCACTCTGCAACAGTCTTCCCCAGTCATTTATGACATCACATTCCAGCTAAGGTTCATAAGCAGTATTGAGTGGAGGTGTGGCTTGTGTGTGTGTGTGTGTGTGTGCGTGCTTGAGTAAGACAAAGACAGGAAGATGGTATGTGAAATACTCTTTGAAATGTCATATTAGAAGATGCAGATTTCTCAACAGAAATTCCCCCCCAAAAAACTCCAATCTGACAAAGACTTGTGAACACATCTCACCAATTCTCAGGTCTCTGCACTGGCTGACCATCAGTGTGCCATTAAACAGAGTTACATTTACTGCTACTTTACTGTGATTTAGATCCAAATACACTTCTGAATGTAGCTTGAACCATGGCCTGATTAGGCAGAAAACTTTGTGTTTGGGTTCCTAACCCTCTATTGCATGGAGTTGTCATATGGTTTATGTAAATTTTACTAAAAGACAGTTCTACAAAATCCACATTTCACTGTTTTGTTGTGAAAAGGGGGTCTTCTACTTTGATATGACCAATGATTGATCACATCACATGAGCAGGATATCCTGTTTGCACTTCCTTTTTTCATGGACACTTGACACTAGAAGGTCATGATCTGAGGACTCCCAAAGTTGACTAATTGTTTAACAGTTTTGTTTAATGCAAAATTCCTTAAAAAACTAAAAAAGACATTATCTGGGGTAAGTCAACTAAAAGCAGTCTAGAAGAGATACCTTTTTTGTAAAATGAATTTGATGTCATATGTTAACTACACGTGAATATATAATGTGTTCATTCAACCTATTGGACTGTTTCATAAGACTAAGCTACACTGAGACCATGTTAACAACTTATTACATTTAAAAAGGGAAAGAACATATATATTTTGTAATTCCAGACATTCTGTAACCGTACCCTTTATCTGGATTATACATTACACCACTGGCTGTAAAAAGGTTGCCACAGCCTCGTGCCACCTGATCTGGTAGGAAGGGACAACACAGACTACTGGACGTTGCAAACAAACAATGGAGGAGAAGCCTGGATGGAAAGGAGCAGGTGCTCCAAGTGGGCCATGTTCCTTTGATTCTTCAACTTCCACAAGAGGTGAAAGTGTCAGAATGGAGAATGTAACGTGAACTTCTTAATGTGGATTTTTCATATATTTCCATTTTTTGAAGTAATAACATTAAAACATATTAATAATGTTTAAGTTATAAGTCATGCAATAGAGGGCTAATAAATTCTGAAAAATTGATTTTGACACGGGTCCTTCTATCAGACACGATCCTGAGATTAGATACAGTAATAATGTGAGACACACCTTTTATCTCTTGTTTGCGTTTGTATGGTTTATGCTGCGCTTTCTGTAAAATGTTTTAATGCATTATATAAAGCATTTTAACGGCCTGTGTGTGAAAATGTGCATTTGTGCTCCACAACTTTCTAAGCGATGACCTCAGAGTGCAAAGCTCAGTATGTTTAAAAAGGACTCACATTTTTAATTGTCAAAAGCAAATGCATTTATTTTTGCCCTGAGTAAGATTTATGTTTACTAAAGCATGATATAAGACTCTGCACCATTTAGACACACTCTTTTGTTCTTCTTTCTTTACAGTACATCCTACATCTCATCAGAGGTATCAGAAACAGAACATGTAGCAAAAAATATACACTTATATACACATTTACACTTATTGTTTTTTTACAGTTTTCATCAACAAAACAAGAACATTTGAGGCCTAGAACGCAATAACGAGCTGCAAAAACCAGTGTCAACTTTTGATTTGAGTCTTCTTTACGTGCGTCAAGCAGTCCAGCTCTTCCCCAGGTCTACCAGCTCCATGCCTTCACAGTAGGACCGCGGCCTCGAAACCCTCACCTGGTTTCACAGGGAAACATATTGAAACCAGATATACGTGCTCATATGTATATAGATATACCTGTCAAACACTCACTGTGGGTGTCCTTTGGGTGGCCAGTTTCTGCAGAAGGGGGAAGGGAGTCCACTGAATGGGTTCCACGGGCCAGCTGCAGACAGAAAGGTCACTGGCCTTGCCCGAGTCCAACACAACATCGCCCATGCTCATCCCGCTTCCCCTCCAACCATACTGAGAGCTACAGGGAATACAGACAGCCAAGGGATTATTTACACAGACGTTGTTTGTATATTATATGAGTGAAGGAATACTTTCAGACATACATTTACATTCTGTAGGGGAACTAAAGGCAGTAACAGTTTAAGATACAGATTAGGAAAATGATATGAATGTAATTTTATTCATTGATATTGGCTTTAGTGATTTATTCTCTTCATTTTAACTTTTAAACATGTATTAAGCCATAGCTTGGGATACACTTTTTTCTATATTTAATGTCACAAAATTGAATTCATTCAGTTGTTGTGTTTTATCCGTTTCTTTTATGTCTTTACTTTATTGCTTTTGCTTTGATTTAATACAACATTTACTCATTAAAGTAGCATTCAATAGTTAAAACTGCTTTTATATTTCTAAAGCAGCCACAGATGAAAGGGGGCAGGTGAGAATGAAAACCTCGCAAAGAATTATCACCCAATTCAGCTCTACAGGCCTTTTTTGTGTTTAAAGCATCTTTCAGGTTATGGTTTCGGTTTTACGGCCCATAACTTTAATGTTTTGGCTTTTAGTTCAGTCTGTCAACCTCAGCAGCTTCACTTCCAGATGCAGGCATTTTGTCCTTACTGGGCGGCTGTAGAAACATTGTGGTGCAACATGACAGCACAAAGATTCTTTGTTTCAGGCGATTATACACAAATGAAAACATAATTATGAATATTATATTCCATTTCTACCTAAAAATCCCCATAAACCCAACACACTGGTCCTTTAAAAGTAATTATTAGGTGTGTCCAAGTTCAGTTTTTCTGTTTGTATAATTTAAGATTGTGTGTGTGTCTAAGTTTGGGTTGCAGATCTAATGTCTGCTTGGTTGCTGAACTTTTCAAAAGCAGCCTGTTTAGATGTGCATTTAGCTTGTTTGTATCTTGATCATTATTTTCTTAGATCTTAGATCATATACATACTGTAATATGTATTTCATGCTTTAGACAGATTGAGGAGGACAGACAGACATTAGCTCTCTGCATGTCAATAACATTCATACTATCAAGAATATGAACCATTCATGTGCGTTTATGGACTGTGTGTGTGTGTGTGTGTGTGTGTGTGTGTGTGTGTACCTGTGTGGGTAGATTGTATTGATGCGAGCCCCGTGGCTGGGGCAGGTGGAGGCCAGCGACAGCGTGTCGTCGTGGTAACAGCAGGTGCGGTCGAGCGCCTGCAGGTGCAGTAACTCATCGGAGCGCGTAAAGGCGGGATTATCTAGCGAGTCCGCTGATCCTGCCCACGAACGCAACCCGAACCGTCCTGACAGCTCATCGAAATGGTTGAACCTGCGATAGCTGCAGACACAACAAATCATAGTGTGAGGATAATTATTCACAGCACAATATTCATATTCATGTATCTGCTTCAATTTGATCTGGGCTTGAGTATAAATACATATTTTTCATACATAGCCTACGTGTGTATGTAATATACATTTCTTTTTTTTCCCTTTAAGTCTCACTGGATAAAAATGACTAATGGAAGTGAACATTCTATTCAATTGAATTTGCATAACTTAATATCACACATTTGCCACAGAGGGCTTTACAATCTGGACCACATACAACCTCCTCTTACCTTGGACCCTTCGCATCAGATAAAGAAAAGCTCACCCCCCAATAAACTATTAATGGGCCAAAAAAAAAAAAAAATGGACGAAACCTCAGAGAGAGTCCAACTTTCTCTTGACAGAACTCTCTCTCTCTACTGTTCGTAAGACACTGTGGATTTACAGCTTAACTTCAGACTGAACTTTATCGGTCTGTGTCCACACCCAATATTTGAAGTTAATCTCAGCAATAGGATGAAAGTACAGTGCCTCAGTCAAGGTGGACAGAACTCTTCCCTCTTGCAGTCTCCCTCTGGGATTTTGGTTCAGACAACAAGTGTCTCAACACAAACGCCTTACCAGGCTGATTCCCAATGTCTGCACTTTTTGCAGACTTCCAGAGAGTCAGCTTGGGGAGCAGATTTCTCCAGACTTCACTTTATAGACTATTTATAGTTTATAACATGTGAATGTGCAAGACTAACACCTTACAGACTTGACGTGATGGCAGTGAACGTATCACTGTACGCATGACTGAAGTCCTTCAGGGGCTGTCTGCAAGTCTAGACGGTGGACATTCGGATTCAACCAGACTGACTCAACATTTTCCAAGAGTTCACGATGCAGCCTTCATCCTAAATATGTGGTTCAGCAGCCAGACTCCGACATCTAGTGGACGTTACTGTTACCACAACTAAAGTGCGTGAAGTTAAATCCATTCTGTGCCAGGACACAATTTTCCCGAAGGTGTCCTGTGTGTTAATGCCACGTATGTCACATCAATCCGAGTTGTTTGGCGTCAACTGCATTTCATGTTTACCAAAGGTGTGTTTCTTGGGTTATTATAAGGTCGACCCACAAGATCACACCTTGTTACAGAAACACATTTAACCATTTCATTCATTTTCAACATATTTGTTTGAACAAAACACTTCATATTTTATGTTCAGGGTATCTGTGTGGCGTCTGTGAATCTGTGTGTTTGTATGGTAGCTTGAGCGCTGTAAGCTGTGATTGTGACGTGTGAGTCGGTGCATACCTGCTCCGAGTCTGATCCACTTTGGCCTGGATCAGAATGGCTCGGTAGCGTCTCACTGCCACAAGAGCCAAAACACCAATCACTGTCACCATGACGAGTAAGATGGCAAGACACGCGCCCACGAGCCGCGCTCGAGTCATCCTCACGTCACACCTCTGACCCATGTACCAGAAGTCCTCTCCTACAAGGCAGCTGAAACACAAACAAGAAGACGTTTGCATGTACAAAAACCTTCTTGGATGGAAGAGATGCAAACTGTATGTATTAATGCCTCTGTCTGGTCCTACCGGCAAACTGGGAGCTGGCCCGGGTGGTGAGTACAGATGCCATGATGGTGGCAGTAGTCAAAGTGGCAGACAGAAGAGCAGCTATAGTTTGAAGTGCCAGGGTTAAACACACACTTGTAGCCTGCTGGACACTGCAGTAACCAGTCGCACACATCGCCCTGCAGACCTGGAGGGAAGATATGTTAAAGAATGAGGCTGGTGTTATTCTTCATTTTGATTATTGCCAACAAATCCCACTGAACAGCTACATCTTAAATATTTGGTTTACTTTTTTAAAAGGAAACGCAATGTCCACAATCAGGTGCTAACGCATTTGTTGACGACAAGTTTCAGCTGTGGATTAATACACGTTTGGTGCACTGCACTATAATTAAAATATAATCTACAATGGACATCTACATAAAAATTAAAACAATAAAGTAGCCAAAAAATATAGAATATTACCAGCATTACTCTTTAAATGTGTCTGCCTTTATGTCAATGTTTAAGCATTAGCTGAAATACCTTGACGAATTGGCAAATCAAATAATATACAGTATAAGTCTTATTTAAGTGATTATGGTTACATGCAGAGTTGGCACGATAAGTATCCCTGTTGGCCCAAATAAACTGCCAGAAGAACATGCCTGTCAATGCACTTTGTCCAACAGCAAACATGCAGCTACAGTACTTGAGCCATTGTGAATTGGCATATATGGCAAACACCAAAAGTGAAAGCAGTAGAGTAAGATGATGACATACCACAGTAACCAGTTTAATATCCGAGTGAGCCAGACTTCATAATCAGATTTCCCATAACTAGATTGTGAGTTTAACTGAGTCAATCTGACTGTGTTATGATGTTTACATGAGTCTGCCTGTAACTGGGTTAATTAAGTAAGCAGGTTAAGAATGGAATTCCCACAGAGGACATCTGGGACAAGGGTCTGAAATGTGTTAATGTCTATTCCCTTAACGCCAGGCTCTCTTAGATGCAGTACAAAGGTTGCTTTACTCAAAAGGTGAAACTGCACAAAAATCTTCCCATAAATGTCACCAATTAGTGAGAAATGTGACCAAACAGAGGCAGATTTACTTCGTAGCTATGCATTATTATGCATGAAGCTACAAGAATCCTGCGTTGCAATATTTTCATTCTGTTCAAAGAATTTTAAAGTCCAAATAAGACCCGATCCACTTTTGGTCATACTGGGGGCCTGTGAAAAGTCTAAAAACCTACAGAGTGCACAAATCAACTCCTATTGAAAGACTGGAATGCCCTGTCAGGTAAACGTTAAGGACAGTAAAGAGATGACGGGATATCAGAGGAGAGCGAAGAACGAGTTGCAACGATTCGCCTGAGACCACTCAGGTGCCTGAAAAGTTAAGCATCTTTGGTCAGCTGTGCGTAGGCGGGCATCTCAAATTGCCTTACCTCCCAGTGTGATGTTGGTGATCTTGGATGATCTGAAGCTCCTCCCCTCGCACACAGCCTGAGCTAGTCCTGTTCGTTCCAACAGCGACGCGGGGCCAGTCGTGCCGAGCCACCGCAGAGCCCCGCTGGTTCTGAACTCCACCAGACTCTGCACTGCATGGCCACTGAAAAACGGCAGCACATCCACTTTCTGCAGCTTTCTTCACAAAACCCTATGCAGCGCAACCCCAGTTTGTGCCTCTCATGTTTTACCACTGTATTCGAATCACAGAGCTAAGCATCTTTTCTAAAAGATAAATACCTGGCAATCTATGAAAACCCCATTTAAAGAAGGGATTCAGGGCATTAATATAGCAGCAAACAATGATTTGCTATGTAGAGATGTATTGGAGTAATGTCTCCCTCTGTGTGGGTTGTAATCCGAGTTTCTACGTAATCCGAGTTTCTTGGTTGACACAGCCAGCCTCGTGTGCTTTTAGTGCATGTTCATGCATGTGAGCATGTCCACTGGTTAGCTCACTAATACGGCGGTTACAGCTGATAACGCCCCTCCGGTTTCCCCCTCAGGTAAACACTGTTAGCTTATCCGTCACCATGTTGAGAGCCGTTGAGAGGCAATAGAATTAGCTGATGGACATTGTGGAGCATTAAGCAGCTAAAGAGACAAAATACTGCCCTCCTCAGGAGTTGGAGGAGACCACAAGAGAGCTAAAGGGAGAATGTGATTTACATTTGTGACTTGACCAGAAACACAACTTCAAATGAAGGATAATGTAGTTCCATGTCTGCTGGACGTGATAATAAGAAACTGTTTGCCAATTACAACTTGTTAGTGCGTCAAAATGTCAACGTCCTATGACTTGACTTTAATGGTAATAGATGAGAGGCTCAAAACGGGGCTAAATGCAGCTTAGCTACAGTATATGTACTCTATAGGACTTCACCTGCTCCAAACTCCCAGCAGCCGGCTGAACCCCGGGGCTTTCTGAAGGTACGGCTCCACCTGAAAGAAACATAGAATGAGGACTTTGTAGCAGCCCCTAAATCAAACTCTAAAGCTATTGTATAATCGCACGATTTGTTGGTGCTTTTCTGCATGCCAGTGTGCGTCTGCGTGTGTGTGTGTGTGTGTGTGTGTACATCATCCCTCACCCAGGCAGCGGTGTCTTCCTCCAAACCAGAAGAAAAAGCCGATCTGGACTCTTCCACAACAATCTGCAGCAGCAGCTCAATTGACTCCACTGGACAAAACAGGAAAATAAATCCATTACAAGCCTGGACACAGAAAAAAAACTATTATTTAATCACACACAAATATGTACATTACCTCTGATGGCTGAAGGTTGGTCTGGCACGATGTAGAACTTGGGTGTGTGACTAGTTGTGGGGCTCCAAGCAGAGGTTAAAACAGGAGGTGTGAGTGCCAAACGGTTCTCCTGGCTGGGATGCAAGGTTGTCCACGATGGAGCTCCGGCTGTGGGAGTTAGTGTGGTTGTGCTGCCTGTAAACCATTGCCAAGACTTATCCTCTCCCTCTACTTCCTCTACCTCTCCATGTCCATAATCCGATTTTGCAGTTGTGAGTGAGAGCAAAGACGTCTGTACAGTAGTAATGTGGTTGTGGGGCTGTTTAAGCGTAACTGGGATATTAGTAGAAGACGTCAAAGGCAGGGGGTTCTGTGTATGAGGTGTGTGTGAAGATGTTTCTGAGGGCGTGGGCGTGGGCGTGGTTTCGTGGTCGACGAGTGGTGTGTGGGCAGCGGATTCAGTGGTAGAGGAGGGCAAAGAAAGGGGTGTGTGAGATAAATGTGAATGACCAGGTGATGGAGTGTGTGTTTGCAGCGTGTATGGAGATGTTGATGAGGGTATGGACGTACTGGACGACGAAGGAGGAACAGGAGTCGGTGAATTTGTGGGCGAGCTGTCATGTGAGAGTGTGTAAGTGGGACGCAGTGTGTATGTTTCAGTGGATGTTCCTGAGGGAGCTGAGGTCTGGACTACATCTCCCAACATCAGAGGTGTCGAAGAAGAACCCGTGAAACTCAAAGTCCGGTCATCAACTTCGGTGATGCCAGGCGATGAGGACATGGTGTCGGCAAAACGTTTGCGTGTACTCTGCGATGCCGTGTGTGTCTCGTCTTTGCTCGTCTGTGTGAGCGGGGAGGACGTGTCAAGAAGTGGCGAGCACGCAAGGCCCTCTGTGCTTTGTGGAGAGCTTGTTTCACTCTGTGTGGAGGAAGTGAAAGTGTGAAGGATCTCAAGTTTGTCAGAGGACTCGAACGCAGCAGTTTGATTGGTGACCTCTGACGCAGATGATGCCGATGAGTCAGTTCCACTCGTGTTTGGATGAAATGAAGCAGACTCCACGGCACCAACAGCGGTTTCAAGCTCTGCGACGTGGGCGGCGGGTGGATGAGTCCCGCTGGAGAGCTGTGAGGATGATGGTGACGGCGCAGTGGGTTCAATATCAGTGTGTGAGTCACCCTGCTGAGGTTCAGTGGGGGATTTTAGAGGATTAGAGGTGACGGCGGAGGTCAGATCCGAGTTAAGTCTGTCTGTGCTTCGCTGGCTCCTCCAGGAATGGGGGAGTTGTGTGTTTGTAGATAGCTTAGATGTCTGAGTGGCTGTATATTTGTGAATATATGTGCCAAGCAAGGTGTTGGAGCTAATGGCTGTTGCATGTGTCACTGCAATCTGGGTTTGAGGGAGCTCGTTGCTTGATTTTTTCCCCGTGTTTGTCGTGTGCGATGGTTGAAACAGCGAGTCTGTACGCTGAAAATAGGGGCGTGCTCTCTCTCTGGCAGATATTTTTCCATCGGCGAGGTGAGGAGCTCCAGATGTATCCGCTCCATTGTTAGGTTCTTCCTCAGGAAGCGGGAGAGTTTCCCTATCAGCTCTCCCAGCCACAGTGAGCACAGTGAGTCCCTGCGGGGGTGAGGTGGGGTGCAGCGGGCCCTGGTCCTGAGAGGAGGGACTAGACGCAGACCGAGGCCCGGAGCTCCACTCCAGACCTTCAAAGAGGCGACCTCTGCCCCCGTCTGTCCCCCTCACCACGTCTTGACCAACAGGAGCGGCGCTTGTAAAGCTGGTTCCTGTCCGTGACCAACGCAGGAGGTCTTGGTCTGAACGTGGGCTGGTAGGGTCGTCCGAGGAATTCCTCTCATCTTCCTGGACTTGATGACCAAAACAAACACAAAAAAACAGAGAGGGAGAGGGTGAGGAGAGACAAGAGTGGAAATCACAACATAACATATCTGTGTCTCACACCACAGTGAGTGTGATAACAACTTTCCGACGGACTCAAAGCTTTGAACAATACATTTCCACAGTTTCACATAGTACAGTCAATGTAACCATAATATACTAAACAAAACCTTATATATTCATTGAGACAACTAAATAAGCAGCTTTTTCAACAATTGGATCATACTCTCATGATCAGGGTGCAGGGAAGTGGGCCATCCTGACTCAACAAGTCAAACTAGATAATTGAGTAATTGGTTTCTCACCATAATAGGACAGCTGCATTTCATTTGAGGAGCGTCCTGCTCCTGTCCAAGTGAAGGTGGCTTTGTTTCCATCACAGTGGGAGAGCAGAGCCGTCCCCCCGCTCTCCAGGACCTGATCTGCTTCGTTCAAAACACAGCGCACTACTACGCTTGAACCACTGTCCAACCACACTAACTTTAAAAGGACCGTCGGACCCAGAGGAACACCTATCGTCCAGGTGCAAACTGAAACCGTCGGGGTTCTGTCAGACTGGTGGTTCATGGGTGTGTTGCTGGTGTCAGTAAACAGTCCAGGTAAAGTGAGATTGATGTGACCAGCAGGCTGTTTGTCCAGGCTGACATCTCCACCACAGTGGTGGTGCAGCAAGGCCAGTGTTTTATCTGAGGAAAGAGAAGAAGAAAAAAGACGCTGGTAAAAGAGGGCATCAATCTGGCATAAATCTGTGTGATGTTGCAGTGAAAAGTGATTTATTATGTCCAGTTCAAACACAGATAATTATCATTCTCCGATTTTTTTTGAAGCAGGAAAATGTAAAAGCAAAACCCAGACAATTAAAGGAAAAAACAAACTTAATAAAAATGCACAGATCGTCCCCCTCTTTAATCATCTCTTGAATAATTTGATGACCCCTATATATTTGGATCAGGGCTTGAAGCAGGGTACAAAACTCAACTCTACAGAAACCTACCAACCTCGTTTGTATTGACAGAAGAGCAGCGATGTTGTGACTTAATTTAAAAGTAGCTGAAAACGAAACAGCAGTTTCAGATAAAAGAAATACAAAGCTCGGTGACAATAAAAGGAGTGGGCTTCATAATAAGACAGCAGTTTACAGCAGAGGTCCTTACCTGTTGTGATAATAAAAAGCAACAGGCAGGCGTGGAGCTGCATTTCCAATCCTGAGACATTTCAGTGTCGGAGACCTTATTAATCCCAAATCCATATAGCTCAGATATACAGTATCTGTGCGTTATGATGAGGACGAGTGAACCGCGCAGAGCGAAACAATGATCTCCAGTTTTCCTGCGAGCAGAGCAGTCCCAGCGAAACGGAGAGGCGTCAGAAACTTTCCTTCTCCATCATTTCCTTCTAACGGAAACCACCGTGCTGTCAGGGGCACGGCGCCGCACGGTCACCCAAATGAGTTGCACGTGTGTCGGACGGTGCTCCTCGTAATGCGGGACGGACAGAGGTTTTATGTGCGCCCCCGGGCTGTTCCGTGCGCCAGTTTGTTTGATTCAAACGAACGTTTCCCAAAGATGAGAGGAAGGAATCCAGTGGTCGCGGCAGGGAGCTGGTTTTTACACACATGCTTAAACGCAACACAGGAAACCTTTACCACAGGAGGCATGGAGGCATGACAGGGCGGGGGCAGTTTATTAGTGCTTTTACATTCACACCCCACTGTGTGTCAGACAGGGAGAGTTGGAAACCAGTGCCCGGTAGCAGGATGGCTTCATTATCACTCATCAGACATGAAGATGAATTATAGAGCTGGAGCCTATTATTATTGTTTGTGCGCGTGGCCACATTGGGGCAGAATAACATCAGAACAAGCTGACAAACTTGAAATTAAAGGCAGGGTTGGTAATCTTCTTCTAAAATATTGTTTAAAATCTTATCACATCCTGACAGCAATCAATGAATCAAACACTGACGAAAAAGAAAAATATTTAGGTATCTAAATAAATATATATATAGGCTAGCAACCTTGGGTTGGTTTTTGGTAAATGTATCGGTTATCTGTCGTCTCTGGAGGATTGTTAAAATTGCTTTTCTTTTACACTTCTAAGTATCTATTAAAGGGTCTCACCGAGATAAGTCTTTATCTTTCTCATTAGCCTTTTGAAAATGCTCTCATCCATAAACTACCATTTGAAAATGTATATGATCTCATTGTTTAATTCTGCTCTAAATAAACCACAAAACAACAGACTTATAAAAAGATATTTTTATTGATGCAGGAAAAACTCTGAATAATGACGGTGTTACAGGTCATCTGAACTTTGATGATTTTAAAAGCTGCAGAGCTGATTGTTAAAACCTGGAAGTTTTCAACTGTGCCATCTTTATCTTTGCATATCCTAAGGGAGAGGACACATGCACTTTTCAAAGTGGATTATGACAACAAATGATCGTTTCTTACTGGATATCTGCAAAGGATAACGAACTCAAATCAATGCGAAATGTAGAGAACTCAGAATAACAGCACTTTCTCAAACTGCAATGTATTGGATGTATACTGTATATGTAAATATTTTAAACATCTTACGAATCCATTTTCCAAAACAAGATCGAGGATCTGTTCAGGCACACATACAGTAGAAATGGAAAAGGTTACAGGGAAACATACAGTAAATGGTCCTTTTTTGAAGACATGCACATACAAAAACAAGCTTTTACAGACGCACTTTCAAACATCGCGCATCACATGAAACTGTTTCCACGGGAGGAATCACTTCAACAGAGTCACAGGCACTCATGTTTTTATATAATGGTATTGCCAGGGTTAATAAAAGCTTGAGGTCTCACAGGAATAATCTGCGATACTCCTTGATGTTCAGTGTGATTTAATTGTTCGTACATGTCCGATAGTGCTTGGAACAAAATGATCCCATTAAACTCTTGTTTATTGGGTGGTGTGGATCATTAAAATAAATCGGGTCAGGTTGGGTTGGACTGTGTGTGTGTGTGAAGACTTGAGAGGAAAGTAAAGTATGTGGCTTCTTCCTGTCAACCAGTACGTAGGATGATGTGGACTCCAGATTCAGTAAAAACAGGACCGCTCATGTCTCCCACTTTGAGAGCAAAGGAGGCATCTTCAAAAGGCTTCTGCATTTGACCTAAAACATAAACAGATATATTATGTTGAAGTAATACATTCTTTTATCCACATTCAAATGAAAACTCACACATGAACACGTTGTAAATTATCATCTGTGACCTGTGGGTGCATAGATACTTTTCTTTATTAAAGTACATTAGGTTTTACTTTCAACTGTGGGCGTGTCACTGAGGCACAGCCAGTGAGTGATGGTTATTAAGTTGGAAGCTTGTCAAATATTGCCAGAAATTAAATGAAAGTAAAACAAACGTCAAAATAAATCTTAAAATAATAAAACTAACTACAAGTACCATGTAGTCCCACCTCTGCAGTTTACATCCACGTCTTTCCAAAATATCACCATTTTATCCTATTAGACATGTGATATTGTCATAAATAGTCTATGAATTCTTGAGTGTTTTGTGAGCTTGCAGTGAACTTCAACCACCAAAATCAGATCAGTTTAACCTCGAGTCCAAGAGGGCGTTTGTACCAAATTTGAAAAAATTCCCTCGAGGCGTTCCTGAGATATCAGGTTCACGAGAATGGACCGGATGGACAACCCGAAAACATAGGATATAGGACAGCAGGATACTGTAGTTTTTAATAAACATTAAATAAGAGTATTTGTTGCTGATTACTACACGTTCACCAGAGTTATCCTAAAACACACTCTTCTGCACCTCTCCTTTATTTCATATGAATTTTAAAAAGCTTAACCAGGTACTGGAGTACGTACCTTTGCCAAATAATCCCAGATCTCCACCATTCTTAGCTGAGCTGCAGTCGCTGAACTGAGAAGCCAGGGACTCAAACTTCTCCTCTCCAGACTTGATGTCTTCTATATACTCTGCACAGAAGAGAGGAAAAAAAAAAAAAAAAAAAACTTTAACATGTTGATCAGACGTGATCGAACCCCCCCCCCCCTCCAATGCCTTACGTACTCTGAATGAGCTCCAGGGCCTCGTCTTTAGTTCGTGTGATAGTTTGTTCTCGCCAAGAAGATGGACGACGTGACTGACTGTGCTTCACCAGGAGGTGAGAGCAGCGTACCTGAGTGAGTGAAAAAAAAAAAAAAAAAAACACAAACCGATCAGTGTCAAGAATCAATAAGACTGGTATGAATAAGTCAGTACCACCATCTAATACGACAGAGATAAGATAAATAAATTGTAACAAATGTGCTTTAGTGTTGTTAGTATCGAAGTAAATGTTTTTTTCTTACTCGAGTTGTAAACGTTCGGAAGTCATCAAGACTTCTTTCACAACAATAACTGATCGGGTCAGGAGTTGTAAACGTTCAGAAGCTTTTAATCCCTCAAACCTCAGTCGGCACAAACTGACGCTGTTCAGCCAAAGTTTGTTTTAACCCACCAAACTTTAATTGAAGTTGTAATTCACCAGCCACATAGACATTTTCCTGGCAAATCAAATGTTGTGGTGCAATGATTTTCTAAATATTTAACAAAGCACCATTAAAAGTGTCACTAGTTACAATTTATGAACTAAGAGGTGTTATTAAACATGTGGGACTGAAACCACAGCATGCAACCAGCAGGTTTGGCTCTAGTCTTACGGGGCTGCAATCATTTCTACAAACCACCACATGTCCCTGTGTTTTTTGTTTTTTTCAAATCCAAAACTTTACTTCTTTTTGGCAGGAAGCCCAAATCTTCATTAAGCCTCGTCCACCCATCACTAATTTCAGTCGTCACTAAACTAGTTCAGTCTTGTTTTTATGCCATCTTGTAAAACACTTTGTAACTCTCATTTTGAAGAGTGCTCTGTAATAAAAGTGTATTGTTATTATAATAATAAATACATTTAAAATATTACACATAATAACCTTGTCTGGCTCTCCACGGCCATCTCCCACCGGACGTTCCCACTGGCTGGCGTTGGTGATGTGGTTGAAGTAGTAGACTTTTCCTGCAGGACAAAGAGTGACAGCAAATAAAGATGCATTCAATTACTTTTAATACAAATGAAGGCAGCAGAACAAGCTGAAGACACATTTAATGGTGCTCAATATGAAATTCTGAACATATATATTGCCTCCACGAGGCTCTCAACATGGCAACATAAAGCATCGTTGTCCTGCGAGAAACACATATCTCTAAAGTCAACTTTTCATGAGCTCAGAAAAAGTGCTTTCAGCTTTGTGACGGTGCATTTTCCAGCGGATCCAAGTGAGGTTTTAAATAGTTTATTTAGCTGGAAAATGCATTGTCGCAAAGCTGAAAACAGAGCTGTTTTTCTGAGCTCATACGTTGTTCTCACAGGGCGGCAACTGTATACAAACATAAGATGATCTCATAGAATATGATGCATTTCTTTACATTAAACTAGCCAACATTACAGTTAAAATTAACATGGCTCAAACATCTACAGCAGTAAAATGCAACATAGACATTAATGCAGCACTAACGGAGACCAATTTACTGCTCAATGAGTACTTTTACTTTTCACACTTAATGTACATTTTAAGATTAAGATACACCCTTATTGATCCCCAGCAGGAAAGTGTTGTTTCAGCAGGACAGAAATAAATAATAGGCAATACATTGAATAAGAAATTGACAGTGGTGTAATTAATATGTGTGCATTAATAAAATTGAGTACTGTAACATATTATGTTATATGGTACATTATGATATAGTATGGTATATATGAAACATAGTAGAAAGTGCATCATTGTAATAAAAAAGGCACTACAATAACATAGCAGACCTATATAGTATTTGCTCACAATACTTTAAAATGTAATACTTTAAGTAAGATTTTGAATGCAGGAATTGTATTTGTAGTAGAGTATTTTTAGACTCTGTATACTTCTTCCCTTCACTGTTATGCTGCAGCTAAGTAAACCATAAAATAGTCATGTTTTAATGGGATTGCAATCTACTAAGCTTGTTTTTTTGGCCTCCCAACATAAATATGTAAAATCTGCTCAGGCTCGTGCAGTGCAGGTGACTGAGGCACTGGAGCAGAATGACGTCATGCGGAGGGCCTCGCAGCAGCAGCTCTGGCGCGATCATGAAGCAACACACCCCAAATAACAGCCAAACGACACATTTAGCAAAACACACCTATGAGACAGAGTTACCCGCCACTTGTTTCAGCACATCAGCATCAAAGTTAAAGTCTCATCTGCCTCGTTTTAACACTAAACCACGATGCTGGGTCTGCTAGCTCGTAAGCTAAATCCATAACGGTACATATTGCCATTTAGCTTAGCTAGCTAGCATATTTAGCTTCTCGAGGCTTCTGTCTCACCTGAACTGCGGCTCATTCTTTTCTCCCATCCACCAGGTAACTTCTCCTCGTCTGCCATTGGTATTTCTGCAGCAGCGTTTGCAAATTAAATTTCAATGAAGCTACCGTGTGTGTGACAGGTTGGGCTGCAGCTAAGCAAAGTACGACAGTTAGCAGCGTGTTTACGGTACGAGTTGTTTAGGAATCAGGTCCCGCCTTTTCACTGTCCTATCATAGGCTAATGCTGGCTGTCAATCACCGTTGTGCCCATTTGATTGGCTGAGAGGCTTATACACAAAACAAATCAGCTTTACGGACGGAGGACAGTCCACAGAAAACCATCTAAAAGCAATATTTGTTATTCTAGTGTGAATTTCCAGGTAGGAATGTCACATTTAAGTTAATTTAACACACTGTCATTGACATTTTAAAGACCGAATGTTGGTTTTCTTGTGTGCTTTGTAACATTACGCACATTGGTAAATACAATAGACGCTAATATAACGTTAGCGTGTTGTGAGCTCTAGCTAGCTGGTGTTGGCTAACACCAAACAAAACAACCTGACTTATTTAAACAGATTTTTACAGTTCAGGCTCTGCTTCTCTCACGTGGCCACATGGCTGTAGCTTCTAACTAGCTAAATGTACGACCACCATTGTCTTAAGTTTTATGGACAATTGTTTTGGAGCTACTCAACATTCACACATGTTCATGCTAACCAACTATCTTCATTTCTTCTTTGGCTGACAGAAACTGAAAATGATCGAGGTGGTTTGCAACGATCGCCTGGGCAAGAAAGTCCGGGTAAAGTGCAAGTATCCTTCTCTGAAACTCTGGAGTTACTCCTGAATAATGCGTCCTGCCACACGTGTTGTACCCGGGTCCACGTACAGCTAACGTGGAGTTGATTACAGAGATGCATTCGTTAACAAATGGAAATCTTGGATTTAAGGCCTCTTTTGAACTCAAAATATAGTATAAGGAATAAAACAAGTAAAAATTAGACTCTAAAGAAGACATCAAATAGTGCAAAAGTTAAATGATTGGGATACAATATATCATACAGAAAATAATATATATTTGTGGTAGACTGGTGTGCAGTAGTTGCAAAGTGAATTAATTGCCATTTTATTTAGGTAGTTTTGAAGTCCTAACTTCAAGCATTAAAAAATGCATATTTTCAAAATAAGAGCATTCTGTAATTCAAGACAACTTCCTCCAAGATCAACAAAAAAATATCCATCAACATATTTTCAAGAACCAAGTAAGGCTAGATGACACCATGTTAACCTGTGTTAGTTAAACCACGTTTGAATTGTTTTTCGGTGCCATCACATTGCTACTTCCTTAACTGCCATGTTTCAGTTCTGAAGACACTATTGGAGATCTGAAGAAGCTCATTGCTGCTCAGACAGGAACACGTTTTGACAAGATTGTACTAAAGAAATGGTAAGTTGCTTGTACTGGAGTACTGATCATAACAAGTGTTTCTGTGGCTGTCTTTTATTAGCGGTTGATTGTTCCTCCTCTGTGCCCACAGGTATACCATATTCAAGGACCACGTGTCTCTGGGGGACTGTATCCTATAAACAATCTTTGAAGCGGCTGCCTTTGAATTATTTGCATGAGTAGATCCCATTACCACTGATTTGGATGAACCTCATCTTCATAATATACTTGGAAGTTGCATGTTTTCAATTACTTTTTGAGGTCATTTTAACTTTGATGAAATATTTATTGCAGATACATTAACAAGTCAATATTGTGGATGTCAGCGGTAATAATGTATTTCTGTATGTCATCTGAAAACAGAAGAAGCATTTAATGGTAGCAAACTTTTACCAAGCGGAACTATTTTATCCTGATCGGTTGTACTTAACCACAACATCTGCAGATGAAATCCATGATGGGATGAACCTGGAGCTGTACTACCAGTAGACCAGAGGAGGACCACAGGTCGATGCCACAGATGACCCTCTTCATTGACAGACTCGCAGAGAAATGGAATTGGTCGCAGAAAACCACCTTGATCATCAGAGAGAGAAAGAGCAGTATCTACATAGACATTGCATTGGTCTCAGTTTTAGCGTATGATTTTGTTTGCCCGGAAATTGTGTGAAAGACATGTGCAGTTGTTTTGATATTTTGGAATTAAAGCGGATATTTACCTACCAACAAGGCTGAGTGCTGGTCATTGCTGTCCTGTAATCTTGACTGTAAACTCTTGTATGACTACAATGTAATTTTAAAATGTTTGAACAGAGATCATTGCACTAATTTCTCTGGTACATTGTCAAAATAAATGAACATGACCTAAGCTTATTAAGCAGAAGTATGATTGTGTACTTTTGGTCTCACTGGCATGAAGTATAGTACATGTATTTATTTAATCACTGTACAAACTTGATGTGTTACTTGAGAATTACAATTCTTTGCTACTTCTACTCCACTATATTTCAAAGATACTTTAAAGTACTTTTTACTCCATGTATCTGAAAGCTGTAGTTGCGTATTACTTTACAGATTAAGATTTTTCATGCAAAAGATCTAATCTGTTTATAAAACCGGTATGTAAAGTACCCAGCTGTATATAAAGCTGTTAAAAAGTACAACACTGAAATCCTGCATACACATTAATGCATCTAATTATACAGTGTGTAAAATAGACTCAAATAGCTGGATCAGGTATCCGATACCAGTTACAATCCAGTACATTTATCTGTATTAGTTACATTTTGTCCTACAAAATATTTTCAAGGATAGTGTGCTTCCAACTTTGTGACCATAGTTTGGAAAAGACCGTTTCAACATCACACTAACCCAGTCGTTACACCAAACTAAGCTAAGCATTACAATGCCGCCATGCAAAAAGCCAGACCTGTTGGGGAAGAACTTCATTGTCCTGCACAGAGCTCTGAACTCAACCACATCCACACCTTTAGGATGATTGGAACACCAACTGCAAGCAAGGCCTCTTGACACTGAATGGGAGAAAATACCTGCAGCCAGGTTCCAAGATGTTTTGGAAAGCCGTCCCACAAGAGTGGAGGTTGATACAACAGATTAATGCCCATTGTGTTGAAATGAAATGTTCAACAGTCACATGTGGGTGTAAAGTTTGAGCACATACTTCTAAACCAGGTTAGTTGTATAGACATGAACTAGACATTCAACCGGACAAAACTTTTATTCACAACACTAGACAGTCATTAGATCACAAGTAACAGCATCTTTCTTTCTCACTCGCACACAGCCACACTGGTGCATATGGGTTAATGCAATCGATGGAAACCAGGTATCACGTAGACCTCCACACATACAGTTTGGGTCTATACATCTCCCCTGGAGCCACATCAGCAGTAGTCAGAGTAGTCCTCCTCCACGTAGTTGGCTGGAAAGAACCCCACCTGGAAACAAAGGGGCAGTGCAGGTTAAGACAAGATGCCTGAAAACCTGAAAACCAGGCTACTGAGTGCACCTTTCTAGTTCTTTTTATGTTTGCAATTTCCTCACCCGGCCGTACACCTCTCCTTTCCACCAACCACTGTGAACTTTCTTGGAGAGGATCTTGATGGTGTCTCCTTCCCGCAGCGACAGCTCTGAGCGGTCCCTGGCTGAGAAGTCATACCTGGCCCTCACCTGGCCCAAAGTCCTCAGGCTGCCTCCTGTCAGAAAAGGCCAACGTTGCAACACAGGTGAGCTTCAGAGAATAGTAGAACATTTTGGAAAATCACCTTACTCTAATGTCGATCTTCTCATTTGACTCTCGGCAAGAAAGCAAATACGCATATTTCCCAAATTGTCAAACGATTCCTTAAACATGATCATAATAGTGGGAATGGACAGAGATGTACTGTACCTGGTGTTGTGTTTGCCGTGGTCTGTGGCGTGTCGTTAGGCGAGTTGCTTTCCTCTGGTTGTTTGTAAGGCGTACACAGCGTGGTGTCCACATCCTTAAAGTATTCCTTCAAAGAGTTCTGCTGGTAAAACTGAATCATCTCCTGACACAGGAAGAAGAACCGTAACAAGAGGGGAAGGAGAGTATGAGGAACATGTGAGAGGGATACAAATAATATTAATAATAATCATGATAAACTTTATTCATATGGCACTTTTCAAAACAAAGGTTGCGAAAGCGCTTTACAAGATACAATTGGTAGACAATTTAAAAGTTATATAACATTGACCAAATAAGAAACATTTTACAATAATTAAAACAATACAATATAAAAACATGAAGATAAAAGTCAAGAGAATGGCTTCTCTTCAGGCCAAAAACTCACAAATAAAAATATGTTTTTAAGAAGGATTTAAAAGAGGTTAAGAAGATGTTGGAAGCAGTTTGACAAGAGGAAATAAGTTTTAGTGTATTTCTTCTGGTCACTGGCAGATGCGGTTTAAAAGAACAGCAACTTACAATTATACCCTTGAAGGCTTTCTTGTCATTGATGCGGTACAGGCCTTCATTGGACGTGACCTTAATGTGTCTGGTGTCCATGTTGAACCTGCACGAGCAGAAAGAGGGTTGTTGATACAAGAGATGGCAGTAAAGTAGGTACTCTAAGATTAAAAACATTAATGAGACCCTATTTTAATTATTTGTCTAGAGTCTATGTATGATCACAAAGAGGTTGAATAGTGAGCATTGTTTAGTGCGATAGCTGAATGGTGTCGGTGCTCCTCTAAAAAGGAAAACAAACTTTTTTAACTTCTCCAAAGATTAGTGGCTTTCATATGAGAATGGGTTTTTGTATGAGGTACTAGTTCTTTGTTGCAAAACCTGCATTGTCTTGTTTTTGAGAGGAAGTGATACCAGAGCTCATAGGCATTCAGCAATTTATCTACGTTTAGTTAAGTCATCATTGAACATTGCTGAGCAAGCATGACTGATCATTTATAGGTCAACAGGCATCAGGTGTGTAATTTAGAACTTTAGACATCTGCTTTACAAACAGGGCTGCGACCATCATTCACTTTCATTATCAATTAAACTGCAGATTATTTTCTTATATTAATCCTTTGGTCCTTAAAATGTCACACAATTGTGAATAAAGCTCCCAGAGCTCAAGGCAATGTCTTCAAATTGCTTGTTTTTTCCAAGCAACATTCAAAAACACAAAGATATTTCATTAATTATAATTAAAGACGAAGAAAAGCAGCAAATCTTTAAAGTTAAGAAGCTGGAAACAGTTACGTATTCATTTCGACAGCATTTTAAGATGTAGCTTTACAGTAGGACCTTCATCAAAATTAAATATAGTCATTGAAATGTTGTTGCAACAATATTTTACTGAATACAACCATAACATCTAAAAAAATCTTCACTTTTTAACCAATTTTTGCCCAGTTTGAACCTAGATATCTAGCCATCTATCAACTTGTAAATGACCAAATCAGTCATCTTCAATCTGTACACAGAAAATAAAAGAAAACAAACATTCATTAAGATAAAATTCTCTTAACCGATAAATCTGCGAAGGCTTACTTGAGGCTGATAGCAAACTCTCCTCCATCTTTCTGCCGCACGAGGAATGTTCCATCGGACCGGGACATTAGCAGGTTCTTGGCTGCGGTTCTGTCCATGTTCCCCGCAAACCTTCAAGCACAGTGAGAATCGGAACCTTATGATTTGCTTAAAGCAAGAGTGAAAAAAGTTTGGCCTTTTGTTATTTCTTCTGTCAAAGTGTCCCGACTGCTGCAGTTTTAGTTTGTAGAAAAATAAAGTGTGTGACAATTGGTGCAGTCAGTAGATAACTTTGTGTTTTCGTTTCATTCCACAGTGTCATACTTGATGTTGCCACCAGGAAGCACTAAAGTAACTCAAGCCATTTTTGATTTCATTTAATTCATTGTTATTTGCTGCATTTTGAGTCCTCTTGAGCAAGAACATCATTGTAATTATAACGAGTATCATGATGATAGGTGATGAATAACTAAAGATTACTTTATGCATCCAAAGCTGCTTCAAAAGCACCAGCACTTTGCAGTATCTGATTCTGTTTTTGTGGGGGTTTTGAGGGTTTTCAGTATCAGCTCTGTGGTCTTAATCCTTCCTTGTTGCAGTGCACTGAATTACCAGCAGAATTACAGCTATGAGGTTGACAGGGGTTTGGTGAGAAAGTTATGTAACCGAGTTCCTGTTGATACTCACCAGTTGAATCCAGACAGGTCAGGGTTCTGCCTCTGGGAAAGGGTGAGATCACACAGAGGTTAGATTTAAAACAACGGTCTGTGGTCACAGTTGAAACTCTTTTTTTTTTTTTTTTTTTAAAGAAAAAGAATGTTTTCACATTATTTTGAGTTTGATGGAGGCTGTCTGGTGTTCAGGAGCTCATGTTGGCTCGTGGTTCGTACTCACAGAGATGATGGGCTGAACCTTTTGGCAGGGGAACCATCCCATCTGACCGACTGTCAGGTTCCTTCCCTGAGTGTCACACACACACACACACACACACACAACAGCAAATCACAGGCCGGACCAAGCAGTCATTGCAACATATAAATGAATAATAACATCAACAAGTAACTTATAAACAAATCACCACCCCAAAACAAATGATTCATATGCAGTTGATATCGATCTAAAATAATTTACACCAAATTTGTATGTAGGAAACTTTTATGTTTTTATGTTGTTCTAAAATATTTGCTGTTTTAAAGTCTGTTGTCTGTCTTTTTATATAGTTTTTATGGACACTGCCATCTTGACCATGACTCAGGAGGTTAAATAAATAAATAAATCATGCAACCATAACATAACTGACAAAGAAAGTGTGAGGAGTCAACCTTCAAACTACATTGGGCTTTTGTAAAAACGATCAGCAACAATGTAAATGTCAATCTTTTTCAAAGCAGGTGTTACTAATAACTTTGACGATGGCTCTGTGCTATTCAACCCTGAGAGTGAAGCAGCTAAATGGCATCCAGACATTAAGTTTGATTTATGTTCCATATCAAAACCTTTTAAATGAATCACAGTGGAGTGCTGGTTGGGCCTGAGGGAGGAAGTGGAACGAGATACATGGAGGAAAATGACGAAAGAGTCTGAAAGAGACAAACGCATCTCACACCTACACATTTACCAGAGGAAGCAGGGCTTGAAAACACAACTAGATTACGTGTGACCCCCCCCCCCCCGTCAGAGTGTATATGCTTGTATTTGTTTTTTAACGCTACCTCCCACCAAGGCAAGTCTGCATCCGCCCGGGTCAGCTCAATGATGTCACCTTTGCAGAGGTGTAGCGGTTGACCGAAGCCCACGGGGGGCGGAGGCAAGCCATAATACTCTTGACACACCTCCATCTTAGGAAATCCTGAGTGAGGAGGAGGAAGAGGAGACGTTGAGGAGATCTCATAGGCAATGCAAGAACTTTGACTCATCAAGTATTTAATTTTGTCTTGAACATTTAGGAGGTCGTTTTGGAGAGAAAGCATGACATGACACATCAGACGAAATGAGACCTAAGGTCTGCTTTACACTCGCTACAAATGGGACAGATGCCTCTATTGGAACTATCTCCAGGGAGATTCAATTTAAACATGTTATTTCTTACCAGTGCTTGAATGTCCGGAGGACCTCTGTTTATTCTGGAGGAACAAAAGACAAAAACAAAATTGGAGGAACCGTACCTCAACTTTTATCCATTTGCACAAGTTGACTGTTAAAAGGACGTTAAAATGTCCGTGTAAAATAGTGTGCAGGAAGAGGAAATAAGTCCAACAAGGGCTTATTCATCGCCTCGACAATGTCAAAGACAAACGTAGTCTTACCTTCTTCAGAGTACCAGCATGATCTGTAATATAAAGACAATTTAATGTGAGAGAAGTGATAATTATGCTAATTAGAAGTATTTAAACACACGCAGACAAACCTGAGTTTCGTCCGCAGGCAGGGACTCTGCCTAAACACTCTTTATGTGCAGTCATTTTACAGCGAGTGCAGTGATAGCCCTGGTAAAATATCCCTCTGCAGAAGACAGACGGAGAGATTCAAATGTTGAAAAAGATTTGGAGCTAAGAGTCAAACTGAGAGAAACAGCGAGTGAGACAAAGTACCTTAATAGCATCGAGCAGGCCTTGCAGGAGGTGGTCTCCTCGAAGCAGTGCATCTGGAAGTCGTGGTTGTTGGCTGTGGAGTTATCTGGACACATATTCGACCTGCAAACGTGAAGTACAACTGTTTTAACAAGCATTCACAGAGCGAGAGGGAGGATCCATTTGGTATTCCTGAGACTGAAGAAACCAACAACACAGTGCAGATTGCAAATAACAATCTACAAATCATGTGCATTTCCTATAGCGTTGAGCAATCAGCAAAGATGCAGCACAAGACCATGCAGCTAACATTTCGCAAACAGACTTTCTTTACTCTGATCTTTGGCAAGAATTCAGTGTGTGTATTTATTTCCATGTGTGTAGATGTGTGATAACTCACTGAGCCATCTCAAACTGTTCCAGCCATTTCTTCTTCAGTTCTCTGGTTTTGAAGAATAAATCGTACCCACTCCGCCCGTTGCAGTCCAGCAGAAGGAACAAATAGGACCACTGTTCACAAACACACACCGTTAGCTTCATCAATGCTTTATGGTTGTCTGGTATAATTGGTGCCACAGAGTGGTAGAAAGACCTTCTTATTGTCTTTTTCTCCTGTGGTTTCGTCTCGTATCTGGTAGTACTGTAGTTCAATGATCTCCTTTAGCTCAAACGTCTCTCCGCTCTTCTTCTTACAGATGAACATGGCCTTATCGAAGAGGAACGCATACCTGACGAACAGCCACAGATGCGACACAAGGTCAGATGTATGGCATTAACACACAAAGGACACACTGAGACACAAACAACACACACACACCTGTCCTGTTTAGACTTTTTCTCCGGGATGCAGATCTTCAGCTCTCCGTCGATCTTGGGCCGACCATATAAAGCTAGAGACTGAGACTGAAGAGCAGAGGAGAGTGAGGATGATCAGTAAAATATTAAACACAAGCCTAAAAGAAATTAAGCGTGAATAATGTGACCTCACCATGTTTTCTATGGACAACTGGAAGGTGGTGATCTGTCTGATGATCTCGTTGTCTCGCTTCACCTCGTTCACACACTGCGCCAAGTCCTGCAAACACGCACACAAAGACGAATGAATGAGCGTGTAAATATCCTAAATTAAGGTTGGTGATTAACATAAACACTTACTCTCATGGCGTCGAGAGCTGTGCGGAGGTTGTCCTTCTCTGTAGGGTCAGTGGTGTGCTTCATCAGCTCCTGCAGGCACAAACAGACAAATAATTGACACAAAATGGAAAAAATGAACATACATAAATTATTATATTAGTAGATGATTATAATTTATACATTATTCTAAAAGCAGGATTTTACTGTTGTAGTTGGTTGAGGTGGAGATATTTTGTGTAGGACAGCAGCTACTGATTATGTCTATGGTAGATTTATCTGCTGATTAATCGATTGTTTGGTTTTTAAAACTTCTCAAAATGGAGAGGAAAGCGTGTCACATTTACCCACACAGCGTGACAAAACACAATGCTGGTTTAGTCCAAACCTCAAAATAATTAAAAGGAAAAGCAGCAAATCCATGAAATCTTACAGTTGCCAAGTCAATCCGCTTATTCCTGTAAACTGCACGGTGTAACAAACAAAACATATTTCATAAATGCAACAATCTTAATTTGTAAAGTAACTAAAGCGGTCAGATGAATGTACAATATTTCCCTCTGAAATGTGGACTGAAAGTATAAAGTGATCGGAAAACCAAAGACTCAAGTAAATCACAAGTACCTCAAGTTTGTACTTAAGCACAGTACTTACAGAGTAAATGGGCTTAGTTACATTCCATCACTGCCACACACACACACACGTACAAACATACCTGTAACAGCAGGTGATATTTGAGGACCCTCTGCATTGGGACCATGAGTAAATCCCTGAGAGAAAAACGTCGACTATTTGCTCTGTTTGAACACTCCTAAAAGAGATAGAGAGAGTAAACATCTGCAGTTAACCATTGTCGTGTTAAGAGGATGTTGTGCAGCAGACCCAGCTTTCCCAAACCAAAAATTTCCCTGTAGCCCAGAAAGCATTTCCCGCGTAGACCATCATTATAAAAGCTACGGCCAGTTACTCTTTGTATTTTTAAACTAATATTTAATATTTCTCATACCTTATTGAGACTCTACCTGCACAAATTTGAACCTTGAAAGTACCCAAAAACAGTGCGTCCCTTTCTCACCTCCAGTTTCATTCTTATGTCCTCCCTCGTAGTCGTAAGCTTGTCCAGGTGTTTTGATGCCGCTTCCACCTGACTACAGTAACGACCGTACAGTAAGAGCCTGAGGAGGGGGGTGTGTGTGAGACGTATATTAGAATATATTATAACATACATGTATTTATAGTGTAACTGTACAACAGAAAAAGATGCGTCTGTGTGTGTGTCATGTACCTCTCCTTGTACTTCAGAAACACCTGGTACAGGTTCTTTGCTCCGTAATCGAGGATGGAACTCCGGACCTCCTCCAACATATTGCGATGGGTGTCGGCCAAATCCTACAAATACAAAAAAAAATGTAAACAGGGATAAATACATGAAGGTAAACATGAACTGTACACGTGACCAGGTGTGTAGCAAATCCTCTCAAGTACCTCTATGTTGATGAAGATACTCTCCATGTCTGTAACCTGGAGAAACTTTTGAAGAGGCTTCATAAAGTGCTGCAGAAATATAGAAGGCATGGTTGTTACTCTTGAAGAAATGCATGCTTGTGTGTGTGCCTGTGTGAGTGACTTTGTCCATGTGTGTAAATGCATGGATCTCCTTTTATCAGATTGTAAACGTGTGCACACCTGTAATATAGATTCCAGTGTATCGGAGTATTTCTCTTCCGTCTGTCTGATCTCCTGCAGGCAGCACTCTCGTTTGTCTACTCCGGTCTTCAGCTGCTGCAGAAACACGCAGAAAAACATGTGGAGAGGCATGACGAGACCGGACTTAACAGAAAGTTAATCTTTACATATGTTAGCTATAAAGGACATCATTTGAAGCATTAAAACTTTTTCTTCATATTGGTAGATTAATGTATTTTCTTGCTTCTCCTACTGGTTATTCAATGAAAGTAATTTTTGAACTTGTTTCATTCTTTTCACATAGAAAACAGTAGCAACAATAAATTGATGCATACATACAGTATTTGATAAAATACTGGCATATGACAAGAGGTCTCAAGTAAAAAAAGCTTAACTTTAAGCGGTCATAGGTCACAATTGTTGGAAATTTGGATCATCAGTCAGAGACTGGACCCTGGATTTCTGAACTACTGTGACCTGGTGGCCAAAAGAAGGCCGAAACCTTCCTTTTAGTCCGATGTTCACTTACAGTTTCAGGTTGTTCATCCGTCCTCATCAAGTCTTCATAGATCTCGTCTCCTTCGTTCTCCTCGTCCTCCACAAAGTCGTACAAGTCGTCATCCTCGTCCACCGTGTCACTGATACGCATGATACACATCATCATAGTATAAACATCACCTTCTCACTCCACAGAGAGCTTCTCAAGTTATTAGCAAACACTGGAAGAAGACTCTGCTGTATGTATTTTAAATTGACAATAATTTTCATCCTTTAAGATGATGATTTTAACATTATGAGAAGAAGACTTACTCAATCTGGTCAGACAGGCCGCTGTAGATCTCATCATCAGGAGTGCATCCTTCCAAAGGGAAAGGCCTGGAGGTGGAGAAAGTGTGTGTTTGTAGGCGATGGTGGTAAAGGAAGAACGGAGTAGAGATAATGACAATAACTTGTATTCAAGTAATTAATGTTCCTATTGAATTCACATTGTAGGTGGAGGTAGACAAGTTGCCATTACTGTTATGGCACTAAACAACACTGTCAAGCATTACAAGGATTTCACTTTTAAGTGTCAAGAAAACTGTTATATGTTGAAAATATAATCATTCAAATGCCATTAAAACTAAGGTTTTAATCTGAAAAACTGAAAACTTTTCAACACAATATATTCCAGCAAAAACAGACAACCTCTGCTCCATTAAAATAATTTTACATTATCAATCTCTATTTATTCCTTATCATTATGCAGCAATATAATATGTATATATATTGATATGAACTGAGCCATTCTGCATAATGGGTCCTTTTGGGAGGTCAATGCAAATAATTTTGTATTTTGTACAACTACATTACAGTGTGTTATAAACCATTTATAAAGAGTATTAGATTAGATCCTGATGAGCAGGTGGCACCTTGTATGTCAGCCTCTGCCAATCGGTGAACGAATGTGTGTGTGTGTGTGAATGTTGGCATGTAGTGTACGGCGCTTTGAGTGGTTGGAAGGCTAGAAAGGCACTATATAAAGTCCATTTATCATTTATTAATACTGCTTATGAATGCTAAAAAGAGGAGCATAAAGTAAGGTGTCAAAAAAAACAGCATGAACACTTTGATTACATAACAGAGGAAGGAAGTTACTTACTGGAGTCTTCCTTGTGTAGCAATGGATGAATGAGAGAGGATGGACAAAGTGTCTATAACCTGCCACACACAGAGACACAGTATATCGTTAACAGAGAGAGACACCGCCTGTTAGAGGCACAGTAAGAGCTGTTTCACACTTCAAACATTCACGCTGAATAATTCTTCTCTGACCTGGTTTCACTCTTATTCTAACACTATTTGACTATTTAAGCGAGAATTGCAGTATCATGATGAGTGATCTCAGATAACCATTTTCATGTAACGGGAAATAAACTCAAAGATGTCACACAGCCATCCAAATGAAACTGACTTTTTTTTCCTTATTAAGCAACAATGTGTCAGTGAGCTCTAATACATCTGCCTGGAGTTGGTGTTATGTGTTTAAAATGTTTTATAACTTCTCCCTTTCCAAAATCAAATTGTGACTTCTGTTCTAGTCGAAACTCAGTCCAGAGTTGCATACAAATCAAAAGCTGCCTCCTGAACTGAGGTTCTTTTCTTTCTGAGAGACAAATAGGAAGAAGGTGGGCCGGTCATGACTCTTCTGGGGATATGAAATAAACACACTGTCCGAAGAAAGAATGATATTTCTCAGTCGGTACTGCTGAGCAGCTTTGGTGTGGTTTCTAATTTTATTCAAGACAGTGTTAAGAGGGAAGAATTAACAAGAAGTGAAAGTCTGAAGGAGAAGTTTAGAGGAAAACATTTGAATAGACCGGTTTACAGTCATACTGCCATCTGATTACCAGACTTTGAAAGGAAGACATTTTGGGATATGCACTTATTAGCTTTCTGCTGGAGAGTTAGATTGGCATCACCATCATGTTTGTCTGTTAATTATGAAGAGTGGACTATCTACCGGACAAATTCTTGACACAAAACACCCTTAAAATGGTCAGTTGCCCTTTTTTTTTTTTAATGCCATCGCCCTTTTGAGAGCCGTGTGGAGGCAACAGATATGCTCCGAATATCGAATTTAGCACCTTTAAATTGTAGTGCCGGATTTTCAGTGTGGTAATACTACTTTTATTAAGGATCTGAATACTTCTTGTACCACTGTCAATCACGCTGTTCAGAGTACACCATGCCAGTGTGTTTTCTGCATTTTATTGTACTGGTTGACCGACTTGATACAGTTAAGTGAAATGAGAAGCTCGGTGACAGTAACTGCCTGTAAACTGAACAAGAACTGTAAAAAGACTCCACAGTAAAGTTGAGGTCCACCTCCTGAATCATTGTTCTTAAAGACATTGCTTCCTCTTATTTGTACAATCAAACAAGTGCACTTTTGAAATCTACAATTGTTCACACTAAACTGCTGTGGCTGCACTGCACCGAAAGTGAAAGAACTGTGAAATACTGAATTCCTTCGTTCACTCAGTCGTTTCAATTAGAGAATCACCAAAGTACTTCCTGTTAGGGCTTTGTGGGTGTCTGCAAGCTGCAGTGAGGACTCTGTTCACGCTTCTGACTTCTACCGTAACGACAGTAGAAAGAGGGCGCAATGCGTTTCCCTCATACATTACTGTAATGGATGGACGGATGGATATGGAAAGATGAAGTGGTGCGATACCTTTGCGAAGTCTCGAACATCAAACAGGTCAAAGGCTTCAAACAGCTCATTCTTTTTGAGATGAAACTTCTCCTGACAAACTCCCAGAAACGTCCGGATGTTCTTCAGGCAGAGGAACTAAAAACAAACACACACGTTATATTCACTTTTACTAAAACGATCCACAGAACATGGTGCTGAGAATGGTGCTGAGAAAAAGGTCAGAGGATCACCAAAGTCAGTAGGATTCATAACGTGAAAATCATAAATGTCTGTGCTGAATTTTGTGGCAACCATTCCAGTAGATGTTGAGATATTTCACAGGATAAGTGAAAACTTTGACCCACTAGTGGCACTAGATGCAAAGCCAGGTGATCACCAAAGTGAGTAGGATTCATCCTCTGGGGAACATGAATGTATGTGCAAAATTTCATACACCGCTAGCGACAAAAAGCCGATGGCTGACAACTTTAAAGGAATACCTGTGGCAACGTTCAGCGTAAGCACACGCACACACACACTACAACTTAGACTAAACATTTAAAAAGACAAATAATATGACGCTACAAACAAATAAACGATAAACGTGAAGCAGGAATATATACACAGCACATACAGTAAGACAACCAGAGTTACACATCACATGAAACGTGCAGATTCCAAACAGACTTGATAGATATTGTTGAACAAAGGAGAGCAAATTGTTTTCTCACATTAAGTGACGTGCATACTAAATACAGTTACACAACGCGTACATAAATACTTCTCAGCCACACGGGCCACAGGAAGACGAAGAGCAATGTACCAATACGAGGAAATGTCGTATACTAAAAGAAGCAGCGTGAAGGGCTTTTTCATTTTATAACCAAAAGAAACCACAGAGAGCGCAGTGCACAGCATTGTCTGACATATATCATTTTAGATAACTTCCTGAAGCAGCTGCTCTCTCTCTCGCTCACTTCTGCGTCTCTGTCTGTTCAGCAGTGGGAAATGCGGAACTCTAATTTGAGAAAAGGGGAAACGCTGAGTTCTAACTGATACTGCTGCACATATCGAATCACTCTGTCAAGAGCGCACACGGGGGCACATCCCTGCACCACAGCGTAGTGTTGCAAGAGCACAGGGAAAATCCTCTACTTGTGCAACATCATCAGGTGTGTGTGTGTGTGTGTGTGCACACATCACTGCGGACTGCCGTCTTCCCTTAATCACTGCATGTTTCTTAACCTCATAGGATTTCCCAGAGTTTCACATGCATGTGTAGAAGCACATTAACCCCTGCGCGCGCACACACACACACACACACACACACACACACACACACACACACACACAGTGAGTCCTATCATATATGATCAAGGACTTCTATTGGCACATTTAGGCCAATCCCGTGACAGCCTGTCTTTGTCTCATATTTTCCTCACAGCCTGATTTTGAATCCTCTCTTCTGAGTTCGCGTGCTTGTTTATTAGTTAACATGATGTCTCAAAAGCCTGACAACAGGTTTACATAAAAGACAGTCCATGATCCAAGTTTTAAGTGTGGATCCAGATCCGGGTGAACCCTGGTATTTCTCGAAAGGATTTCTCAGGTGAAAAGATTGATGCCACTCTCAAGTCTGTCGGGTAAATATGCTGGAGCCAGAAGCCGGTTAGCTTAGCTTAGCATAAAGACTGGGAACAGGGGGAAACAGCTAGCTAGGTTTTCCAAAGCTCAATCAACACATATCTTGTTTGTTTGATCCGTACAATAAAAATTCAAATATGACAATTAGCCTTTTAGTGTCGAGTTGTTTCTTGGCGGAGAGAAGTTTCCAGGCTACAGAAAGTTTCAAGAACCTGTTCAGATAAAACAGCTAATAATATTTTTAGAAAACAAGACTTTTAAAGTTTAATAATATAGATTTGGACCTCTCAGAGTACTGCCTAGCTGTTTCTCTTTTCCAGTTCTTCATCATCATCCCCTCCTCAATCTCTACAGCTCTACACTCCCCTGATGGGAACAGATAGAGATCACAGTATTTTCCTATCGGACACCTTGGAGCTTCAGTGCGGCCTCCTGGTTGCTATGGAAATGGCCTATGGAAATGGATCAGGAAAAGGTTTTTGTGTGTGTGTGTGTGTGTGTGTGGGTGTGTGTTACCTGGGACATCTGTGGGCGCAGGTTGATCTCTCTCAGGTTGACGGCCTGAGGCAGCAGGTTGTTGAGTAACTGGCAGAGCAGCACGCCATCTCTCAGCACCTGAGCCAGGTCACACACCTGGCACAGCACACACACAGACGCAAAAAATCAGACTGAGGAACCAAGACATGATGCGTGTTCACGTGCAGGTGTGTGTACTCAATGTGGCACAGCTGATTTACCTGGGCACTCTCCAATGTGACCCGATGGTTCTCAGGAAGAACTCGACAGTCAATCAACCACATCGCACACTGCCGCCACAACTCCATCTTTGTTTTCTGAGGGACAGATCGATTGATTGACACGCCAGATACATTATCACAGGCACAATATTTCAGTAACCACTGATCACTATCACTCTGTACAACATCCAGTAGTCAGTCAGATCAAGTTCAATCTCTTCCGACAATCAGAGATGAGTTAGCTTCACAAGAAGCCATTTGTAGAGTTCACACTGAATGTATTCACTGTCAGAATTTGCACACACAAAATTCTCTGGAAGTGTGAGGTTTGTGTGTGAGGTTTGTGACAGTTTAACTTCTCCCATTGTCCTCAGTAAACTGGAACCTGGATATGGAAATGATTAAAGATGTATTCAATCAGTCAGAGACCAAATTAGTAGCAAATCAGTTGGCCTCCAGCGAACACTGTCATTCGGTCCCTTGAGTGAAATATTGAGGCGGCCCACTTCAAACTCAGTGGAACACCAGAAAAAGAAACTACTCCATTAGAAAACGTAATACATTTCTAACTATATCAGTGTGGGATCACTACTACAATCAGCTCTCACCTTCAGTTTCTGCCGGCAGTTCTCTGTCTTCTCTCACGATGTTCTCCCTCCTTTCATTGTCTGACTTCAGCGCTCTCGTTCTGCCTCTCTTCCGTGGTGGGTGTTCTGCAGATCTGCACTGTGTCGAAGACTTTGACATTATCCCGCAACTTCCTTTTTCGTCTGACGCACCCTCACATTCACACACATGCATACACACAAAGCTGCTGCTGCTGCTGCTGCTGCAGCTGCAGCCGAGCGGCACAAGTTGATAAAAGCAAAGTGTGAAATGGGGCCGTATTATTTGTGTACCAAGAAATCAGATAGAATAGGAATGGCTGTGTATTTGTGCGTGTGCAGTACAGAGTTTATCAAAAGACAATTGTGTTGCAAGGGCAACCACATTATTTAGACTAGTGATTCTCAAGTGGTGGGTCGCGGACCCGTTTTCAGAGAGAAAATAAAAAATAAAATCCTGTTCTTTTAATTTAAAGGGGATTTTTTATGCAGCGGAGTGCCGTCTATTCATACTCCTTAACAATATTTGGCGTTAATGCCTTGTAATGCTAATATCAGCAGCGGATAAACTGAAAACTATACCTCTGTCAAATGACACTATAAGTAGGCGAATTGAAGACATGTTGGATGACAACAAACCACAGCTCGAATTTAGGCAAGTGGTCATTTTACATTACAAATGGACGAATCTACAGACATAACAAACAGAACAGTTTTACTCGTTTATGTGAAACATGTGTGGGAAGGGGACTTAAAGGAACAATTTATCTGCACAAGAGAGCTCCCTACTACTACGACTGCAGAGGACATTTTCAGCTCAGGTTCAAACTGCACCATCTTTTTATTAAATATATTTGAGAAGTTGAAAATGTTCCTCGATTTGGGTCGTGGCTTTAAGGGACGATGGTGGGTCCCGCAGCCAGACCAGTTGAGAACCACTGATTTAGACAACCCCCCCAAACAAACTTCTAATGTGGTAAAATTACCTCATTTGATGCATATGCAATTTGATATGCAAGTTTATGGAGGTCATATGCACAATTTAAAGGCATCAAGTTGAAAGTTTCTTCACAAAGATCTATTTTTATGTCGCTAAAAGTTTTTAAGAATTGCACAATAAAAGATTTAATTTGTTACAGTATCTTGAGAGCATTAAACTATCTTGAACTACAAAAGTAAAATCTTATATCTACATAGGATTAGATGTATTGTTTGATTGAACTCACAGCTGAGAATCCTAACAATAAAAACTCATTCACATGAAACATCTCAAACAAAAACTTTATGTTACTTTGCAGGTTTTTCATGCAAAAAACATAAATTTAAAAATATTACTCATTCTTAAGGATTAAGTTCCCAACAGCATGTAGCAAACTTACAATTATCTACCTGACAAACAGCTAGAACATACAATCTTTGACAGGGGCCATTTTTGTGCATTACAAGTACTTTTACTCTTGAAACTATAAGCATCTTATTGACCCACCTGTATGGCGGATTTAGCAGTTTTACCTTCAAATGTCCAGAGCATTTTACGGGCATGCTTGATGGGTGGAGAATAAAATGCATTTATTGCTGTATAACTCATGTGACGAAGTGGATGAGAAAACACCATTTGTCCCCAGATTACACTGATCTATAAAGCTAAACCCTGCTTGTCAATTGTTTGTGTACCATACCCACCATGTGTTCTAGAGGTTAAAGGGGGAGGCACCCAACCATTTCCTCTATTTATACACTGGATGATGTCTTCAGTGATGTCATTGGGTCAAACAAAGTATGGGGGGGGGGTGGGGGGAGTGGAGTATGTACAGGTAGATTTGTAGGTTAGTTGTGATCTGTTTTACATTGTTGTGAGTGTGTAGCATATTGTAAACCATATCAAATTGTTGGCTACCTAAAGGGGAGCTGTAAGGTATAGCTTTTGTCTGGTAACTATTGGAGTCAGTAACTGGTGTCACCTGCACTCATGGTAGGAACTAGAGCCTGCTGATAGAAGGCTCTATATAAGGAGATGACTTTGACTCAACAGGAAGATTTGTGTGTAGCTGTGTGCACGTGATTATGTTACTTTATGATGAGTTGAGTTTTCTTCAGTTAAACTAAGTTAAGTTAACCGTTTGTTTGTATTGTTTGTATATATGTTTGGTTACACGTGTTTGAATGTTAGATGCTAAATCCCAGTATGGGTTTTTCTACGGTGTTCCTCAAGGTCTTGGTGTCTTGTTTTGATGTTCTGTAGGGGATTCTTAATCATTTTAATCAATTCATGAGAATGGTTAAAAAGGTTAAATTTGGCACCAAATCTTTGTAGCAAATAGTATCAACCAAACATTGTTGCAAAAACTTATGAGACATAACTGAGCATGGGAATGGCCATCATATATTTCCATCGTAATGTACTATGCCCTTTTACACTTTAACAATTTATGTTAATTAATTTATACATTTTTAATCCTATGAACAACTTGACACACCCTGCTGGGCTGAATTTCAAATCAATTTTCAGGTTCCCAGCTTTGAGTTGACAGACCTGCTATCTCCCCCTAAAGATCCCCTGTTCCCTCTTAAAAACAACAAAAAAAAACAATGTGGGTCTCTAAGGGTTAAAGGGGCACTCCAAGGATTCAAGTATTGTACATCCATAAAGTTAGGTGACCTGTGAGAGATAGATAAACAAGAAATAGTCAAAATGGAAGCAGTAGAGGCTGAGATATCCAAATTTTTGAGCATAGAATGCATCAAGCTCCAAAAAATGCTTGATCCTACATTACCCATAATGCTCCATAGCATCTTTTGTTACACTCCCTGCCGCGTAAACACCTACGTCTTTCAAATCCAATGCTACCAGTTTGTCATCAGTCACAGAAAATACAAAACAATTGAACTTAGTCTGAGTGGTAATCCTCATAGAGAGTAAATTCTGGGTCACTTTTTTCTTCAACACTAGATGTCAGCCTTGTTCACATCGCCTTTTTTTCTGCAGATACCGTCTCTCCTAACATACTGCCTCGACAGACAGGTTTCCAGACAGACCACAGTGCATGCATGCCGAACTTTGACTTGACATGTCGCCTAACAGTCTTACATTTAAATAACCCCCATTCTTGTTTTTCTAAACTCTCTCTCTCTCTCTTGTGACAGGCCTCAACCTGCCCTCTCCGCCTTCTGAGAACTCATGCTAATTCCTGTGCTGTGATTTGCTGTTGTCTGTGGGGCACGGTGTGCCCACTGCACGATTTGATTGGCCTTTTTTTAGAGACCCTGCAGGTTTGAGGGGGAGCGGGCTCCCACTGGTACCACAAAGACAAAGTGGTAGACAGTACAACTCAGATGAGAACAGCTGCAAAGGAGGAAGGAAACCTGAGGGAATGTAGGACGAGAAAGACGCATTATGAGATAGAAATATTAGAAGGCGAAAGAGAGGGGCCTTGGTGGACCCTGCAAACAGGTAGGTGTTACATACTGTAGCTGCTGCAAGGCAAACAACACAAGGGCTCTCTGCTTATTTGTCTGATTGGCTGATTTCTTACAGTAAGCTGATGTCACTTTACTTTACTCTTTCATTGGTACTTTACTCAGAAACTTCTGCTGAAAAAAAACATGTACAAGCATGTGTGTGTGTGCATGTGTGATGGTATGTAACCAATATCTTCTCCTGCTTCTGCTGTTCAGACATGAATAATCGCTCCATCGCCTGGTGGCTGAAACAAATCGGCCTGCCCCAGTACATCAAGGCACTAGAGAGAGAATATTATGGTCTGGAGGTACGTGAATGTGTGAAAATGCATCTCTACGCGCTCGTCGATATCTCTTCTCCGCTTCAATGTTCATAACCCTCAATCTCTCCTTATTGCTTTCTCACTCTCCCCGCTTGTGTTTCTCTCCAGGGTTTGCTGAGTGTAACGGACGGCGAGCTGAAGGAATCAGGGGTCGAGGATGCAACAGACAGGGAGACCATCCTCAATCAACTTTCAAGACACCGGCAGAGACTGGAGCCGCACTCTGGTGACACTCACTGGCCGATAATTCAATGTTCAAATCTTTGTGAAAATGTTCTAATTAACGGTTTATCAAGTGGAATACATATTGCATTGTATTGCATCTTAGCCCTACAAAGTGACTGAAAGTAAAAAAACAAAAAAATGTTTCTGATAATTGTTATCATCCCGGCCTGGGTATCGTTTGACATTTTTAAAATATCCATGACATTCAGGTCCCTCACAGAATGCATTCATATTTTTGGATGGTCCCGTGACATTTCCTGCATCATTAGGTCAAAAGTCTTTTGTTTATGACTGCAAAACAAACAACAAAATGTCATTCCCATCAGTCTCAGCTGTACTTTGTGTTTAGTGCTAATTAGCAAACTAAGATGGTGCACATTAGACCTGATTAACATTGATAGCACTGTAATCGTTGGCATTCTACTGATGTTAGCATTTAGCTCAGAGCATCACAGTGCCAAAGGTCAGCCTAAATGCTAATGCGCACAGGCTTCCTAAAAAACTGTTTTGCTTAAAGTGGCAATTTCAAAGACTTTGATTTATACTGCTTTAAATTAAATAGTCAAAAATTGGCAATTTTTATTTAAAAATACAACTAAGGAGAAGACAAGTTCAAGTTAATGAAACCGACCAGACATTCAATACCAGCTTTCATCTTTAACAGTCAGACACATTTAGGTCGGTTACTTTAAAAGTTTTAAAGTTAGATACTCAGCCATATTGATAATGGAAAAGTATAATAGAGCAGCAGTTGTTGGAATCATTAATGCTTAGCGCTGGCACTTTGTACACGCCTGTTTATTAAGTCAAAATGTTTTACTAAAATATATTTTAATTGTTTACTGTCTTGTTCTTGCTTATTGTGATTCAAAGAAGTTGAAAAAGTGAAATATGAAAATCTAGAGAGTAAGGCCTGAATGAATGAAAATGTCAGATAATGTTGTATATAGGCGTTTTTCATATATCCACACCAATTAAAGGAATAGTTCAACATTTTGTGACTAAACAGGTGGACATATCTGGCTAAAGGTGACTAAAGTTCATCAATTAACAATATACATCTCTTTGGTTTCAGCTTCATATCTAACGGACGAACATAATAGTGGTATGGATTTGCAGGAGAGCAAACATGCATATTTTCCAAAACGTCAAAGTATTTCTTTAAAATGTCCATGTGTCCTCTCAGGTGTGCAAGTGGAGCGCAGGGTGAGCCGCAAGTACTCCCTGGGATCGTCTATGGATCTGGTGAGACCACTAAAGTTGGCGCTATAGCGTCACAAAACAGTTGACGTCAAAGAAATAAAACAATGCAAGCACGAAACACTGTTTGGGTCTCAACCATTTCCCGGCAGGTGAAGCCGAAGAAGGACCTGTTTCGTCAGAGTGTGCTGCCCCGCCTCCAACGCGCCGATAAGAAACACCGCCTCTCCGCCTCCTGCACCCAGCTCCGCCCCCTGAACGAGGACAACGCTATCAGCGAGGCAGAGCGCTGTCAGGATGGCAAACGCAGGTAAGATGACCTACAATGGGTGGTGTCGGTGTGCGACCCACTTTCTCCAGGTTCGGCTAATAATCAACTAATGCCTCATAAAATATCAGTTTGTAAGGTGAAAGTCTACTCACTTGACAATATGAATGAAATGCCTTTAAGGATATAAAATAACATCATGATATTTACATTACAGAACAGCTGCTTTTTTATGACTAACACAGCAAACGACACACCTTGGGACTTTGATATTTTGGTCACACTTTGCTCCCCGGTGAGCGGTCAAGGACTGATTGACAAAGGCCAGTGTGTGTGTGTTTGGAAGTTGTTAATCTTGAAGTCGCCCTTAAAAAGGTTTATTGCAGGCTCTCTCTCTCAGCATTAAATGGCCAGTTCACCTAAATTACAGAAAGACATGTTCCCTTTCACTCTCTCCCTGGTGCTATTTAACCATGCAGATAGTTTGGGTTTTATGTGTTAACGGTTTGGAGATATCCAAACCTGAGATTTCTGCTGCCACTACAATAAAATGCGAGTGATTGGAATTCAGTTTGTGGTCCTGAAAGCACTGAAAATGTACAGCAACTCCCAGAAACAGTTTCTTTTGTCTGACCAAACAGCAAAACCTACAGGTATTAGTATAGAACAACAACAAATCCTCAGAATTTAGATGCTTGAGACAAGGTAATGTTTGCATTTCTGCTTGAAATGACATTTGGCGATTTATTTTTCTGTCGAACATTTAATAAGCAGAACTTATGCACGTCTGTAGGTCGACAGGTGCGTAAAGGTGAAGATCTAAGGTTCTATATTGTCGAGCATTTAATACAACTTTTTTTTTTTCACCTCTATGATATCGGTACAAGTTATATTTTCTCAAAGTTGAGCATCTCAGCTGCCAAAGATGTTTATCATTTTACTGAAGTCTGTACTGTGCAGCTGTATTATGTTGAAAACAATATATTGAAGTGCTCAGATTGTGATAAACAGCAGAATCTGATCTGAATCATCAGGACTTCCCTACTTTGGTATGAACTGATCCAGCAAGAAATGTTTATTTAGCTCTGGTTAGGGCCCCAGACCTTTACTTTTCCACTGCACGCACATAAAACCCTAATAATCTTCATGGCTAGATAATATAATTGGTAGTTCAAACAACACCTACCAATTATGTTGTATGTTTTTGTAATTTGTGTGAACCAGCCCTTTAATTTAGTTTTAAAAGTTATCTTTCATACATAATTGAATTATACAACTGACAAGTACTTTAAGTGTATAAATGGAGGCTGGCTGTCAAGTTCAGGCACATCTCTGCTCACCAGACATAAAGTGCTGAATGCTAAAAGGTTGTAAACCAAACACGTGGGGCTAAGTGACGTAGATAGTCCCGGACCTCAGGGCAGTCTCTGATTGGCTGAGAAACGTTGAAACCAGGTGTAAAAAAACCCACAGATAAACACACCTAACCGTACAACAGATTACTATATAATGCTAATTTAAATATGAAATGGTAAGAATTGGTGTGGCTGCTAGTAAGTGTTGAGTGACCTGAGAATGTGTGATTTATGGGTACAAGCACCTCCGTACAGCTACCTGTCTGCAGCCAGGTGATGCGTTAGCTCGGCTGTTTGTGTCGGTATCCGAGGAATGCCAGGCAAGTAGCCGTGTTTCAGCACCGGGGCCCGGGGGGCGAGGGGGAGAGCGAGAGAGAGAGAGAGGGGGAGAACTTGTGGGAACTCGTCTGAAAACTGCGCAGGGGAGGAGGGCGAAGAAGAGGAGAAGGGAGGGGAGCAGCTGGGAGGGACCGACGGGGAGACGACTTGAATGTTGCAGCTCCAGCTGTTGTTTGACGGTGATAATTTGGACCACAAATCGATAAAAGCATGTCCGGGTCGGGCGAGCTGTGAAGCGGACCGAGAGGTAGGACCGATGGCCGTTCATGCAAAGCGGTTTTTGAACGACTGTTGACTTTATCTTAACGCTAATTACCGCGAGACTTCCGATAAAGTTCTTGACCGCTAATTTAACTTTCGGTGTGCAGTAAATGGCTTTATTCACACGTATGACCTAGTTCTGACATATAAAGCTGTTAAAATCCTCACTTTTTAGTCTTTAATAGAGAAAAGAAGTCGTCAGTATGTCGTTTTCTTCTTCTTACCTGTAGCAGTAGAGTCAACTACCTGTTGCACAATCTTGACTCATAAGAGACGCACGAAACCAGTTGAATGTAATAATTAGATTACAGTTGTCTATTAGCGTTAGCGCTATTATACAGAGTTATACCATTTGGCTGGTGAAGCTTAATGAAATGGTGTGAAACATGGCTAAATGTGGTGTCAGGTTATTTGTCTCTATCGCGGCTCTGCAGCACATTGCTCAGGTGTTTCTGTTGTGCTGTCCGGACCAACGCCCCTCAGACAGGATGTTGCACGCTCTCTTTCCTCGTAACAAATCCCACAGCTGTGATTTATCTGAATGTGTGTGTGTGTGTGTGTGTGTGTGTGTGTGTCTGGCAGTGTCGTGGCTTATTAAATTGTGAACACGCAGCTATAGTTGTAGACCTTAAATAAATGCTACTTTTTTATGAAGGTAATAATGTTGAGTTTTTGTTTAAAATGTTTTAAAGAGGTGCTGTTTATGGTATTTTGGATTCTTAAGTTTGTGGTGTTGTTTTGATATTTTTTTAAAATCTTGCCATTAATTTAATTATAATACTACATTTTATTTACAGTGTTTTTCCTGATCCTCTGACACTTAACATGACGATTTAGGTCAGTAAAAACTGTACACAATACAAGGGCAGAATAGTAGTGTAGAGTCGAGCTAATCACTCGATTAGTCAATCAACACTCAATTAATTAGCAACTAATTTGACAACATCAGTTTTCTTTTCAGAATTTGCTGTTATTTTTATCTTATGTGATATTAAACTGAATATATTTGGGTTTGTTAGTCAGACAAAATAAGCAATATGAAGACACAGCCTTGGATTATTGGCACAACTGTAGCTACAGTACTATTGAGGACACCGGGGTAATGTTGTTGTTGTTTTATGTATGGAGGTTTTAACAACCTTGGGGGACTTAATAACATTCTACAGTTAAACACTTGCATGTGGTGGGCGTGTAGAGTCATTCCTTTATTTTTACACTTGATGTGATCAAAGATTCAGTATTTCTCCACTAAAAATGTCTGTCTGGTAGCATTGAGAGGGCTTTGAAACAGCATTTAATCATTTATGTTGATATATGATTGTTAGAGTTAAGCCTATAAACTTAAACACAACTAGTTCATAGGCCATTGATATCCAGATAACCTTTGAAGAACAGCTCTAAATCTTGCTGGAAATATAGTTCACCATTAAATTCAATAAATGAAATATAAAAAAACTGCAAATTTAACTTATTTAGACTTTTTTGTTTTGGTGCCTGGGGGGCTCATGACCTCAGTATTTCTAAAATGTTGGTATGACTCTGTCTGTGTGATAACAGGCGGCCTGTTATGGCTGGATTTGTAAAAAATGAGTTTATGGGGTTTATTTTTACTGCATCACAAGCTACACGGCCTCCAAAATGACCATGAAGTTGAATCAACAGCATTCTGAAACAGTTTTAACCAAAGCTAAATATGATAGCACTCATGAATGTAGGATGTATTGCAGAACTGTTGTATTTGACCAAAGTAGTTTTTGTTTTTGTACCTAAAGAAATTGGCAAATCAGTGTAATTAGAAGTATCAAAGTTTGTGTTGTGCTTCAGTGGATGTTTTATAATTAGTTGTTGTATTCAGGGTCACAGCAGGGTAAACACGTAAATGTCACACCACTGTTTGTGCATATCCCTCCAGCAATCCCTGAACATATGATTTGTTCCACATTGTTAACCCATGTTAGAACGCAGCGAGAGGCAGACGTAGATGTAGATTTGCTAGAGTGGCTAATAGCTCATGTGATGGCTGAGGGTTATCTTGTTGAGCGGTCCTGCTGTGACTTCTCTGAGCCGTTCATCTGTTAGCCTTGTGTTTACAGAAACAGGAAGGTGGAAACTTGGTGAGGAAGGAAGGAGGAAAACGAGGCCCGCTATTAAAAGGCCCTCAGTTTTTTTTTTTTGTTTTTGTGCCGTTAATGACGGATCCAGACCTTGGCAGTGGCCTTCCATCCTTGTACTATTCATGTTTAAAAGAAAAACATTGCACCGTGATCTGTGACTCCCTATTGTTGAGTTTAGTAGCTCCAAAATCATCTCTTCTCTCTTGTTTTTCAGCAAGAGGAGGAGCGTCAGCGCATACTTCAGCCAGCTGAAGGTAAGAGGTTAAGCTTCTCCGTCTCTCACTAGCCCTCTGTAGCTGCCTCTCTGAAACCATGCAGAGTAACTTTGCGTATTATGGTCTCTGCTGCGTGCCTTGCAGGTCTTTGGTGGTCGGAGAGACATGGACTCATTAAAGAAGGAGCTGGAGGAGGAGCTGAAGCTCAGCACCGATGACCCGACGAGCCATGCATGGTTCCACGGGCCACTGAGCCGAGAGGTGCTCAAAGGACCATACTGTTCTCGCTGTGTTTGCACTTAAACAGCACATTTTTACACACACAAACTGAAGGAATAGAACCCTTTTTGTCTTTCTTGTGTTGAGTTAGATGAGGAGATTAATACCACTCTCTCATCTATAGAGGCAGATTAACTTTCGACAGAGCCAGGCTAGTCGTTTCCCCTTGTATCCAGTATGTATGCTAAGCTAAACTTTTGGCAAAAGTTTCATACACAGTTGCCAGTTTATTCGGTACACATAGCTAAAACTAATGCTTCCTTCATGAAGGTGTTGATCAACTTAACCTGCTGACTTGTCTCCAGGCTGCAGAGTCTTTGTTTGAGAAGAACGGAGACTTCCTGGTCCGAGACTCGAGCTCTTCCCCCGGCGACTACGTTTTGAGCTGCTTTTGGAAGGACGGGCCCATGCACTTTAAGATTATACGAGTGATCCTTCGTCCCAAAAAGGTATGTCTAAGTTATGCTTCTCCATGTGCTGCAAGTGAGGAATAATGGATGCATTGTTTAAATAAGTTATGTAGCTGCAATGCCAACTGTTCACTGGTCTCAGCTTCTTCAATGTGAGGATTTTCTGCATTTTATATCACTGGTTAATTGAATCTTTATGGGTTTTTGAGTGTTGGTCGACAAAACAGGTGATTTCAAGATGTCACCTTGGTCTTGGGAACTCACAATTGGCTCTTTTTTCCCCCCCTAAATTTTTCGAGACTAAACAATTCTTCAAATAATCTGAAAAAATAACCAAAAACTATTTAATATTTAAAGAAGATATGTTTCAAATGGATTTTTGGTCACTATGTTAACTACAACGAGTCTGAGCTGACTTCCACAAAGCTGCAAGCTACAATATCCACCTTTCTAGCCTCTGAGTGGTGAGTATCTGTTACTAAAAAGATGGATTATTGTCGGACTATTTGTGTAAAAGCTCTGCTTGGTATATTCTGTCTGTGTGACAGGGCTACACTCGGGAGCTGTTCCAGTTTGAGGAGGATCGCTTTGACAGTGTTCCGTCTCTGATCCGGTTCTATGTGGGCGGGCGTCTGCCTATCTCCCAGGCCTCTGGCGCTGTGATCTATCACCCAATCACACGGACCCTTCCTCTGCGTGTCATCAGCGAGCGACATGGAGAGCCCACAAGCGGCAGCAGTGGTGCAGGGAAAGAAAGACAGACTCTAGCCAACAAAAGGCGCAGCTTCAGTTCTGAACACACCGACAGACTGCACGTCATCAATCCACTGCTAAGGTGGGAGGAAGTCTGGTGAAATGTAGTCCACTCCACGTACACATGTATAGTGATGAAACAAACTGCACGTTCACAAATTCAAATAAACCTTCTCACGAACTTTATTTTATGCGTGGCAGGAGTGGAAGTCAGCCTGCGAACCTGGAGAACGTTGGACGCAGACCTTTACTTCAGTCTGCACAGTCTGACGGCAACCTACGAACTGGTACGTTATACATACATGTGTCTGTCACCGCTAACCCGTCATGGCCACTGGATGCAGCTCTGTCACAGCCGCTGGAGACGATCAGTGACTGGTTGGCCTGTATTGTATTTTTGAGGAGGTGTAAAAGCGTGAAGCAAAACCATCATCAGAACACAAAGAAGAAAAAGGATTCTGCGACACCGTCTTGTTTATCTTTCACCTTCCCGCTGTCACTCTTCCTCATTCAGGCGTTCCACAGAACACTCCTTCGAAGGACACTGACCCCGCCCCCATCTCCCCAGTGTTTCGCACAGGCAGTGAACCCCTGCTGAGCCCTCGGCCACGGCACACACGCCCCTCCCATCCAGGTGACAAGCATACAGACTTTTGTTTATGGTCCGATCAAAGAAAGAACAGCCATAATACTAATTCAAGGGTAGAAAAGAGACAAAGTTCTACATTTTCAGAGTAATTTCCTTGAAAGAAGAATTCCATTCCATTGTATATAATACAATTTAACAGTTAATTATATGAAATGCTTATAATGAAACAGAAAATTAGAGACTTACTAGGGGTGGAGGTGTTTTATGACTTTCACTTAAAATCTCAGTATTTCTAAGATCCTGGTTATGACCTCGGTGCTTGGTACAGAAGGGACTAGTTACAGGTCAGAAACTTCACTCAGGACGGTGGTAACAACATCCTGTTGTGTATTCCTACTATTTCACTTGAACCTTTCTGGAACTTGTGTGTGTGAGTCAGCAGCTTAAAAGTTTAAGTACCATAGCAGCACCTCTTCTAAATATGGAGACTGCCAATGACACAGACGCATAACTCCCTCCTCCGTCCCTGCAGGTGGTGGTGTAACTTTGCGAGGTTCAGATGGACAGCTGCACCCCAGAGCTCCTCCTAAACCTCTCAGGGTCTCTACAGTGTTTGCCAATAGCATCCCTCCCCCACCCACTGTCCGGAACGTTGACCCCTCCTCTTTCTACGATGAGCTGGTCATCCAGGTAAAGAACTCATCACAAACCACAGCTCGACGGGCCATGTCATCTCCCTTTCTGTTCAGGGAAATGTGTCCTTACAAGGCAGAGTCTGTAAATCCTCCATGGAGAGTTTATGTCCTCTGGCTGTTGTGTTCAGGTGCCACAGGCCCGGCAGAAAGGTCATGTGGACCGACTGCGTGCAGAGGAGAAGTGGCAGAGCCGCGCCCGCCTCACAGAGACTTCCTTTGGCTTTCTGGAGGCACAGAATAGTGAAGAGTCATCACAGCTGCCGCCGTTGCTGCCGCAGAAGAAGAGGGCAGAGGAAGTGGAAGACTGGCATTTTGAAAAGCCACATGTTTGTATAAATTATACACGGTTTATAGTTTCCAGTGTTTTGCAAGTATTAGCTTCTTAATCACGAACTATGTAAACACTACATGTTTCTTGACTGTGAAATAACTTGATCATTGCACATCACAAAGGGTCTGCTGTGTACTGACGTTGTAGTATCCATCTTACTCCATCACAGGTGGAGTCGGTCTCGTGTTTCCAGTTGGATCAATTTGAATCGCTTCTCTTGCCGGAGAACAACCGACCTCTTGATCCCGGCGTCATTCTGACGCTCAAAGAGCTCTTCAACCGCTCAAACGCCGACGCTACAGCTCTGCACATGCTCAGTGTCGACTGCCAGGTAGCTCTCAAATCGTCTCACGTCAGAATCAATATACGTTTTCATTTGTTATGTTTGCACTCCTGATAAATGCAAAACAAAGGTGACACATTATCAAATGCAAATAGTAGGCTAATATTTCACTATTCTGAGTGATTCATATTGCTTCAGTTAACGCATTATTCATAATGACCAATGTGTTGCAGGTAGCACGCATTGTTGGGGTGACTGATGAGCAGAAGACGATCATGGGAGTTGGATCAGGGCTGGAGCTCGTCACTTTGCCACACGGACGCCAGTTACGACAGGATTTGTTAGAAAGGTACAACTGACGAAGATCAATGAAAGAGTTGATTCACCCATACAACAACAACAAAAATCACATTTCCTCACATAGTGGTATCCATGCAGATATCTTTGTTTTAATTTGTCCAGGTTGTAAGTAAGGTCTATCTGATCGCTGACTTCACTATGAACAATGCATGTGAATGGTCTTTTGTTTGGGGTGCCGAAAGTATTAGAAAATCAGTTTGACGGCGACATATTTTTCCAGCCTCGGTGTCAAAAAGAAAAATCTCTTGCAGTTTTCAGTGGGAACTCGAAAATGTATGTTTTTTTGCTTTTTTTTTTTTTTTTGTCATTTTTAGATTCTTTGAGTAGGCTACCACAAAATTCCATTAACCTCATTGTTGTGCTGTGGACTCCGAATAGCTAGAAGTGGGAAGTGAGAAAACTTCCCCCCCCAGCTGCGTCCTTTTTCAATCTTCTACCCTCTCACACCTCTAATCTATACACTTTTCATTTTTTAGGCATCATCTAATAGCACTGGCAGTGGCAGTGGACATCCTAGGCTGCACAGGGACTGTGAGCCAAAGGGCAAACGCTTTACATAAATTTATCTTATTGGCTCAGGCCCTGAAAGAATACGCTCACAACCTCTACTCCTTCTCAGCTGTGATGAAGGCTCTAGAGATGCCTCAGGTAATGTCATTATCACAAACATATGCTCACTGTGGTAACGCGGCAGCAATCCCGTCAAATGAAACAAGTGACATATGTATGTCATAGAAATGTCATAATATAGTATGCCATGAGAACTGTCATGAAGTCATTCCATAGTACGTCATAAAAAATAACAAAAAAATCATAGTATGCCATTACAAATGTCTATAGTATGCTTTTAAAAGGCATAGTATACTATATCATAAAAGGTCATAGTATAGTATGCAATGAAAAATGTCATAAAAAGTAATTGTAAAGTATTTAAAAAAATGTCCTATAGCATGTAATGTGAAAAGTAATGGTATGTCTGGAAAGTCGTAATTTGACATAAAAAAGTCATACTATAGTATGTTTTTATAAAGTCATAGTATAGTATGCACAAAAATATCATTAAAAGTTTATAGCATTTCATAAGAAATGTTTAAAAAAATGTCATCCTATAGTATGTTATAACATAAGATAATATGTATATTTGTGCATGCAGATAATGCGACTGGAGATGACGTGGCGAGCACTTAGAAGGAACCACACGGAGTCAGCAGTTTTATTTGAGAAGAAACTCAAACCCTTCATGAACTTGCTGAACGATGGAGACGGTGAGTGCTGCTGTTTGTCACAGAACAACTGAAAGGAGCTGCAGTCGCTTTGTTTGTGTCCAATTTTAAAATTGATAGATTGAGAGTTTCTATGAATGAAATTGATCTCCTCTCATCACTTTTATACAATTGATCAGACTTCCTGCTGCTCCCTCTGGAGCCACTAAATGCTTTGTACAACTTTACTCCACAATACCTATAAAAAAAAAATACTTTGATGGATAAAATTCACTCTTTTTAAGTAGCACATGTACTGCATGGAGTCTTATGTGCGTCTATGTTTTTCTGTAGACTCTGTAGTCCAGGGTCCCATCGCCGTGCCACACCTGGTTCCTCTGCTGATGGCGATGGAGGGAGACGACCCGGTGGAGAACAGTGAGCGAGGCTGTCAGCTTCTCTACGATGTCCTCCAGTCGGCTCGCAGAGCCGCGCTGCATGCGCAAGATTATCAGCAGCACACACAGTCTCTGCTCACAGGTACACGCACGCATGTTGCAGTAATGTCTTCTCTTCTTGTAGACGGTTGCAGACAAATGGGCCTCACAACATTACTCTATTCTTATCCTAAATCTTTGCTTTTTTCTGTGAGGTTGGTTTGCACAAATGTCAGCATCACCAATTCTCTCTTAATTACCCAACTTGTCATAACCTGATGAATGTAACCGGTTGTTGAGGTGTGAGTTACAGTATTGGGATTTGATAATTAGCATAAATAACAACTCTAAATTGCTGTATAAGGGGAACTGTTCTGCTCTGTTTAGGCAAGTTTAATTTACAAAAAATGTAAAAAGATGAATTTCCTAACAATGAAAGATGAATGTATATTACCATGCCAAAATATGCCAATTAAATACTAAAATCTAGAAACATTGCAAACCTCAAATTGGCAAACCTAAGACGCTGATATGGTGAATATAATATTTATTTTGCATGACTTTATTTTAAATATAGTATTCAGTTATTTAATTATAGTATGATGCCTTAATCTGAATGAATTTGATACAGAAATCCTAATTAAATAAACAAGTTAGACCAAAATATAAACTAGTGTAGTGTACTAGTATTCTGTACATGACTTGTGCGACAGGTTTGGAACACTTGTGTGTACTGAAGAGAAAATTGGTGACGGCAACAAATTCTCTTAAATCATTCATAGCGTCACTCAAGAACAAATCTGTTTGTCTGAGTGCTTCCTACATGAGGCCTGTTTGTACTTCCTGCCAGAGCAAGTGTGTTCACTCTTCATTACAAAGTACGTACATTGTGACGTTAATGTGAAATGACCTAATTCAGTGCATCTGATCCGATGTCCGTCACATTGCTTCAGCAGGAAGCTGGGAGCCGGTCCCTGAGCTGCTGGAGGTTTTCCGGACAGAGTTCGCCCTGCGTATGTTGTGGGGGCAGGCGGGGGCAGCGGCCGACAGAGAGGAGCGCTACGAGAAGTTTGACAAGATTCTTTATGTACTCTCGGATAAACTGGAACCCGTGGAAATCAGCCCACAGCAACCTGAGCCTTCGGGGGTCTGTTTCACCAAGTGAAAGGTGAACGTCAGCACTTTCACCAGCGGAAGGAAAGATGAAAGTGAAATGTTTTTAGTTGAGCCTTGGGGCGTTGCGGGTCTCACCCCTAAGGTCACTCGGACATAAAGGAAAAGTTATTTTTGAGTGAGAGACTTTCAAGCTCGTCAACTTTAACTTATAAAGGAATGAGTTGTGTCTTGAACGTGTGAGCCCTGGGCAGTCTTTTACTCTGAAAAAGAGCTGCGTTGGATTCAGAAAATCTGGAACAGTTTACCCCAAAAACGATCTGTTAACTTCTTGAAATGTGCATTTCTCATACTCGGACACAGCGTTATCAATCCACACCACTCCGATACTTGAGATTCAAAAGGATCAACACGAGTAAAACAAAGTTAGCTCCCTTTGTACACGACCTGCTGCTGTAAGGGACCACACTGGGAATTGTTTTGTATCTGTTTCTAATCCAATGAATGTATGTTACATATTTGCATGTAATGATTCTCACAATACTGTAAAGGAACAAAGACGAGAAAAGATTCTTTTTTTTTCTTCCTGTTTACTTTATGACTCAAACAATACACGTAAATACATGCATGTTCTCTTTTTTTTTTTTAAATGGATCATACAATAATACCCCTTACAATGCTCAGAAAACATCTACTAGTGCAGGACAGGGTGCTAGAGAAGGAGATGGGTAAACATTATATGGCTCAATGAAACATTTGTATAGTCTGAGCTTCACAGTGCAGAATGAGTTTGAAACAAGAAATCGGACGTATCGGCTGAAGGAGAGAAGTTTCTCTGCACTCAGTGTATAAACGAATGTCCAATTAGTTTTATGCGAGTCTTTAAACACCATTTTAAAAATTCTTGAACTTTTTACTTTTCTCTTGATCCATTGAGGAGCTAAATCTTAAAAGTCCCATTTCCTTCCTTTGAAATCGACCCTGTTATTAATTCAAAGGTTCTCCACCATGATCAATGTTTCAGAGAATTTGAGAAGATCAACAGCAGTGCTAATCTGGAGGCTCAAAATATGAAAGCAGGTGCTTAAAACCTGTCAAAGAAGAACCAGTTAAGGACCAGAATTGAGATCACTGCCGTTTCTGTGCATCGCTGGAATTCAAAAGTGAAGACGAGTTGCACATATTTCTGTTTGACATTAGCGCTGTTATGATCTCTGAAACAGCAACCTCAAACGCAGGCAGTTCACCAAGTATTCGTGGCAAGAATTATAACTTTGATCATTATTGCCACTGTGCTTTTCCTTTTTACACACCATGTCTTAAATTCACAATAAAACAAAAAACGCAAGGTAAGTTTCCATTTTTAAGTTGTCTTGAAACAGTACTCTCATGCATACATGTACATTGAAGCAGTTTTTAATATGCCGTTATTCTTCCTGTTCATACTGATTATTTAAAAAGTCTTAAGTGCTTCCAATATAAGTGAGTGATGAAAAATATATCTATATCTTATAAATATAGAAGTTAATTTGTCTTTTTAGAATTACATTCCTCTTGGTGTTTTCCTGCTGAGCTGTCGTGGAGGGAATTGTTTGTTAAAAACACAAACTTTGAAAGATACCCACTTGATTAGTCTAACCCAGACCGCTTGAGCTTCACATTTTCAGAAAACCTTGACTCAGAATGAGATTCTGTCCCGCATCACTTACATTAGAAGCACATTAGGAATCTATTCATGGCCAGTATGAACCAGACGAATGATTGCAGCGAGCAAAATGTATTTCAAAGTTCATATGGGCACATGACTGTTAGAAGACAGACATGAGGGGCGACTGTGGCTCAGTGGTAGAGCAGGGTCCTTCAATCAGGGTTCGATCCCCGGCTCCGCTATATCGATGTGTCCTTGGGCAACCCCAGCTGTGGCTACGGTGTATGAATGTTAGAGTCCTGATGGGCAGGTTGCACCTTGCGTGGTAGCCATCAGTGAATGTGTGTGAATGGGTGAGTGATGACAAGTAGTGTTAAAGCGCGTTGAGTAGTCGCTATACAAGTACAGTCCGTTTACCATTAAAACAAACATTTAAATCTATACTTTACAGTGACACTCCATGGTGAGACGTTAAGAGTAGTGGTTTTAATCCAGTTATAAGTCATCACTATAATAAAAAGACAAAACTCACATTTGTCCTGTCAGGAAAGCCGTTTTAGCAGAGGGCCGTTGTTACACGAAGAAAAGGTTCAGCAGGTGGGGTAAAAAGTCAAGTGAATGGATATATCAACATAAAGATATGTAGCGCTTAAAGGCTACTATGGTGCTGGATATGTTACGCTAGTCATCACTTAACGCTGCAACAACAAAAAGTTCAGGTATACATTCACAAGTTTGGATTTAAAAGAGCTGAAATCCATGAAGATCGTCTGCCGCAGCGAGCAGAGACGGGGACTGTGTGTAAGAAGCTTTCTAAATCACTCACTCTCATCTCGCCATACACCGGAGATAAAAGATGTAGAGAACTCCAATTATTGTGGATGACTTTGTATTCACCTTTGGCTCCTAACCTACCCTACAAGCTGTGTGTGTGTGTGTGTGTGTTATGGGGCAAGTTTGACATAGGATGAAGGTATATAGCCCTCATCTCCACTGGCTCTGAGGACTCTCATCCATCCATCTCCTTTATCATCCTCCATTATACTCAACATCTCTCCCTCCGTAATGGAAACGGTGCCCTCGCTGTTGCCTGCACACAAACACACACAATAAGGACACATACTAAACAGGCTAAAATGAAATCCATTGAGGAACAAGTTGAGTGTGAATTATTACAACGTACCTTCAAAGGTGTACAGAGCCGTGCACTGGCCAACAGGATTTTCTACGTCTTCAAACTCATCATCGAACTCTGAGTAGATGCTCTGAAATTGGTCAGCTGCTACCACACTGGAAATATCAAGAGAAGAAAGAATCAAGACATGTCATTTCTTAAGTGGATTTTGCAAAACACGTCCACAATTTAAAGAAATAGTTTGACATCTGGCAACCTCGCAGTGATGACAAAGGTCTCTAGGCGAGGGGACATGGTAAAAAAGGGTCACTAGGCTATTTTTATTTAGCGTTGCTAGCTTCTGTACTAGCACTGTTAGAAGAAGAGGAAGAAGAAAATATCACAACTGTCCCGAAACAAATGCGTAAAACTCTCCGAATCTTGCAAATCATCCTGCTGCATTTCTTTTTTCTTTGACCTCAAGTCGTCAATTAATTAATTTTTCATAAAAATGAATGACTTGTAGCAGCCAGTTTCCCTTCAAAAATTGCATTATATCTATTATAAACAATCATGCAAACATAGCGTCCGTCGAAAGAAATATGATGATGCTATATTAAGACTTTTTAATGAATTTTTTGTACATACTGTACTATGAATTTTTTCGACATATTATACTATGACTTTAAAAGCCATTTCTAAAATACTGTACGATGACTTTTTTAACAAAATACTGTACTATGACTTATTAATACATTTTTTCAATATACTTTACTGTCTTATTTGACAAGCTATGCTATGACTTTTTTCAACATACTATATTTTTCAATGAATATCAGGACAATTTTAGTCATACTATACTATTACTTTTTTATAACGATACTATGACTTATTAATGGAATACTATGTATTTTTTACTTTTGTAGATACTACAATACCATGCAACACTGACTTTTTTTGACATACTATACTATGACTTTTTCCGACACACACTATCCTATAACTTTTTATGACATGCTATACAATGACTTTTATATAACATACTATACTATAACTGTATTTGACCTGTGATACTATGACTTCTAATGACATGCTTACAGATTAGCTCTCTAGCAGTACAGCTAGCTCTGCTTCTCTCGTTGGTCAAGCTTGCGGGTCGTAGCGGTCCGTAGAGGTTTTCCTTGATTTTACTCTTCGTGTTTAGCTAATCTAACCAGCTGCTGGCAGTAGCTTCTTTCTTTAACTCTTTTAAATAAAAGGTCTTACCCATGTTGAGTATTATTGTTGATGGCGTTGGAAGATTCCTCTCCTCCCACTGCCTCTGACAGCCACGTCTGTAATAAACCAGCAATAGATGTTAAGACTTGCACAAATGCAGAAACTCTCTATCCTGATCTGTCACGCACACATCATTGGCATGTTTATTAAGTGTATGTTTGTGTGATAACCTCATATTTGGCGAGCTCCCCCGTCAGGCGGCCAATGTTCTGGGCAGTTTCTGAGATCTGAGGCTCCAGACTGGAGGGATCTCCCATCTGTGGATTCTGCTCGTACACACCCTTCATCTTCTCCAGTGCCTCGCTGAGGTCAGACAGGGCAAGAAAAAAATGTGAGCACTCATCAAGGAAATATTCTCTCCGGGAGAGAGATATGAACAGGAGGGGATGGAGACAACTTGCTGAAGGAACATGTGGTACTACTGTATACAACATTAGTGAGGTCAGGCACTGAGGATTGGCAAAGAAGCCTGGCTGTCAGTTACAGTTCCTTCAAAAGGTGTTTGATGGAGTCAGGGCTGCGTAGACCAGTCAAGATTTTCTACACCAAACTGGAAAAAAAACATTTCTTTACGGTATTGTCATGTTGAAACTAAAAGAGTCTTTAACAAATTAGGAGCACACTGTTGTCCAAAACATCACCGTGTGCTACAGCATTTTAATTGAAACTAATTTTGTGAGCCAAAAAGTATTTAAAAAAAAAACAAAAAAAGCCCCATGGCCAGAAACACAGAAGTATGTTGGACAACTTTGGCCATGTACAGTAGTTTTATTTATGTAAACTCTGAGGCGAGCCAACGTTTGTGTGCAACTGTGGCAAATTAATAGATTGAAGTTATTTGACAATGTATGTAAAAATGTACATGCATTGCCTGTTGCACAGAACACTATCAAATAGAAGATATCACAATAAAGCTTATTTCTATAGTGGAAATATATAATTTGAAGCCTTGAAAAAAACCATTCTGCTTTCTTTAATTCACATGAGCGACGTCTGTGTTCTTATCCGTCCTCTTTAATTACAGAGGTTTGCTTTGAATACCAGACACCTATCAGTCACATTTGATCAAAGCACCAAGTCCTGATGAAGCAGATTAGTTCAATTTTAAACTATATAGTAATAATTAAAGTATTTTTTCCCAAAACTTTATTCACGACTAAATAAGCAGCAAAGTTTTTCAGCATCATAGAGAAACGTTTTAAGAGCTTTTCTCCCCAATGCAGTCCCAAAGATCCTCCAATTAATTCAGGCTGAACTAATTAACGTTTTTTTGACACCTACACCTGCTCCTGATGATTATTTTGAAGCACTGAATGTGTACTATTTATGTACTTTTTAGTGTAACTCTACACTGATTTAAATAGTTGCTGACAGACCAAAAACAGGGATACCGCCACATGAGGTCCAACCTATGCTTAAATTAAAGCAAATACTCGACAACATTTTGTGATGAAGAAATTACAAGTCTGTGTTTCCAGGCCTTGGGGATGCCTGTTGATGCTGTGGGTGACGTTGTCACCTTTGGTCCTGCGTCTTCTGCAGCTCTTTGGTGATGTCGTCAATCTTTGCCTGAAGCCTCTTCTTCTTCTGCTCCGGAGGAAGGTGAGAGAAATCTTCTGCAGCAGGTGGCTACACACACACACACACACACACACACACACTTACAGTAATTATCCTGAGCATCAGAAACTTATCAATGATCACCACCAGATGTCTCTCCTCCCTGTTTCTATCCGTCTTTCCAACACAGAAAGAAACCTAACAAGAGAGAGAGAGAGACACTTAATCTATCCGTGTCATGCAAACAAACCTTGTTCAAGGTATGAAAGTAATGTTTGGAAAACACACATAGTTACAGACAGAGAGAGTGAGGAGAAAGACAATGACATCCCCTGAGAACACCACTGAATTTCAGCTGTGCAGTGTTTTGGACTGACGCACACTGAACGAACAACAGGTGAGAGTCTTTCTCCTGCGATGCCATACCAACGTACATTTAGGCAAGAGCAAGAATTCCGCTTAATTCAACGTAGCAACAACACTATTTCTGAAAGTTATATACCAGTTTGGCATCACAGAATAAAGACTTGGTAGTCTAGAGAGAAAGTTAATGATGTTCCATGAATAGAAATGTAGTTCCCTGTGCCATGAGGGAAATAGTATTTAATTTAGTCAATTAAAAAGTACCTGCACCAAGACAAATAATCCTGCTTGCACTGCCAACTAGGTGACTACATGCACATTCATCAAGCTGTGCAGCGTCACAGCTGGTTGTGCTCACAAGTACAGTAGACCACCTGACACACACCCAGCTGTGATGACATGAAACCCGGTCACACCTGCATTTAAAAACGAAAGAATGTTGCATCGGAATTAGCGACATTTTTGTGGTATTTGCACCGTTGACCGACAGCCATCTGTCGTCACAGTGCCGACTTTAAAGGGAACGGAGAGAAGGAGAGTCCAAAATGGAGGAAGCTATTGTAGCTTGTTAGCTATCTTTCTCCCTCTGCTTATATTTAACCGCCTTTATCAGAATATAAACTGCTCCACAAAGGACGAATGGTTTTTAGTCATAAAACAGGAGTCGATGATACAAATATGTCTTTAGAATAAACTCTGTGACCTTATAGTCGTTTTAGTGATGGAAAACCCAAAACCCAATTTGTGTCTCTCATGTTTTAGTGGCAGCGCTCATGATCCTGCTTCACAAAAAATAATTATTAATAATAATTCATCTTGGAAAAACCTATAAACTCGTTAAAAAACCTTACGTCTGCTCTGACAATATTTCCAGAGTGCAGAATTTAATAATTTTTTATAAAGAGAGCATGGACATGTGTCATGTTAACTGGATTAGGAATTAAAGGGATTTTTTGGATATTTTTTCAGACAGAGGGTGTTATGTGCAGACTGTAAAGCCCCTTGAGGCAAATTTGTGATATTGGGCCATATGAATAAATTGACTTGGGAAACAGGTTAAAATAATATTTTATCATTCTTTGTTCATCCTGAGGGTTAGAAGAGTCTTTGAGGATTCTGGAAGTTGGCTGATCCTGCGTTTTTCCAAGATCCCTCGGTAATTATTCTTTTATATGCTTAGAAAGAGCAATAGAGACACAAACTGGGGCCTGACTGAGCTGACTAGCTAGCGTGGCTTTTTATTTCCTCTCCAATTACCGAATAAAACGTACAATCCTGCGAAACAAAATGCCACAGGGCAGAGAAAATAAAAAGAATACCTAATGCGACCATGTTCCTGGCAGGCTAGCATGTTACGTGCTAGTTCAACAATGTAAGTAGCTTCTAGCACTTTCTCAAAGACGCGTGGATGAACTTCAGTGCGTCACTTTCTGGTGTGACCGGGCCTCGACACATTTTTACCTGCAGATGTCAGTGTAGCACGATCCAGAGTTCCCCTTGAAAAGAATCCAGCACCAGCACATTTTTATTATAGCACCTTTTCAGTCTCCCATGTAATGTTAATGAATGTTACCATGTGCTTTTCAGCATGCGCTATCTAGACGGAGAGAGACGGACATTCAGTATGAGATGCATGGATAAATAACTCTCCACATGGGAAACACTTAACAAGCATGGTATCTGTATGGATGTCAAGGTTTGACAACTTATTCAGATGAACAGCATCAATGAGACAAATACATGAGGGGGGGGAGACGTTTACAGACAGCGTGGGGGGAGGGGACCTGAGCAGATGTCGTCACTCACCGAGTGCCGTTTGTGTAATATCTTTAAGGTGGAAATCCTGGGTTTGACAGAGCGATTAAACTCTCTGAGGCAGAGAGAGAGAGGGGAGTGCTGCAGCTTGGAGAGGGAGAGGGGGTGGCTGCCCGGTGGGAAAGGGGACGGGGGTGAGAAAGATGGAGGGGCATACTGAGGAAGGGGGAGAAAAAGACAAGGGAGCAGGGGAAAAGAAGCAAAAGAGGGGAAAATGAAGACGGGAAAAGAAGAAGGAAAGCGAGTCAAACAGATTCAGAGAAAACTGGTTAAAGAGTTAAAGAGGATGTTATGGGGCAAGTCTGTGCAGCAGACTGGAATTAGAATTGGCCCCTTAGGGCAACAGGGTGGTGGGTTAAGACATGAATGGAATGTGTGTTGACTTTCATGTGTGTGTGTGTGTGTGTTCGTTTGTTTTAGTGCATTGTTATGAGACCATGCGTCATTTGCACTTCTACAACAATCAACAGGAGGATGATAAGAAGAGAGCTGGGCCCCGATGTTTGCGTGGATTTGACTGTTGAGTTTTAAGCTCTTTAAAAGTATCGTGTTAAATGTATCGGCAACAAGTTGTCAAACCTGCAAAGGAACAGGTTTATCCACAGTTAGCTGTAACATTACACCTTTTCTTAGTTCGTAGTGTATTGAGAAATGTTGCTGCGATCGTTATTTGAAATGAAAACATGTCGGTTATTAAAAAGGATGAGACTGCCGGTATTTATTTTTCTTACGTCAACAAATCCCATTAAAAGACCAAAACCAACCATGAACTGATCCTACTAGCAAAGCATCATATACTCTAGCTTCTTGCTCCGTCACATCAGTGAGCCACACTGTTGTAGGCTACTGGGTGACATGTTTCTTTTTTTTTTTTGAAAATGGGTTACTGTAAATTACTGTCCCAAATAAACTGTCATAAAAAAATCCCTTCCATGCTAAATGTGTATTCATCCACAGCTGAATATAGTTCCTAACAGATGCACCATTTCCTCCTTTTTGAGTAACGTTTGCTAAAAACTACACAGCTGTTTTAAGAAATGATTTTGCCTTTCTTTAAAAATGAAACTATATATTTGTGACACATTTTTTTTAAAGATTAACTTCACTCTAAAGTTGAAATGTCTGAAAGTATTGAGAGATGGACTAACACTTTGGTGGTTTTGGTCTTTTCATGGGATTTGGTGACATTAAGAAAAATATAATAGAACACCAGCCTTAAATAAATTGTTTTTTGGGAGCATTTATTTAGTGTGGTGATTTAAAAACTAACATGTATTAAATGCATTTGCATCTTGCACATCAATTAAACCACTTTTAATTGGAGTGGGTTCCTAAATTATGTTCTAATTATAAAATCAACATCATGCATTTTTATCTCTGGTTTTGGAGTGTATTTAATTTGCTTTAAGACAGATTTTTGCAGGGTTTATTTTCATAATAAGAATATGTTGAAGGCTTCACATTAAACTGTGAAGCACTCTCTGATCATCACTCATCATGCTCATTACTGTTTCCAGAAATAAGAGCAAGTGGTGTTTTAAGAAAGGCCAATAAACCAGCCCGTTAATTGTGTTTAAGTTATATGGACTAGACATGATCATTTTAGCCCGATAACAACTTGTTTGTCCAGATTACTTTTTGAAGAACAGGGCAGGGAGGATTTTCCAGTTGTCGATGTGATGTTTATGCAAAATCTATGCGAAGCAAATCTAATGTCAACAGACTGCAAACTCACCTTGTGCTTCTTGCTGAAAGGCCAGAGCTTGGTGCGCACTTTGGGGGGGTTGAGGCTGGACTCGGAGGTTGCTGGTCTGATTCCTTGGGTGTAGTCTTCAAACTCTACGTCTGCAGGCCGCTCAAAACCAGACTTGTGCTGCTCTATGAACAGTATCGAGTCCTGCAGGGAGACAAACAGACACTGATAACAATATTGATTTAACACATAATCACCTACACCTTTCTGACCACGACAACTACCGTAGGGATGAATCAGCACCTCTGAGACACAGTGTCAACAATAGATCTTAAGTGGTGCATTGAATTGCTTCAGTTAACCGAGTAAACCTGTGTACAAAGAAAAAGAAACTCATTACAGGACTCTCTATCATTTTAGTAATTAATGCACTTTAGGACACCGTATAACAATCTGTTATCAGCAAGAGTACTGTAGGATATATGTACAACAGCTACAACCAGCAGATGATTATCTTAGCTTAGCATAAAGGCTAGAAGCAGGGGGAAACTTCAAGCATGGCTCCGTTCAAGGTACAACATCGGGGGTTATGTGCAGGACTGTTTTGTAGTGACTTCCTGGAGTCTCCGCTGGTTGCCAGCCTTGTTACCTTACAGTGAAGACAAAACTTTAGGAAGCCACCACGTGTTAATTAGGGAGCTTTAGAGGGCTGGTTATTACCTTTGGACAGAGCCAGGCTAGCCGTTTCCCCCTGCTTCCAGTCACTGTGCTAAGCTAAGCTAACTGGCGGGTGCTTGCAGCTTCACATTTAACCGGCATATATGACGGAGATATAAATCTTCTTATTCAGCTCTCAGCAAGAAAGCAAATAAATACATTATCCAAAATGGCAAACTATTCCTTTAAAACACCAGAAGATTCACAGTCACCTTATTTTAATCATGTGGGCGAAACAGAATACAACAAAATGACAAATGCATGTATATTCTAATAAACATCTAACATTTACCTGTTTCTCATTAATTTTCCTCCCTGCTGAAGAAATCCCTTCTAAACACTTGGTGATGATGGGCAGCACCTTCTTCTCGATTTCTGAAAACTGGCAGTAGCCCTCCGCCAGACTCCGAATCCTCCGCTCATCCATGTCCTGCATCTTCTGCTCGACACACAAACACACAACAGCCTCCTTAAATATCATATAATTGCACATTCCCATTTATACGAAGACACGGGAGAAGATGATTACATTTGTGAAGGGGTGTGTTTTGGTTATCACATAATTGAAGCAGGTGTGTGAGCTCTGCCCAGCTTGTACTGCTTTGCGAAAGTGTGTGTGTTTACGCGTGTCTTTGTCTCACGTTGAAGATCTGCGGTATCTCCGAGTAGTAGTAGAAGTTCTGTTCCTTGTTGTATTTCTGGAGCTGTGCTGCATAGTCGTTCCTGCACTCCTCCGCTGTGTGTGTGCGGGCGTGGGCATGTTGTTTGGCCTTCGGAGCGAGAGATAGGCGGAGCCACGGAGGAGAAAGGGAGGGCAACATGAAAGGATGCAGGGAGCGGGAGAATAGATGCAAAACAAAATGCAAAGTGGGAGAAATGTGGGAGCGACGCAGGGAGGAAGCAGAGGGAGACAAGGAGGTAAAGAGGCCACGGAGGGAGAAAGACAAGAAAATATTATAAAAACCAAACATTAAAAAATGTATGTCAGTGCTGCTCAGTTGTTGACGCTAACCTGTGTTGTGTGAGTGTTTACCTTATCGACATCGAGCCTGGTGGCATTGACGTCACTCTCTATTTTCTCTGCTTGTTGTGTGGCTTTTTCAGACTCTGCCCATTCCTTGGCATAGCGCTTCTTAATCTGCAGGCAGGCATGTATACAGTACACACACGTACACACACTTTAACAAACTTAAATAAATAGTATAGAATTCAGTAGCAGTAAAAATCCAGTCAGGGTATTCAGTCCCACTAGAGGTACCAAAAATGCAAAGGGACAGTCCAACAGAACAATCTACATCACAGGGTCAGTTAACACAATAGAAACAATATATGTATATTAACTAATTAACCTCTGGTGGTTGTAGTAACTAACTGACTAGTAACACAGATAGCTTTAGTTTAAGTCGGCCTGGCTTTGAGATATCTGTCTCAGGGATTTTTTCTGGAAAACCCAAAGTTGTTTAAACAATTAATTTGCCAAAAAAAGTAATTTGTTCAAACTTGTAAACAAGAAAGTGGTACCAAAATTGCACTTAAAATATTCAGTGGCAACAGACCTCGCTGTGAACTGTTTTAACTAGAGAACAGAAGATGTTGCTGTTCAATTTCTTTGAAACTATTCATTTCTAAACCTGACAAAACATGAAATGGTAACACTATGTTACGGCTCTACAAATTTCAAGGTTTCTTGGAAAGAATAAAATACTGTAAATTGGTGCCGACTTATACAGAGTTATATAGAGACACAATTCAACTCTCACACTCCGATGAATTAATTCCAAATACTTGTTAAATCAACTCATTTTAAGGTACACAAACCAGCTCTGCTCGGCGAACATACCATTCATCATATATAAAAAATAAAGTTTCCAAGACTAAATTAATGATGAATAAAGATTTACTTTAGTTTCCTATTAAGAAAACTGATTTTGAACTCAACAAAACGAAGAGCTTTGTTTGAGTTTCCTCGAGAACAATGATTAGTACGTAATCAAACAGCTCCTCCCAGGAAACTTTAAAAAAAATTAAACAACAGACCTGTAAAATAAATCCACAAAAACCATCTGCATGAAGATCCCACAAGAGGCAAGTGAGATCTTCTTTTCCCAATTCGGGCAAACAAATTCTTTAAATGACAATCCTGTGATCCAAACTAGACATCTGTAAACAACAAACACAAGTGACTCACACTTTCTAGTTGTTTAAAGCTGCTCTCTAAAACCTGCTGGGCCTTCTTGGCATCAGATAGGTGCTGCGGAACAAAGAGGTTTCAGTTAATGTGCAGCAGTTTAAGATGATGACACAGCGTTCCACGTAAATCTGCCAAATCTTTCCTGCTCCCTCCCTGGTGTTATTTGTTTCTCCCGCTCTCACTGTTTTGCGTTCCTGCTTCAGCTCCTGAAGGTACTTGGCGAGTTCCACACAGATGCCGGTCATCATGTTTTCAGCGATGAGCTCCCGTTGGCCGGCGTAATCGTTCAGCTCGTTCAGGATCTCCTGGAGTGATGCGTGATTGCTGAATCTGCAGCAGGCGGGAGAGACAATTTGGAAAATCATCACAGCTGGAGAGACCGACATTTAACCGAATAATAAACCTAAATAGGACTACAGGCCTGTCAAACTTTGGATTTTTCTATATGCCAATGTGATGTGCACGGTGCACTAATAAGTGTGCGATACTATTGTATGTAATAAACACATGAACAAAAGTGAAAGAAATCGATTCAACTTTGTGTTTATCTGCGCTGGTGGCATGTCCGGCTAACTAGCTTGCTAACAACAGTCGAAACCTAGCAATATTTTCAAGATAGCTACATTATTTTGTGAGGTTAAAACTTCTTTAGAAAAATATATTTTCAACACAAGAACATCCACCCCGTGGAAGACATGATGCTGCTATATCAGAGATTAGTTTAAAGCTGCTAAATGCATTGTAATTGCCTCTTAACGGCTCTCAACATGGCGACGCCTGAGTGGAAGCTAACAGCGCAAACTACAGCAACAGTGAGTACAGAGCTAACATTGTTTGCCTGAACGACTTTTGACTTTGATCATCAATTCATCTTGATGCATCACAACTTTTAATTCCCATACTTTTTTTTCTTTCTCACTTACGATCTACTATTTTCAAAAAAATTGCATATTTGTAAGGAACTTTTAATTATTTTTTTATTATTTACTGCACAATAACAGTAGTCTTTACATGTCTTCTTTAATAAAAAAAAAAATCAGCAGGTTAGGTTGCTGATTTTTTATGTTTTTGCCTGGAATATGTAGCTTCATGTAGCTAGTATTTTAGCATTATATCATGTATCAACGTTAGCCATCATGTGCATATTTAACGTTGAGATGCTTTTACGGGAATATCAATTCTGGATAACATTACCTTATGCTAGCTAGCTACAATTGTCAATTCAGCTGAGAAAATCCACAGACGTCGGCTAGAAAGGAGAAGCCTGCTTGTGTTTAGTTATGGTTGTAGTAAATCTGCTCACTGTTATCATTCCTACTGCATGTTTGTGGTGCGTGATTATAAAGCTTGACAGGCCAACAGCAACAGTAACATTTAGTAAACAGTAAATTGAAATTTTGTATATATGCAAAACAAGGACAAAGAAATGGACATTTTATTGTTCTCTCACTTGCAGTCTTGCTCTTCTTTGCTCCCTCGTTTGGCATATTTCTTTGATAGACTCCTGTTAGAAAGTGTAAAAGAAGCAGTGTGACTGTCTATTACACACACACACACAAATGCACAAAGACACACATTTAAGAAAATGTGTGCAAATATAAATAAACGTTCAGAAACAAGCTCAAAAGGCACACCTGAGTTGTTTGGCGTAACTCTGCTCTATCTCCGTCCGTTCCTTCACAAACTTTATGTAGCGATCCACCAGGTCGTGGCCTGACTGCGTGTGCTTGTCGATGTGATCATACTGGTCCTAGAACAAGAACAGCACAGAGCAACAGATGTTTTCATACATGTACACACACACACAAACGCTGCTGACACGGCGCGGTCTAAAAGCTTTTTGGATAGCGACATGTCTTTCATTGTTTTCGGCTCTGTGTTCCAGCACTTTGGATTTGAAATGAAGATAAATCTGAGGGTGATGACATCAGTGTAGGACTTTTTTTTGCACAGTACAAATTTATGACAATGCAATAGAACATTGAGACCAAGGAGTTTTTTTGTTATGTTTTTTTAAAAAAGGTCAAAAAGTGAAACTTTCTGGATTGTCCGAGTCAGTCACAAGACTAAAGTTGAAGTTGACATGTGTTTCACCCACCGAGGACCAGACTGAAAGCAAAAAGCGCTCGAAAACAAGAAGTGAAGCCGGCTGTATTTTAATGCCTGAGAGCAACAAAGGGAACAAGAGTCTATCATTTTTTTATTTTATTTATGCAACAACTGCAACCGGTCCATTGTTCAAAAGGTCTTTTATGTTTTACTATGTGTTCTTTAGTAGAAAGGGGTTTTGTGTAAGGTCAGTCTCACCACCTTCTCCAAGTAAGTTTAAAGTGGTTGCTGACTAATTGGTTAATCGACTGATCATTTCAGCTCTACTGTAATAGTTTTATTTGTTAAAGCCGCACCCACTTTGTGTCTGACAAAGTGAACAAACGTTTTCAAAACCTGACATCTGCAGACACAGAGAACAGCCCTGTACTGGATTTAGGGCTGCGATTAACGATTGTTTTCAAGTTCACGGCACCGTAAAACCGTAGAACCAGTGAGATTTTGACATTTGTAAACAATTAATCAATTATTAAAATAGATGCTGAATAACTTTACAATAGTCAATCAACTAAGCGTCTCAGCTCCAACCACATTTGATGAGGCTGTGGATCTGACACAAACGGAAACTGTAAGTCTAAGAATAACTCTATACACACACACACACACACACACACACACACACAAAGTATCCTCCTTTCTTTCAATTTCTCTCACACACACAAGTACAAAGGTGTAGAGCATAAAAGCAAACTATCCTTTCAGCATTCCTGTCTCGCTCTTTACATACATCCATTCCATCAAAACAGAAACTCAGACACACACACACGCACACACACACAAACCTGTCAGGCAGGTAACATTTGTCCTCTCTGTACCCACTGGCTTAAAGAGTCCTGACATACAGTAAAGGACTCACTGAATGTGAATGTGACAAAGAAAGACTCCACCTTGTCATTGTTCGTGTGTGTGTGTGTGTGTGTGTGTGTGTGTGTGTGTGTGTGTGTAGAGGCTGCAGGGTCGTCTGGAGCCAGAGACATACATACTGAGTCCTCAGAGGAGGGGGAAGCTAAATGGAGATCATCGTAACACAGCTAATGTCCTGGATACGAGAGGGCTGGGGCGGAGGAAGGAACAGGATTAGAAAACAAAAAGAGGACGATGGAGTGAAACAGACATTTTGTACCAGGAAGGAGAGCGATGGAGGGAATCAGATGGACGAGAAACAGACTGCAATGAAGAGATTATATAGCTTTGAGACACACTCCTGCCTGCATTTGCCACTTGTGTTGCTGCGCCCCATTGCTTCACTGCAACACATCTGCATGTTGTTTTGTGCGAGAGGAGGAAATACTGATAGTGAGACAGGAATGAGATAATCATTAGCTCAGAGCGAACCTCCGCCCTGTGACTGACCGTCCCCGGGGCCTCTACAAACCCTGGAACCAGTCAGACTAGTCCCGCCCCTCTCCGTGACGACTCCCGGCAGCATGTTTCCTCTGCTCTGAGCTCATGTTTTAGCTCACCTCAATCGTAACAAAAGCTACGAAACTGGTTGCACCAGCTAATCCTTATTAACTTAGTACCAAGTGATTTACTAAATCAGTTGATACCATCAGGACTTAAACGTTTTAGCTAGTAAAGAACTTAGTAATGTGTAAACAAAGCAACTAATCAAATAAAATAAACAACTACTCTCTATGTTAGAACTAGTTCAACCAATTTAAATTACAGTTATAAGTCTAAATTTGAATTTACACACTGGACTGCACCAGATATTCACAGTTCCGTAGACGCTTGAGCGTAAAGTCCTTCCTAAGTTCTCGGTGACTTGCGGCTGGTTTCAAACTGATTTACTAAACCGGCAGGTTTATGGCACAGCAGTGAGGTGTATTCTAACTAAGTACATTTATTCAAGTATTGTACTTCTTCGGTACAATTTTGAGGTACTTGTACTTTCCATTTCGGAGGGAAATGCAGTACTTTTTTTACTCCACTACATATAATTGATGACTTAAGTTACTAGTTAGGTATAGATTCAGATTAAAAATAAAATAAATAACCACAAACAAATTGTGATTCATTAATAAAGGATTTAATAAGACTATTGAAAGGTAGTATATTAAGGAATTCAAATGAGCATCTCCTTTAAATGAATGCAATTATAACCCAATGACAATATAATATTTGAACAATGGGCACTTTACTTTAAATATACTTTGATGCTCATACTTTTGTACTTTTAGCCAATAGATCCCTCTAAATGCTACATACTGTTCCTTTAAATAACATTTTAAACGCAGGCGTTTCACTTCACACTGTCGTACTTTTACTTAAGTAAAATGTCGAAGTACATCTATCTATCTTCCACCACTCTTTGTCATTAATCACTCGGCTAAGTTCAAACTTACAGGAATCTGGTGCCGCTGACTTCATTGCTGTACAGATTTGACAGTATTAACATAAATCAATCAGCCAAACAGCGTTCAAACCCACCAAACAGGACGTCCCAAAGTTTCCAAAGACACCAAATATTGGGAGAAACGTGTCTTTCACTAAGTGTAAATATGACATCGTTGATACGGTCAGACAGTGTGGCATGCGGTGATTTTTCCTCCTTAAAGCTACAAAACTGCACGATATCTACCTGGGATTAAATGGAGGACGTGTATCACTTTCATAATATCAGCTCATCCGTGTGAGAGTACACGAGGTGACAGCTGATAAGAATAAGAATGTAAAATGTTTGTTCTTTTTTTGGGAACATCCAGTGAGGAACAGCTCAGTTTAGGGCTGCAACTAACAAGAATCCTCATGACTGACTCATGTGCAGATTATTTTCTCCATAAATCAAACCTCATTCCGTCTATAAATCACAATCACAAAAATGCGAATCACAATTTCCTAAAGCCCAGGGTGACGTCTTCATATCGTTTGTTTAGTCTGACCAGCGGCCCTCGACCCAAAGAGATTCACTTTATTATTAGAAGGACATAGAAAAGCAGCACCTTTGAGCTTGGTAATGTTTGACATTTCCGCAAAAATGACCAAAAAAAGTCACCTGTTCCAGCCTAACAGATGTGAGATCCAGCTGCTTTTCTTTGTCCGATGAGCTGAATATCTTCAGGTTTTGGGTTGTTGGTCGAACAACACCAGCGATATGAAGACATCACTTTGGGCTTTGGGAGAGTGCGATGGGCTTTCTCACATGTTATAGACCGATTCATGAAGAAAAACAATACAGAGATAGTGAAAACAATAGTTTCTGATTTATTTTCAGACCGATCGTTCTCAGCTCTGGTGTGTTTTTTGGTTTTCTCCTCCTAAAGTCCTCCATTTGTCAGAACACAAGCAGCAGCGGTTGAACGATTTTGAACTTCAACTGTTTATCCACAAAGTGCCTCACCCAGTCTGCCTGTGACTGTGGAACAATCCTCCCGGGCATGTGCTCAAGACTCTGAACACAATCACTGCAGGATTTTGGGCAAATTAGACGGGTTTGCTTTTTAACCGCCAGCTATTTAACCGACTATGACGAACAGCCGGGACGTTTTTTTTGTTTGAGCCAAGACACAGTTTGTACAGAACACGCACTATTTCCTTGAGGTCATCGTCCACATCTGTCTGTCTGTGGTCAGTGTAGAGCTGAAGTGACAAATCAGTCTCCATGGGACAACGAATCAGGAACTATTTTTTGACGATTAACCTCTTTTTAATGGAGCAAAAAAGAATGCCAAACACTCTAGTTTCAGCTTCTGAAATGTGAGGATTTCCTGCCTCTCTGTGTGGGGAAGTAAACAGGATGTCTTTGGGTTCTGGACTGCTGGTTGGACTAAACAAGCAATCTGAAGACACACGCTTGTCATTCTATACTCACTCCTGACTTTTTATAAGACCAAACTAATGACTGATTAACCAGCAAACAAATCAAAATGTTAATAATTGTTAATTGCAGCCCTAGAACATGTGGAACCAGTTCAGTCCTTGTACTCTGATGCTCCCCAGAGGGGCACATGGTGGTCCGGATTTGGTCTGAACCTGATTGACTGTGATTCACAGCTGAGAGGGACACTGACCAGACAACCGGGCCACAACACAAACCAGCCTTCAGAACACTTCCTGAGAGCTGCTGTCACGAAGCAAAGCTCCATGTTCGTGCATGGAAGGAGGAGTGGGGGAGAGAGAAAAGGTGTTGGAGTACACCTTTAGCCTACAGTGTGTAGATAAGGTGGGCAGACGGAGTAATAAAGCTCTCCTCTTCCCCCTCCGCGTAGGAGAAGGTATGCAGGCAGCAGGAGTTGCGAAATCCTCGGGGCTGCAGTCTTTACAGACTCCTGCTGCTGCCTCAAGATTACTTAACCCGGGCCTACCGGGGGAAAACAACAGCCCCGTGTACATAACATGTCGACAAAAACAACAGCGGGAATACTCTCAAGGGAGGTTCACGGGTTTATTTCTATCGCTCATCCCAGAGGACTCTTCTCGTGTCAGCTGTCAACTTACCCAAAGATCTGTTCCCCAGTCCATGTCTGCAAAAACACGCAGGAATCCTTGTCAGAGAAAGAAACAACCTGGTGGTGGTGGTGGTGGTGGAGGAAACAAAACAAAAAGAGATACAATAAAAACTCCTCTCGTTACAAAGAGACCACAAAACTTGTGAGTCTCGAAAGCGGAGATGGCGGAGGAAATGTTTGGAGGAAGTCTACGCCTTCTCCTTTGCACGGAGGACACGGCCGTCCTGTTTCTTGCAGCGCAGCGAGAGAAAAAAAATATGTTCAGGCGCTTTTTCCTGAAACAAGTTTGGGTCCCGGAGAGAGAGAGAGAGAGAGAGAGAGAGAGAGAGAGAGAGAGAGAGAGAGGAGCGGTGGGAAACCTACCGTCTCTGTTTGTCTTATCTTAAAGAAGCAGCAGGTTAGTTTCATCATAAAAGCTTCTTAAATCCGGAACCTTTAAACACACATAATGGAGTCTGCCGGAAAAACAAACCACACGAATACACTTCAACACTGCTCATAATGCAGCTGATTAAATTAACTTAAATAAATGAATATATTGGACGTGTCCTGACTCAATCAGACGCCTTGTAAAATAAAATACAGGGACTATGTTTTGTGCGCTCTGTGCTGTTTTCTTTTTTTTTTTAGGAGCTGAAATGTGCTGACCTTCCTGAACTATCGGATGGATTGTCATGAATTTTGACTTATTTGACATTTATGGGTGAATCCTAGTTTTATCGCCACCAGCAGGTCAAATTGGTCTCTCACAAAGTGGAATTTCTTTACATCTACAATATAAATTGGTGTTAAATGTGTACAGATATACACGTGTCATGACAGGACCAATCCTAACTTTGTTGACCCAGTGGTGGAAAGTAACTTAAGTTCAGGAGACCAGTTAAGTGATGAATGTATTTTTATTTAAATGTATTTATTCTGCCGTTTAAAAAAAAACATTTTTATTGTTATTTGTTTTGTTTCGCTGCCTGACAGGCCTAGTGTCTGTGTATGGTGTTGGTGTGTCTGGAGGAATACAAATTGAAATGAAAAAGAAATTAAAAGTTCAGTGAAACACGCTTGTCATCTTTTGATATAGGAAACATACAGTATATATGTGTAATAATACAATTTATATATTTTGCAAGAAGTCAAAGAAACATCACTTAAATATAAAACTGATGATAAAATGTTTAATTTAGTTTCTTGTATAGTTTTAACAAGGGTGTGGAGCAAAAACCTAATTGTTTAAACATGGAATGATTGTGTACGCGTATGATATGACAGCTTTTTATTATGTCGTGCTGCTGTCTACTACAAAACTTAATAACAATACAAATATTTGTACTGCAATGATAAGATCTTGATTGATTCCAGTGGGAGGACATGTCCTCTTCTTCATCCAGCAGCAGTGGAGGATCTTTCTGTTTGCACTCTTTTTGCTGTGTGAGATTAAGTCAGCCGGCCTGTTGTGAGACCACACCTTTCCCTCCCATACAGCCAAATGAGGTTGTGCAACACAAGAGCGACACTGTGTGTTTAGTCAACATGTCTGTTATTAACCTGCCCACCTAAGAAAGGCTCGTCTCAGACAGTCTTGAATGCTCAATGTGCATTTAACATCCGTTGATCCTGCTTTGATGGTCTCTGAAGTATGTGAGGGAAGGGAGGCATGGAAGAACCAGAACCAGAATGGATAGGGGCAGAGTGTCAGTCCCTGCTGCAGTAAAAGGTTTTCTAAAGGGACTCTGGTGCTTGAAAACACTACCACTTTTGTCCACAGGGAAACAACACAAAATGAAAATTGTGGATATTGAATTCAGTAGTAAAAACACAAACAACCTCAACATCAAAACTCCCCTCACCTGTAGGATGAAGTACGCACATAATCCGGTTAATGCACAGATAATCTGGTTACTGTGTGCATGTACATGTAGCGACTGATCTGATCTTCATGGCAATAGTCTTGAGGGAGTAGTTCGGGCCTTTCCACGTTCGCCAAATGTTGAGGACGCTGTCATATGCGATGGCACCATGAGGTGCGTACATGCCGGTGGGGTTAGCCGAGTGGCATTTTCCGTACCAGAAACCTCCTAGAAAATGCTGAGCGCAGTTTTTATCCCACTGGTCCTGATCTTTGTCAAACGTGGTGAACTTCATGTTGTTGTGTTCCTCCAAACTGTCCCCTATAAATAAAGTTAGTTGAATTCAAGTTGATGTCTGACACTCAGAAGCCCTTCTACTAGTGCTACTGTGTCATCATTTTGCTTGTGAATTATCTAAGTTACCTTTTTTTTAATATATATATATATACTTACGTACAGTAATGGTTATGTAAACAAAGCACAGAGAAACACACACAGGGAGAGAGACTTCTCTGCTCATGTAAACATTACTCCACCATATCCTCACACAGCTGTTGTTTGCTGCAAAAATAATGCTCTAAAAACATCGTATAGCTGTATTTAACAGCTTTAGTCACTTTTCACGTTCATATCTTACATAAAAACACATGTGATTAGCGTTTCAAATACAGTAAACTGTTAAATATTAAACCAGCGGTTTCCAATCGTTTAGATTTGTGTTTGAGCCTCAATTTGTGTTTTTAAATGACACCAGGTAAAAGGTAAAATTATCCAGTATTTCACAAAAAAGCTCATATTTGAGAAAAGTCCAAAAGAAGAATATAAATTTGTGAATACTCAAGACCCCTTTAAATGTATCTAGTGACCCTTAGGAGGGATCCCAACCCCAAGGTTGGGAACTTTCTATTAGTACATTAACTTCATGCTTCTGTCATACCTGGCCTTAAATAGAGGATCCAGTCTGTTAAGAGTAATAAAAGCAGACAATGCTTTCTTTCACTTTCACAAAGTGAAATCATCATTGTGAAAGTGAGGTCTGTAGCCCCGCCCAGGTAAATAATCACCAGCTGACTCTGGTTATAGGGTCTTTCTTTTTGACTGAATTAAATATAACATTCAGAATTCAGGATTTCTGCACAGCCCTCTCTTACCTTCACATAATGCATTCTATATTTTAGATAAACAAGGTGTCTCAAAAAAACTGTATACCTATTATTTTTTTCACATGAACGGTATGAGAAATTGCAATCTGAAAAGTAATGAGTGGAAGTAGAATCAAAAGTACAATATTTACCAAGTGTAAGTATCTGACATTTGCAGGCTGCTCAAGTACAGTAGGCTACATGAGTAAAACACGTTTACACTGAAACTTAAAAACATCCTGTATTACTTACAGTTCATTCATCCATTCACCGTGACATTTAAAGCTAGACTTCCCAAAGCAACACAGTAATCCTCACCTGCCGCTCCGCCAGTGAAGCTGCCCAAGTGAAGCTGATAACCAGCGTCCTCAGAATCGATGGAGAAGGAGGAGTACTGAGCGGACGCCTTCCCTCCCTCCCAGTCCTCCATGTCGACCCGCAACTTGTTCTTCTTCCTCATAGTCAGCAGGAAGAGGTTTTCCAGGCCTGTGAAGGCACACAAAGACCTGTTTCACCTCCTGCACCAAGGCCCTATGTCATTACTCTGCATTCTTCTTAACCTCTTCCACCTCAGATCTCTCAGCGCCTTATCTAGTCTAACAAAACACATTAAGATGGAAAGCAGCACAGGCCCCCATGTGTTTCATGTATTTTTCGCCCAAGAAATTACCAAGCCAATATTCTCCAGCCACATTCCCAAATCCAGTCTTATAGTTCTTCCAGGGCCTGAAGAAGTTTTCAGTCCCATCGATCCTCCTCTGAAATACCTGAGTGAGAAAATGGGAGGAAGAGAGAGATGTCCTGGTTACAGTGACTGTTGTATTGTAAAATCAGACAAGCAAAACAAAGAGCTAAAAGGGACTAAAAGGTTTCTTGGAGTTGTGAGAAAACGAAGACTAAGTTGACAATTCATCACTCAGAGTTTGACTCAGTGTTAAAGGAAGATTGACATTTTGGGAAATACATATATTTACCACTGGACAGTGTCGAGTCACCAAGGACAAGTCAAGTTATCATGAGAAAATCTCCACTGGAAGGCTTTCAGGTCCAAATGCTGACCTTTAGAATGACACTGCAAACTCTTTCCTGTCAAAGCTGTGCTATTTGAACCTTTACTGAGCGCAAGTCCTTTCAATGCATTGAACAAGTAGATAATATAATACAATACATTTAAAGCTGTGTCTGTGTCTGATACAACTATGTTCTGTCGTTGCAGTAGTTTGGTGAAAAGTTGATACCATAGAAATAAAATAGGAGCAGAACAGACATTCCCATTAAAATCAACGTAGCAGGATGGTCAGAGCGGCGGCCATTGTTTTATTGCCATTGCGTTGCCATTGCGCCCGTTCTGCCAATGCCTGATCCATCCAATGTGCGGCCACACCTACCCAGTATGCCTTGCGAGGAGACCCGCCCTATACTCTGCCTCTGATTGGCTACTGGCTGCTAAACGCTAACGTTAGCCTAGCTATGATGTTAGACTGTATGGTTTGGAGTGCCAGTTATGCTTCAAACTAGACAGGCCCTGGTGGCGACTCAGCCATGGCAGCTCATGTTTTTGTTCCCGTAGTCTGAAGGAGGGCTTTCCAAACTCGGTCCAAACAACAGTGTTGTCTGTTTTTTGTTTACAATTTTTTTTATGGTTTTTCATCATTAAATTCATTTCTGAGGTGTACTGACAGTCCATCGACCTCCGTCAGTGTCCATGTCACAGTAGACATGCAGCGGCGTGGTGGGGCCTCCTGGGTAGATGGTGTACACCCCACTGGAGCTGGTGTTGTCTTGGCGATAGATGTCATCACAGTCGATGGGCAGATAAAACTCGGAGCCGGAGGGAACTGAGGCCGCAAGAACCAGCACAGCTACGAATAATCTCACCTGGATGTGAAAGAAAAGGGATTAATGATATCTACAGCACCTTTACAGTGATTTCCTGCACTCATGGACACACATCACTACAAAACAAATTAAATAGTTAAGTGGAATGAAGAATGGTGACAATTAAGGTTATTTGTAGTAAATAAAATGGCAAGAATTAATTTATTATTTGTTGCACAATGATTCAATCTCTGCTTCAGTGACAGCTCATGTTACAGTCATTCATCCGTTTGTGAGAATCTCAGTGGGATTTTCTGTGTGTTATATATTTTTGTTCTGTATTGTATAATTCATATATATTTACTGGTTTTTCCATTTGTTTCAACAATTATCCTTCTCTGCAAAAAAAGAATTATCTGCCACTGAGATTCCTGCCTCTCCACCTCAATAATAAACAGGTGAATGCAATTAAATTATTAATGCATGATTTAATATATAAAAATGTCAACATCAATGTCTCAGAGTCTCGATTAATCTGGATAATCTGCTGACCTCGCTGTCAGATGCAGTGTTTAATTTTTGTCATTTTTATTTTCTGTGTTTAAAACGTTAGTATTTTATTTTTACTGTTCCATTTAAAAACTTCATCACATGCATGGTAACACAGAGGAGAGTATTTAATGGTCGGTGTATTTATTGTATGGATTCTCTGAACTGCGAGTGCGCACAACAGCAGCAGAGAAGAAGAGTGTGATCAAGTGTTTTGGTATTGATCCTGACGCCAGTATCAAAGAACAAGTTTCATCAATACTTAAGATATAAACACATCCACCTCCACTCCTGTACTTTCGCTGCTCGATAATTCACGTGCATTGTGTGCATTTTTTTCTGGTTCAGAAAACTACCAAGTTACATCACTGGAAGCAAACAACAGTTACAACATTTGGGGTTTCCTGCTGAGTTATTCTGAACTCGTCACACTGGGTGTTTGAACTGCAGCAGTGCTGTGTTTATTATTAGTCCGAGCCTCTCTCTAGAGCAGAGGTTCATTTTAAAACAGTCACAAAACACAGCAATCTACCTACATCTATTTCCTGTGCGGTTTCATTTGACATTGTAATATTCTATTTAAATTGCTTGCTGTTTGCTTCAGTGAGTTCACAGATCTGACACCTGGCAACAGATAATATGTGTTCACTGGGGCTGACAGTGCCTGTTAGTGTGTAACTAACAACACTATAAAGCCAACAATAAACTCCTCAATAATATTAATCAACGACACCAACAAGTGCGCATTATAATAACAGTGAGAAGTAATTTGACTATTTTTTTGTTGATTAATTTAATAATAGCAAGATTAAACTGTTAAATAGTTGAGATAATCTATTAGAAATAACTTTAACTTCCTGCCTTTACACCTCAACCTATAAATAACAAACCTTTGACTGTAAACTATGAAACACACATTTGCTTCACTGAATAACATTCGTAAATTTTACCTCAAAATCTCCGCTGAAGTTCTGGTTTTTGAAATCTTGACAATATAAAGCTGCTCCCACAGACATTACTAGTTCTAGTACTATTACTACCAATGACATTACTAACAATAATGCTAATCATTAATATGATACACTCTTAATTATAGCACATGATAAGAATGAGGCATTTGTTTTCGGAAACATCAAACATTATGAAAATCATTTCTAAGTATCAAGAAAATAGAAGCAGCATTTGTTTTTCATTATAAAATAAAAATAATCTGGTTTAAATGAACCTGTAGCTCTTACCTGCATCATCATCATCATGGAGAGGAAGGTTGGACTCTGTCAGTTGAAGTAAATCTTCATGGGAAACAAGGCACTTCTAAACAGTCTGCTCGGCCCCGTCTGTGGAAGCATGTGACACTGATAAGCTTTGTTTACACAGACCAATGAAGTTTATCATTACTCAAAGATCTGCAGAAGCTGAGGTCATATTGTTGCTTCATTGGTTCTGGTGAATGAGGTGGTTTTACAGACTGGAATTATTCTACAATTACACAACAATCCAGAAAGCCATTGCAGATTCTAATATCTTTGATGTGTTTGAATTTAACAATTTTTAGGCACAAAAAAAAAACGAAAAGGAAATGAAAATAGATATTTTTATTCAGGAAACTTGAATAAACATTTGAATGATATGCGAAAAAGTCATAAAAGTCATGAAGTCTGAACATTCTAACCTTCTGGGGGAAGTTGAACTCGTGGAATTTGCACTCCTGACCTCAGTATTTGAAGTCCAGAGAGAGAATTTCCTTATCTAGCGTGTGAATAACACTGATGACTCATTTTACAGCGTAATTTACTGTAAAGCTCCATGCAGCAGACCCCGTCCTGTGTGGAAAGTAAGTTTATGAAAAAGCTGTCACAACATGTGGTATCAAACAGCGGTCTCTTGGTTGAAAATCATGCGTTTGTTGAAACCATCGTCTTACCTTCTCACACATCATGAGTGGTCTTAATACTACTCTGACCTTTGCTCACGTGGATGCCTTTAAATTTGAGTCCATCACAAAAAAAGGATCCTAATTGACTTTTCCATTGGCATTGTTTTTCATGCTGAGCAATATGAGATTTTGTACTTCCACAATGAATTCCTAAGCGTTTACATGTTGACCTTTCCCACGATGCATAGTCTTTGCATAGCCGGAGGTGTTTTTCCAAAAGCCAAGCACTTTCTCAGCGGCTGCTGGGCCCTGCCAGGGTTGAACCATATCACATTTTACATTTGTTATTGTCACACAGATTACTGCCACATCAGCAGTAATGTGTGTCAAACTGTTAGTGGCTCTGTGTTCTTTCCATCACTCATCTATGCTCATGAGCTTTGGGATGGTGAAAGAACTGCATTTATTTGGCAGCACTCGGTTGTGTGGAAACGCTTAGAGGGGAATCGCTGATTCTTTGCAACAGTTTGGGACAACTGATGAAGGACGCCTCCTGGACATCACAGTTACTCAAACTGGAGTGGATCTCACCGCTGCAGACCCGAAACACTGGAGGGATTACACTGTGTATCCCACAAGGCCTCATGGCTCAGAGAGGACGTGGCTAGAAAGCTGTCTGGGCTACCTTCAGACCTGGATAAGCAGCGGAAATATGGATCAATGGATTCATTTAGAAAAAAAAAAAAAAAAAGCACAAAAGTGGGATCAACGATGTCAAAAGAATGTATCTTCTATTGGCCGACAGACTGGCATTGCAACTGAGAGCTCGACACCAAAAAGAGTCTTCAGTGGTAATTGTGGCCTGTTCATTGGAGCTACCAAGGAAGATATAATGACGCCTCAACAGCTGTGTGTGAGCGAGAACATGTGTTTTTATTTTTAGTAGAGATGCTATCTTACTCGGAAGCCATCATAACCACATTGCTGTTCTGCTGTGAAGACAGAAAGCAGTTCAGTGAAAAGTATTTCTTTTGGACGTCCACACTGACAGTCACAGACAGGTAGTATTTCACCCTCTCTTCGTTGCACTTTTACTGTTTCAATGCTGAATTTTATAAATATATCTATGGGCTGAAAATGACCAACTGATGCTGATAAACTACAGATATTAATATTCATAATCATACGGTCAGCTGACCATTAAGTAGGATATATGAAACAGAGTCGATGTTACAATAAAGACTCTGAATTGATTTGAAACCATCCATTTGTTCCTGTAAGTGATACATCTTGATCTTTTTGTCTTCTTGGGCTGACTATGAATATGAAGATTTGTAATTTGGGTTCACCTCTGTAAAAATGAGTGACCAAGAAGGAGAGGAAGTGCGTTCATCCTTCAATCGGTCATCAGTCACCAACCAGACCAAAGACGACGGTTTGACCTGTGATCATGCGTACAGGTCAGCCTACCTCTTCTTCGTGATGGTCCACAGTCTCGTGTTTCTGGTGAGTTTCAACAATTCAGGTTCATTTCCTTCTTCAACACAAGACACAAGTGTCAGTCTGTTCAGATGTTTTATGCCTTTTTTCACGAGAGGAAACATTTTCATAGATAATGTTTTCCTGAGGAAATGAAACTCGTCATGATTTAATTCTTTCACCGAAATCTTTTCTGATATCAGGATGTTTTTTGGTCGGGTTCATACAAGCTTCATTCTTACTGACTTGTGTAAAAGATGTAAGCTATAACAACTGCTTTTTGGACTTTGATTCCCTGATTGGGTAGAAAATGATGATCTTATGTCCATCAGGTCAAATCCAAAATTCTTTTGACTGACTATCAATCCCTCCATCCTCACCATGTTTTCTCTCCAGGTGGGTCTCCCCCTCAACGGCTTCATCGTGAAGTTTTACTTCTGCCGAGCTCAGCAGACGGCGTCCAGCAGCATCACGATCTACCTGAAGAACTTGGCAGCCGCCGACTTCCTGCTCTGCCTCTGTCTCCCAATCCGCATCGCCAAGTACGCCAGCAACTCCCCCACCGTCCACTCCATCAACTGCAACTTTGCCACCGCCGTCCTCTTCCTCAACATTTACGCCAGCATCATGTTCATGGGCTACATCGCCGCTAACAGGTAGGCCAGTTTGAAGTTTGATTCTCTTGTTGCATAAAACAGACTTCACAATTGTATCAATACAAACAGGAACACAGCAATTTCATGTTTTGTCAGTCCTCCAATGGCGCCTCTCTCTCCTCTGCAGGTATCTGAAGGTTGTTCGACCTTTAGGAACTCACATCCTGCAGACGGTGCGGGCCGCTCATATTGTCTCCACTGCAACCTGGGTTTTCCTCCTGGCCGTGACGAACGCCTTCGTCATCCTGTCGTTCCTCGGCCAGAGATCTTTCGCCTCTGTCCTGGTGAGATGCAAAGGCTCGAGCAACGGCCAGTTCAGCTCGCTGTACAAGATCATTCACACCTGCTCCACCGTCATGTTCCTGTCTGTCCTCGTCTCCCTGGTCTTCTTCTACTACAGCACCGCCTGGCAGGTGTCGCTGGCGCAGCAGAGGCAGCCGGCATCCTCCAGCTCCACGAAGCTTGCGAAGTCACGCAGGAACATGTTAGTGCTGGTCAGCGTCTTCTGCTTTTGCTTTGTCCCCTACCACCTGGTTCTCCTTCCCAAAGCGTTCCGGTGGAGCTGCTCATGGAGCAAGTTCCTCCACTACGCGACGGAGGTCACCATCGTAATGTCAGTTCTCAACGTCTGCCTGGACCCGATCATCTACTTCACCCTCAGCAAGAAGTTCAGGACCCGGATTAGGCTGTTTGGAAACTGATAGTTACTGTTCACAACACTTGAAAAGCCAATAATGTCAATATAGCAGCTCTGATAATGAAAAATGATAACATAACGGGCCATTACATAATGAATGCAATGTAATAATTCCACAGAACGCATTAACTGTTGTTAAAAAGGCGAGGTAGCATTATAACCTAATAACATAATTGTGAAGTGTCATGAAGTGATAATTGTGAACAATGTTAAATGTTAAAAAGTGTAATAAAACGTGTAATGTAATAACTGCTTCAAATGAAACATTCTCCATAAAGTCATTGCTTGTTACATTTTGTGATTGATTGATTGATTACATACATTATAATTTCAGTGGCAATTTAAATTCTTGTTTTTCTGACCAACACAAAGGTGACAGGAAGGGAAAATGTATTCATGACATTTGCAGGATGTTGAGCAGCCCACAGGTCACCATGCACATGGAAGGATCAACATCAGCAGGAAGACTGTAGTATGTGTAGTATGTAGTATAGTCATCGCATGACCATGAATCCTGCGGGGGAACTGTCTGTACCAAACTTCATGACAATCCATCCAATAGTTTTAGACATTTCACTAAAAACCTACAAATGTCACCCTCTTGGTGGCGCTATAGAGGAAAAGTCATTAGTCTTTAGTCATTAGTCATTAGTGTCTGTACAAAATGTGCCATTCAATTTCAGTCTGCATTAGAAATAGTGGTCGAGCAGACCAACAATCCCAATAGCCACCATTATCTTATAAATACTGTATCAGTGTTTCATTTGACTTTGATGTCCTGTACTTGAAAACAACAAGAGAAGCTGTGTAACTCCTCTCCTCTGATTTCCCTACCAGAGGAACTGTTTGACTTTAACAGCTCAGTTATTGATGGCTCTTCTCTAACACAGAGGGAAAAATCAAACCCAGGGCCTTCGCTGAATGATGAACCAAGAGAAGGCCAGTGACGGTCAATCTTTCTTCTGTTCTCATATATTACTCCGTCTTCTCTCGCTCGCTCTTTTTATCTCAATCTCTGTGTCAGGTGGTGCATTGGTTCAGAGAAAAAGAGAGAGAGAGAGTGAGAGGTGTAGCTGCTGATCATCTGACAGGTTTTGTTCCCGTCGACATATAATCCATGTTAATAAATGGCTTCTGATGTCATCGCAATGTAGCCGGAGGGAAAATAGAAGAGATAGAGCGGCAGGCAGAAAATAGGCTTCTTTGTGAGAGAGAGCTTTGAACAGGGTGTATATTTTGATACGCTATGTGGACAAAAGTATGTGGACACATGAACATTTCCACCACATGACATTCTTCCACCAGATTTTGGACTGAATAAATATATGTTTTAACATATTTATATTAGTTACAGGTAAAGCAACCCTACTAACAGCTATAGTAGGACAAGAACAGGTGTTAACATTATTGATGGATCTGAGAGTGACAGCGAACCAGAGGGCACGATAACAGGATCCTGAAATTCAGACATCATTAATTGTTTTTGAAAAAGGCCTTTCGCAATTATCACAATCAAGAGTTCCAGGAACTTATTCTCAAGAAGAAAAGTGGAAAAACATCTGATCATCATTATATTTAGCTGCTAAATGCTGCATTATGTTCACCAACTCGTCGCTAACTGTGTCTGTTTAATGTTTAGTGCTGACCAAGTGTGCAGTAAGGGGTATCAGAGCCTTATCGCTGAAAACAGGAACAACGAGATCCGTGAGACTGAACCAGGCTATAAAACAAAACAATAAGCTAAAAGACACCAACAAGTCATGTGATCCATTGTCAACAAGGAAAACCATTATAACAGCTTTAAGTTGCTCTGGCTGAGACTAAAATATAAAAAACAGTACGTATAAAAGTTATTTTGGCAATACTGTATGCTTTAGAATATTGTCATTATTTATAATTTGTTATTTTTGTGATTTTAGTTTTTCTTGTGAAAATAAAGACTAATCATACACGCAAAAAAAAATGTGTGTCTAAATGTGCTTTCAAGGTCAGAGTGTGTCTGGGGGACCATATGTTCACTGTTTATCAGCGTCTGTTCCAAAAAGAGGGCTGAAAGGAGTCGACTGTGTTTTTGCATTTGGCTCGTGAAGTTATGAATGAGCAGCACGCTTTGTTAACACACACATACAAACACAAGCACACAGTAACAGATGTTTATCAATGAAACAAGGAGAGAAACCCTCAGTGCTGCAGCATTCCTCTGCACCACTGGATGGCACTGCTCCTCCTCTCTCGTCTCTCACTCCACCACTCCCTCCCTCCCTCCCTCCCTCCCTCCATGTACTGCTCTTCTCTCTCGCCCTTTCTCTGCGTCTCCTCATCTTGTGTAGGAGGAAGATTAAAATCACCAGAGAGCACGACGAGGATTACCAAATCGATATCGGAGACAATCTCTTTCTCCCGTCTCTTTTACATGGTCTATCCCTTCCATTTCCCTCTGCTCTCTGCCTCTGTCACTCACTCGCTCTCTGTGGTTCACTTGTGTTTTCACCCTCTGCCCTTCAAGTCACTCATTGCTTTTGGGTGCATGAGGTAAAACCAGAGAGAGAGAGAGAGAGAGAGAGAGAGAGAAAGAGAGAGAGAGAGAGAGAGAGAGAGAGAGAAGGCAAGAAAAAGACAGATACAGCTGTGAGACAGAGATGAAGATGAGAGATTGTGTTTCTTTTCACTCCACAGATACTATTGATTCACCGTGACCTGCTTCCACGCACAGTCATAATATACAAAGCTGTTAATTCATCACACAACAGCAAACAGGCTTAGCTGAGGCACGGGGAGCGATGGCACAGCCCATTTCATACACGGACACAAGATTCGTAGCCGAGTGGCGATGATTATTTAAAAAGAAACTAGAGGTATTTCTCTGTCCTCTCAGACAGACTGAGGCCTGAGGAGGGGAGGAGAGGGGGGGGGGGAGGAGAGGAGGAAAAGACAGAAATAAACACAGGTGCACAGATCCAGACAGGTTTAAAATAAGTGGAACCGAGGAACCTTGTTTGTCCAGTTCCTGAGCACACAGAGAGATAGCAAATTAAATCCTATAAAAAGAAGATTAGTCAATACATTCAGGTAAACACTTTCAGATATAGTGTGTGTGTGTGTGTGTGTGTGTGTGTGTGTGAGAGAGAGAAAGCAGGGTGGAGAGGAACTCATCTTTTATGTATGAGTGTTTGTTTAGCTGCACTTGCAGCTGTGCCTCGGTTACTTCCCGTCTCGGTCACACACAGCTGACTAATAAACCCTCTCACCACGTTTAAACCCACCACTCGACTGAATGTCACTATATTTACAAAATATTATGTTCAAACAATGCATTCAGAAGCATAAAGAAAAAACATCTACGTCTACCAGTGTGAAAAGAAGCATAAAATAATCTCTTAAGTTTGGCGCTGATTAATGGACTTGTTTCTTTGCTTGTGCATGTTTTTTCTTTTTTTGCAAGTGAACAGAATGTGTGTGTGTGTGTGTGTGTGTGTGTGTGTGTGTGTGTGTGTGTGTCTGTGTGTGTGTGTGTGTGTTTACTGGCCACCTCCTGGTACAGAGTTCTGCCTGGGACAGTGTGCCTCACAATCATCTGTTCCCGACCAAATATGCATTTCCTGTATCCAACTGAGATCCAAGCTGGCCACACACACACACACACACACACACACACACACACACACACACACACCAACTCTTGCATAATCAACCAAAGTAAAGTCTGCCAAAAACTCATGGCCGAATCAACAAATGCAAATATCAGAAAGACTGCTGTGAATAACGCGGACGTATGCAGTGACACACACAAATAAAACATGACTATACAGATGTGTGTGTGTGTGTGTGTGTGTGTGTGTGTGGGTGTGAATCTCATTGATATGCATGAGCAAAGGCGTGTTATTGGTTCCTGCGGGCTCGTTTGGGGCTAATTAGAGAGAGTAATGAGATAAGAGGAGTGGGAGAGAGAGGGAGGCGATGCTCTGATGGATGTGGGGAAGGGGACGGCATCTCAATGAAGAGAGACTCCGAGGGAGGCAGAGAGATGAAATTAAGAGGATGAAAGAGAACAAGAGGGAAGGTAGCGAACGATGGAGTAATGCAGAGAATCAATAATGTGGGTTGAAAGGGAACCTCGGCGTCCGGGGCTAAACGTTCCCAACAAAGTAAATCATCTCCACTCTGCAGCAGATTTGATTCAGCACACTTAAACTTCAGTCTTGTGGATAATCTCAATCAATTATTTATTTTTCACGACCGTCCCCAAGTTGACACTGAGAACCGTAAAGTGATGTTAGGGTTCACCCTAGCAGATCAATAATCGTAAAATTCATGTGATCAAAACTATAAAAAGGAGTCAATTTAGAGGGAGCAGAGTGACAGGCTGTGGCATCTTAGAAACAGCATCGCTCAGACAAAACATTTAAGGAATAATCTGTTTGAGAAATACGCTTATTTGCTTTCCTACAGAACCAGCAGCTGGTTAGCTTAGCATTAAGACTAGAATCTTACCCGATAACCCCCCCTCCCCTGATAAACCCCCAAACTGACGTTTTTACCCTGTGTTCAGACAAAATGTGAAACAACTTTTTGAGGTCAAAGTCAATGGAAATTTGTGATTAGAGCTCTGGGCAGCGCAAGTTAATGCAGCGACCCTTCTGCCCGCGTTGAAAACATGTCAACTTGAGGGAAAAATGAATGCGAATCCCAGGGCTTAATGAATCTGCTTCATAAACATACAGAGAAGAGATGAAAAATGAGATTGACTGGAGGAAATGGAACTGCTAAACAACAAAGAACTGGAGTTCCTGGTGAATCCAGACCGAGGCTGATCCGAACAGACACACACGCTATTAATGTGTCCTCTACTAGATAGCTTACAGCTAACGTCTGTACAGTCGGCCCATTGGCTGTTTAAGGCAAACATATTACATGGACACTACAAAATCCGTCGTTCTTCCGTACACCAGAGACGTGACTGTGTCGTACTTATGTCCGGTGTTAAAGAAAAACGTTAATTCAGAA